ATCTTCAGTCATAAACACGTAGGGTGCGATCGTGTTACTCCTAAGCCGTAGGATATGACATCTTAGCGACTATTATTACGATATTTCGTTTCATTTTACTACTTTGGTATGTCTTTTGGTGGATAAATGACTAAGTTGGAAACACTGCTGTTAACAGTGTTTCCAATCAAAACATCATTCTTTATCATTCGTTCTTCGTTATTAAAGTATGTAAATGTCAAAGTGGCTAAATGAAATGAAATAGCCCTTTAACAAAGCTAAGTTATCGTATCCTATGGCTAGAGCTAGAGGAATCAGGCGGTTGCTCTGCTGTGCTTGCGTGTTGAATTAGATACCATTTTTCCTTAACGTGTGCCTCAACAGTGGCAATTTAATTAGGCTAATGAAGATGATGATGTAAAAAGTGTTTTATTAATGATATCTAATTGAAGTAACATTAATACAGTTCCAATATATTTGTTGTTTATTATATGTCCAATGAAATTAAATGCATTATCTTTTTACGAGTATCTTGTATGAAAACAAAAATATCTTTTCGATTTGCCTTTCGACAGGTTCTTCATTTTATCGGAAATCGGTGTTTTGTGGTTGAACCTAGAACCACCAAACCAACGGTACAGTGGTAGTTATTATATAGTATTTTTAATAAAAAATGCTCAAAATATCCACCAGTCACAGGTAAACGCGTAGGTAGTACCTATAGCATTGTGAATGCAAAATTTAATAATATAGCATTCTATTGATAATGCCACATGTGCGATAACGACGACTTTTTGACGAAGTTTCTACAGTTGATAAGTGTCAAGTGAAAAGAAACTCTAAATGCTGTTATTAAATGATAGACTTTAAGTAATAAATGATTTGGATTGGGGGAAATAGTGAAATGTTAAACAAAGCCAGCTTGATTTACAAGAAACCATCTGTTTAGAAGATATAAATACAAAAATATCCAATTAAAACCAATTTATATAAAGGAACTAGAAATATAACGAAGTCGACTATTTGTATAGATGGATCCTTGTTGAAACAAATATCTAAAGTTTGCTAAAAAAATTGAGAATTTAGAATTTGCAACAGCTTATAAGAAAACTTTAAAAGGCAGTATGTACCTCTATAAGTGGAAAAGGTCAATTAATACCACTGTAAGCTAGAAACTCTGGTTAGTGAGACACCTCTTTAAGCGAAAAAAGTATTATATTAATGCTGAAACTATACGATATGTATCGTTATCTATGGAACTTTGTATGGTTCCCGCTAAATACTGTATTTGTTATTCGAAACGATATAGATCGTTGATTTCACCCCGTACAACAGTAAGCTGTATAGTACAGCTAGCAAGTCAAATAAAAATAGGATGGGGTTTGCTTCTAACTCCACTGCTTGCCTGTCATTTTAGTACAGCCAGTAAAGAAAATAAGCGTTGCTAAATAATTTTAAAGATTAGACACGGCTTTTGTCACAACGTTAACGCAAGCCACTCTAAACGCGTCGCCATTTTTTAACTTCGAATCTACAAGTAGTTACAAATATTTATATGCCGTCATCCATTACATCATACTACGATAATGTGTTGATTTATAAAAAATAAATGTTTTCCTTTCTTTTTTTTTTAGCCCTCATGATCCTCCACAAAAACGATATAGAGTTCTATGAATAGCGATACATATCATTTACTTTCAACGCTCACATAATATTTCGGGTTATTGTCCGTTTCCGCCTGTCTTAGGAATGGACATCAACTAGGTATAACATCGCATGAGCACACACATACATTTTAGTCGGTTTAAAAGTTAATATTTTTTTCTGTGTATATCAGAATTTGAATATATCAGATTATCAGCCAGTTGCACAAACGTCCATTAAAATTGTCATTTAGTTAAAGTGGCATTACCCATACAAATTCGACATTTGTGAAACTGACCGTATATCACACAGTTCACGAATTTATACGCTCTAAAAGTAGCGAATATTAATTAAATATTTATCAAGTATAGTCAAGTAATTACACAAAATTTTGATCGAATTTAATTAATAGCAAAAGAAAAAAGAAGAACTAATGATTATTGGATATCTAGTGGTTAATTTGTTTACGGCGCTTTACCACATAGAAGCAGTCAAATAAGTAAAACATTATCGTGTCAAACTGGTCTTCAAAGTATAAACTTCATTAAAGTGTCGTTGTTTTGTTTTAATGTTCGTAATGAATTTTAATTAATATAATATTATAATAAATAGAATATTAATTAAAATCATTAACTTATTTAACCATATTGGGACGATTTGTGAGAAACTTTTTTGGTGTCAAATCGGTGGCTCGATGTCAATTCTCACCTCAAGAATAAAATCACCACTAAAAGTGCACTGATCTGACGCCAAGAATCTTTTCTCAGTAATCACTAATAAAACAATTGCGAAAATATTTACAGTAATTTTAAATACGAATAGAAGTAGTTACTGAAGTGTAAATAACAACTCAGTTACATATTTTAATCAATAAACAATCCTATTAATATTATAAATGTGAAAGTTTCTTTGTTTGAATGTTTAGATATTTGTCGGTCAATCACGCCGAAACTACTGAACGGATTTTTATAAAATTTGGTATACAGCTAGGGTATTAGCTGACTTAGATAATAGGATACTTTTTATCCCAGTAAACATTTCCCTAGGGTCCACGCGGGCAAAGCCGCTGGCGAAAGCAAGTATGAAATACTATTATTAATCATTTGATAGTTCTTACTTCACTCTAATTCTCATCCTTTGATTAAAATTATTTGCTGAAGATTTTACTTATACTCAGGTATAAAAAGTAAATACTCAAGTATTGTGTCATTGTTTTGAAGCACAAATAAAATATCTAAGTATATACTGGTGAACATATATATTTAACCTAGATAATTTAGGTATATCATCATCAGCCCTTTTTACGTCCCCACTGCAGGGGCTCAGGCCTTCCTTATGGATGGTTAAGGAAGATGGGCCATGACCCTCCACGCTGGCCCAATGCGGATTGGAGGGTATTAACGACTGCCAATGCAGCCGGGACCAACGGCTTAACGTGCCTTCCGAAGCACGGAGTAGCTCGAGATAATAATTTTTTGGTCACCCATCCCGTGACCGACCCTTGCGAAAGTTGCTTAACGACTACGATCACGGGCCGCGGCGCTAATCCACTACGCCACCGAGCTATTTAGGTATATATGAAAAGTATTTATCTATACTATAGCAACTATATTCTATTTTATAGGACAGCCAGTGAAATCGCTATCATTAATAAAGTTCACGTGAAAAGATAAAACTTGTCATGAAACGGTGAAAGCTAGTAACTTAGCAACCGCAACAAGAACTACTAGATACGTCTGTTTTATTAGACTTTGTTCATGTATACTGCATATGCAGGTATTTAAAAGTCAGTGCTAAAATAACAAACATTATTATACAAACCTCTGTCTGTTTGTCACAGGGCTTTATATCGTTGAACCGTGATAGGTACACTTCAATTAATGTGTCACTATATCAGTCAATATACAACTTACTGCCGCCATCTGCAAAGGGTCCGAAGCACCTTCAGAAAAATGTAATGATTTTTTTCAAAAACACACGTAATAAAACTATTTATTCACGTGTAAAAATGTACAAGTGAGTAGTTTTATTAAAACATTTTCTTTATTCTAGTTTCGGATATAAATAAAAGATTATTTTCACTTATTTTATTAAATGACTTTAATATACTACTAAAAAATACCTTATTAATAAATAATTATTATAAATCAATAATTTATTCATTACATTAAAACTAGAAAGTTTTATTTGTATCCTTTTCATTATAGCTTTTTGTAAGTTAGATAATTCTTCCTCAAAACCCAATCATTTTTAAAGTCCTCGAAATTCCATGACAACAGGTTTAATTACACTCGTATGTACCTGCTAATAAGTGGATCCCAGAATTGTAATTGTAATAATATTCTATTTATATTTTTAGAACTCGCGTTTTAAAAAAATATCTATATGACAAACAATCATAAAGGGAAGTATTTTAATAAAACAACATACGAACATTATAACTTATGTCACCTGCGTATGATATAGCTTTCCGTAGATGAAAGAATTTTCAATATTGATCCAGAAGTTTCAAAGCTTATTCAGAGCGAATAAACAAGTAATAGAATCTTTCCTCTTTATAATATAACGTAGATTCGTAATTATTCAGTCCATGAATTTTCTATATCCGTGGATGGCGGGAAAGTTAAGCTATTACCTCATCGTAAAACGGTTTCATTTCTACTGTTAATGGATACAGTCAACGAAAATATCGACCAATATAGTAGATATCATATTCCATAAATGGAAGTTTGTTGTGACAACGGAAGTGGATTAGAAAAAATGCATCTTTGCATAATAACAATTTAGATCCAACGATAACGAATTCCTGTGTCATGTATGACATTCAGAATATTTCAACCGTCACGAAAGCTAAGGAAGCGTTTATAAAGGCGACACTGAATAAAAAGGAAAACATAAAAAAAGTTTAAAAGACTGACTGTAACTAATGTTTTCATATAATTAACGTATAATTTTATAAACTTTAAGCAATTTAGTATTAAGCAATTTAATAATTGTTTGTGGCTAACCAAATAATGAGTTAATCCATTTGAAAATAGTTAGATGACGTCATAATTGTTAACAACTCAAGCCTCGTTAGTTTTCAAGCATTCTGCAGTAAATCTTAAAGTCAACGTGACAGTTATATTTGACATAAACCTTAACTGCAATTTTGGTGCATTTCAGCCTTAATTTTAAAAATGTAGTATGAGGTGTCATAAATATATCAGTGGTATATATCCGATTATGTCTTAAAATTTCAAAATATTGGCATTTTTCCAGTATGTGATCAACATCAAAACAATGAAAAGTATTCCTTAAATCCTCCTTTCCAGGTTTCACAAGATGAGTAGCTAGCCCATAGATACTGTTTTTCTTAATGTTGATAGGTTTTTTCTATGGTATGTGTCCACCTCTTTACACGAAAATGGGTACATGTGGTGTCGACAGGGTCGTGCCATACCGTGCCAGCCCCATCGCGCGATAAAGGTCTGCTCTATAACACAAGCACCTAGCCCTAACTAAACTACACGCTTCGCCTGTTAACCCGCTAGTCGTACCCCGAAATCCCGTCTAAAACGGCCCCCAAGTCCCGTTCACAACAATCCTCGGATCGGTGAGCACGCACCTTTATTTTACGCACAAAATCAGTTCATATTCTACGTATAATTTTAAACACTAGTGTCTATTAATAGTTATCAATTAACAGTTCTTTGGACGTTTTCCAAGTGTGTATTTTATTACTGCATTACATTGCTTATTACGTTATACTCGTATGTTTAACATGGATTAAATACAGCAATAAAGTAAGTATCGATATTGCAGTTCATGAACCAGGGACCTAATTGTCTAACTTTAAAATCTTTCGGTTTGAAAGATGTTGCACAACCATTGCTTGTTTCTGAAGACAGTTGAAAAAAAAGTATTTGTATTATGTAGCAATGGTTGTGCAACACCTTTCAAACTGAAAGCGATTGCAATAGATTTAAAATTAGACAATTAGGGGGCAGATGCACAAAACCAATCTACCTCAAGTAATAATAATTTATTATTGCGAAAGGTAGATATTACGATATATGTTATTTTTAACACTAATACTATTTGAAACTCTTATTTTCATAATAGATTAACTTGTGCATTATATCATAATTAATATTTGTAAAATCAGTTGTATGATCCTATTTGATTGATGTAAATTGTATTTTATTAGCTGTTTTCCTTCGATTTAACCTGCGCATGATGTATGTAGCTATGAAATAATTTTCAAGATCAATTCAGTATTTCCGAAGATTACCCCTACAAACATAAAATGCTAAAAAACCTTTTTTTTAGTTATATGTAAGCTATTTAATTATGTTAGTATATATTACCAAATATTTCAAAATAATAAAATAGTCATATTTTTAAGATTCACTGTGTTAGTGCGAATTGGTTCTAACGGCTTAACGTGCCTTCCGAAGAACGGATGAGCTCGAGATATTAAATGTTTTTCTTGGTCACCTATCATATGACCAGCCATTGCAAAAGTTGCTTAACAACCGTATCGCAGACTGAGCGCGCTAACCAACATCCATCCGCCATCGCCATCGAACTCCTCGCTGTAATATTCTGTCCTGTAATACACTTACAATTACTTCTTGTTGCGCGAGAAAATTGTACCGAGGATAGGTAATTTGTTACAAAGTCTTTGTCATGATCGGTAAATCTCCTGGTAATGTTGGTGATAAGTCTTGTTTGTTGACAGCTTCGCCCACCCGCATGTACGGGCGAGGCTCGAGAAGCACATGGGCTCAAATCTGGTCAAGCTGACGGACAAAAGCTACATGACCGAGCTGGAGGAGAGGATCCGTGCTGTCAACGAGGAGAATCTCAACAAGAGAATCTCCAGTAGGGTCGTGAGTAGATAAAAAACCTCTTATTTGTTGAATTACCTCTGAACGTAACAAAAATGTCTTTTTGAAGCAACCGAAAGAGTGAGCGTTATTTGTTTTTCAAATATCAAACCATTAATGAGTCTCATTTAATTTAAATATTTTATTGTTTTTTCTCTTAATTCGCCTGCCCTATTCCCAAAAAGTTAGATCAATATCTCTCCCATAACTAGAAATCTCATAAAGTGTGTCAAACCTTTATTTGTGCCTACGTCAGAATTTATCGTTTTATGTCTAGAACTTCAATATGAGGCCTTACTTGTCAAGAAAGCGATCAAGCAATTACCAAGACAATGTTATATTAAAATTTTGACATGCATCTATTACACACATACCTGACACGTAAATAATATCTGAACAGTTTAATAACTGTAATTCAGGTAGGAAACACATCAGTACATTGGTAATTAGGGTAATTTTCCCATCTTTCGTTTCTTCGTTCTCTGACAATTATCAACCTATTTCCGGATTAAATTAACCTGGCCACCTACTCGTTTTCCATGTCGGTTTTCTGATCAGCCCTGCAATTCTGTAATAATCCAAACCCGAATTCGAATACACTCCGAATTCACTTGAAATAGCTGCATCCACTCAATCTTGAATAAGTAATAATGTTTCGTGGCATAAGTTGTGCCACTCTACTCAATTATGCCGCATAAGTGAAGTGAGTTTCGAAATGACATAGGAATAGAATAACTGAGACACGTATAATAAATCAATTTTGTTTTGTATTTTTATATAAAAAATTGAATTTCTTCACTAAATGACGTGAATTCGAAACCGAATTCGAATTTACACATGAGTAAATTCGAATTCGGATTTTTACAGAATCGCTATGCAGGAATTCTGATTCGTAAATTCGTCTTTTTCAGTTCGGAGAAAACTGTTAATTTCATAATAAATGTTATCTTTTATGTTATCTCATCATGGAATGAGAATTCCTGATGAGATAACTGACACGGAACACGACCAGGCTTAGTCTTATTTTAAAAATAGGGCCTTAGAATAAAGATATATCATATTATTACTCTACCACGGCGGCGGGGCGACATTTTTGTGCAGCATACTGCTGTGTTTTTAGCATTACTAATCTATATCACTTATAATATCAGGTGATATTTATAGTTAACATTTTTATAACCTTCTTATATGAACTTCATCAGCTCGACGAAATGGAGAGACTGAAGCGACTTATCCTAGTCGGCAAAACACCACTAAAGGAATGTCCACCTGAGCTGTTCAATCATCCTGTGTTCGTGTTCTGGCGTATGGTCAACAGAGAGGTAGCCAGGGCTTCCAAGAAAAGAGCAGACGCTTACTACAGGAAACTTAAGGCGTCACAGCGATTCGACCAGGTATGTATTAACCTTACTCAAATAAGCTAGCACCTTAGTTGGAACCATAAGCAATCATTACACAATTGTTGCAATTGATTCAGTAGCAGTTATAAGCGAAAATGAAACAAAATGGTCAGTGTACCACCATTATTACTTCGGGGTATAAAATATAGATAACAGCCTATTCTCAAACCTACTGAATATACATATAAAATTTCTTTAAAATCGGTCAAGGCATTTCGGAGGAGTATGTATAAATGAAGTGACTGCGCTAAATATGAATTGATATAATTGTCATAAGAAAGATCAATAAATCAAAGGTATGTCTAATATTCAATCGCGTATGGATATATCATCTATATCTATACACTCATACATCTATAAAAGGAGATCCCGACATATTGACCGACAGACAACGCACAGCTTAAACAACTGCTAGTAGAGATTTGAAATTTGATGGGTACATTCGTCTTAATACGTAAAGGTATACTAAGGACGGATTTTTGGAAAATCCACCCCGAAGGGAATCAAAAAGGGAAATTTTTTTGTATGAAACTTCTTTGTTTCGGTATTCGGGTAGTTTAAGACCCTAAGAAAGTAATTAGTTATATTTCATCCCGAAAACTAGCACTTAAAACGATGAAAATTGGATTAAAAGTTTTTATATAGAATCAAAATGTTACCATACCAACCATTGTTTACAATTTAATTTTTCATTGTTATAAATCTATCTAATATTATTTATAAAAAATTTCTTATATTGTGATAAAAATTGGTATTTGAGTTACATAATTGATAACAAAAATAATATTTTCAACAATTTTTAGTACAAATCATTTAATATACGAAAGAAAACACAAACTATATATTTTGTACTATACTAAAGATAACTTTAACTATATTTTTACATGACACTGATTTTGTCACGGTTGAGTTTTGAAATTTTTTTATCTTATAATTTATTTGTAGTAATGTTTTTTTTTACATCTGTGTTTCTAATTAGATAAATAGGTTTTCAGAGATGTCTAGCTGTTGCTGTACGCTAAATAATAAATATTGCGGATATTTTGCTATTAATAATTGTGTTTAAAATCGTGATCCTTGACAGTTAACCAATTCCCTGGGCTTTGTACAGCCACACTGTAGAAGGACTTTATGATGCGTGCAAATGAATGGAGATATTCTATTAAAAGATTAGCCGCCTATTCATTGTATATTAACCTAAATGTCGTTTTCATTAGCTCACACAAATCTCCTTAATTTAAACTCGAAAAAAAAACATTTCTGAGTTTAAAAGTCGACCAAGCAATTGTGATTTACATTGTTCTTAGATCTGGTTATTACTGTCTGGTTATTATCTTATACTATGATATAATGAGTGACAAAGAGAATCGTTTAATTATTCCGTATTTATATTATATAGCGAAAGTAGGTCTGCGTATTTGTCTGTAGCTCTCACACCAAGGCCACTAAAAATAGATGAATTGAGATGGAACGTAGGTTGCTTTTTATTGTAACAAAAAGGTTAAACTAGGAATTTAAAGTTTTTATAGAAGTTCGTCATTGTCAAAGATAAAATCATGAAACTTTATATTCAGATATCAATACTTTGTATAAAACAAAGTTGCTTTCCGCTTATGTATTCCTATGTATGGTTAGATCTTTAATACTATGCAACGGATTATGATACGATTTTTATTTAATAGATAGGGTGATTCAAAAGGAATGTTTGTAACATTATAATCCAGGACCACACATACGAAGTCACTGGCGGAAAGCTAGTGAATAACATTTTTTGAGCGTAAGCCAAAAGTAACTATACCACGCGGTAGAAGTCACAGGCGAAAGCTAATTCATTAGAAAGTGAACATTAATAAATACGTGATTAACTTTGTAACCGAGAGATTTTACATTTAACACTTTATTTCGCTCATTACCTCATAATATTTCTCAATATTGGATATCTACTTTCTTATAGTCTATACACATCATCTTTATGCCTCTTAAATCTTACAGACTTAAGCGAATGTACTTATTGTTCGATTGGTAATTTTTCTTTGTGGCATTACAGATAACGTTTGATTCTATGTTAATTAATTTTATTGACTTCTGTTTTATAAAATGTCGTGTTTTAAAATAAAAAGGGTGGCCTCGTCCGCGAACTTTGATAGCATAGGCGATGTTCCTGATGCCGGTACCCGATAAGAGGCATTGTTTACAGTAAAAAATTAAAGCCCATTTTTTGTTTTAAATTTTTAAAACATAGTGGCATAAGTTGATTTAAAATAGTTCCTATCTTTCTTGGGCATATTTTTCTTCTACAACAAAAGACGTCCTGAATGGGTGATAGATAAAAAGTAGCTCAATGCCCTATTTTATCCCGGACCTTTCCCCTCACGCGACGGTATTTTACAACGGGTTTTATCAGCTAAACACACTTAGAGCACATTTAGACTCACCCGAGCAGGTTATAGTAGTTTGAGAACCTTAATTTGAATCAGAAAATGCATTTACCCTGCATAAACAAAAAACCGGTCAAGGCGAGTCGGACTCACACACGAAGGGATCCGTATCATTATCCATAAGGGTTCCCTAATTACTACGGAACCTCGAAAAGATGATTCAAAAATGCTTTAGATAAGTTAATTTTAATAAAGAATCTTCTCTTTATCATGTCAGAAAAAGAATTGGGATCTTACTACATTAAAAATGACCTTAAGGACTTCATTCTATAATTTTTCTATACTCATAATAGTTATTCAAACAAAATGGCACGTTATAACTACAAATATCTTATACATAGCTATACAAAATATGTAAAAGGTGTTGTTTTTCTTCAACTAATTGATTCTCTCTTGTTTCACCTTTGTAGTCATTGGATGGAGAATCTGAGACCGAAGTAATCGAAGAAGAAGCTGAGCAACTGACCTCCGAACAATTGCTATCAAGATGCCACCAAGAGTTGGAAGAACAAAAACAACTGGACATCGAACGAGGCGTGCGTTTCACCGACGAGCAATTCGCACAGCTAAAGTATGAAACGCACGATGTGAAAACGCTTAAAAACCTCACTGTTAGTATTTCAATATTTTATTGTAAAAATAAATCGTATTTTTAATAGGTACCTGTACATGTATTATATGCAAAATTAACGACATCTACAGCAAGTAACTCATGGGAATTTCACTATTAGCGTATGTCTACACCGAACGTAGTGTCGGCAACCGCATGTGAGCAGACTGACTGTGAAACAAAATAGTGTTATTAAGTACGTTACGCTGTGCGCTAAATGGCCAACAATTATAAATAGTATATGCATAGTATACGGTACCCTACCGTAATACGATTTAATTAGGGTTATTTTCTAATATATTTAATTAAATTCTTGAAACAAAAAATAAACAAATAAAAAATAACCATATTTCGTACAAAAAATAATCTCATTAAAAACAGAAATGTGAAATGCGAGAAAAGTTCAATAGTGAAAAACGCGCTCTTAAATTTAAACTTCGCCGACAAAAGGATCGAGATCATTTGGATGCCAAGTCATGTGATAATTCATGCTTATGATTTGACTCGGTCGTATTTAGTTAGTTTATTTCATGTTTAGGCTGACTAATACTATGCCCGTTTTCACTAAACGTAGGAGTCGCCCAAATCTGTCCCCTAAATTTACATTATTAGCTAGGAACTACCTAACGAAATTAAGCAATGTCTAAAGTAAAGATGTTCGTTAAGGTCCTTGCGCTAGGCATTCGCGTATATGATAAAAAAATATTTATTTGGAATTAAACTAATCTACTTACATCACACTATTTGTATGAGTCTTAAAAATTAATATTAATTATTTCAATAAAACTAATCGAGGAAATCTGCCACGTGGGGCTGGTGAACTAACGTAAAGTATGAATCACGTTAATATGAAAAACCCGTCTGACAATTACCTACTTAGAACTATCAGTACTGTCAACGTTTCAATAACGAAACATCTGCAATATTTGTTTCTAGATAGTATGATGATATGTGTATTTGTTTAAACTTAAAACATTATCTAGGTTCCAAGTCCCTACAATAAAATCAGAAATATCCAGTTTTATCGCAGTCCGTCTCGACGCGTTACTATCAACAGCGCTACTATTGGTAAACATTATTTTATCGCACCAATACTTATTTTCAAGTTTAAATAAATCTAATTTGAAAGAATATACAACACTCTTCAAAAAACATATAGATATAATATAAGATTAACGAGATTTGTTTGTTCAAACTAGTCATACAACAAAATCGCATCGTTTACTAACGACGGTAATGATGCGACCGCGTCCTGTTTTTACTCGAATCACTCGAGTGAATCTTTCAAACTCCTTCTCTACTGAAAAAGAATATCACTCGAGTTATTTAAGTTATCGAATTGATCCTCTTGCCACTAGATGTCACATCGTTACTTTAATTTATTAATGTATGCCGCTTTTTTTAATTTTCTTGATAACTTAAATAAATAATATGTCAAAACTCTTTTAATATGTATTTTATTTATATTATGTATGTATTTGTTTAAAATTACTAAGATTAATCTCACTCGAGTAGCATGTTTGAAATATTTTTACTCGAGTATCACTCGAGTGAGGTAATTAATTGGCTCGAGTGACTCAAATCACGAAATCCTACTCGAGTCCCATCACTATACGACAGTACGAACAAACGATGCGTTTAAGACGTTCCTTTATTTTTACGACGACGCTTAAAACTTTTTAAATATAAGCAGCTTGTAATACGGATCTTTTTAACTTTGCAAACCCGTTTGAATAATGGGAAGGAAAGAATTAAACATATTTATATGAAATGTTTACTAAACTAAAACATAATTAACTAGTATTTTATGCGACCAAATAGTAAGAGTGACTGGTAAATTTATGTTTCGACGTATATATTCTAATGCGCCCATGTGTGCATGCACTCTATCATTTGTTTACACACAAGCCGGCATCGGCTCGTGACCAACCGGCGAATACCAGATAAATCGGACCGATATTTGACCCTTCGGCATTTAGGTAGCCTGAGTAGGTCGATAGCTCTGTGGACCTGCGACTGAGAACTCGTGTACTGCAGCTTCATATTTATGTTGTTAAAAATAGGTAAAGTTAAAATTAACACAGATATTAGGCAAAATCACCATGTTTGTCAATAACGTAGATGACGATCGCTGAAGACGCCTACATGACCAAAGTATTATCTAATTTTACTCGTATTTATTTAAAGTTTTAATTGAAGTAACAAACTTCTAGCCAGCCAGATCTTTCTCACTGTGACGAAAAAAAAATTTACTTGTGATTCACGATACCATATTTGGAACGAATTTTTATCTCCTATAAAAAAGGTAAAGTACAGATGATAAGTATAGTCGCTTTTGGTAATTAAGTGCCCGTCTGAAGTGTGTGTTACATGCTAAAAATAAATGGGTACATTACAAGAAGAGTAGCTCGATCGCACTCGGTCTGCGATACGGTTGTTAAGGAACATTCGCAATGGTCCGTTATAGGATGGGTGACCAAAAGTTTAATATCTAGAAATCCTCCGTGTTTTGGAAGGCACGTTAAGCTATTGGTCCCGGCCGCATAGTCGCAGTCGGTAATACCCAACAATCCGTACTGATCCTGCGTTGTGGGTTATGGATTCGATTCCATCCATAGGAAAGGCCAGAACTCTAGCAGTGGGCTCAACATTAATGATGACGATAACGAGAAGAAATCGAATATCATTGAATTAGTTTTACTATATTCTTCACAAGATCATAATGTGGTTACGTTTTTAATAAATTCTACATTATGAAATATGATGTTAGCCCGCTTCAAACTTCGAGTAGCAAAGCTTTAGCCTCGTGTGCTAGACTTAATTAGTATAAAAATAGCGATAAGAAGAAATATCTTGTAAGTAAAATCGACTCAGACACTACATACATATAGGTATCTCATATGTATGGGTCAACAAGTTCACTATTATGATTATCATATCCATGTTATGCGACAGAACCTTGGAACTCACTTATCATAAAATAATTCACAAAACAAACACTTCTCGGTAATGATGACATTGAAATTGTCAAAAAATATGACCCGTCTATGAAATATAGAATTATTTTTAATGAAAAATGTTAAAAAATCCACCAGCCTTTTATCCCGAGACTACTCGAACCCACAACCTTAGGCAATCCGGGCTCTTACTATTCGTAGCTAAGACCCAATAGGTTTGACGACTATTTCAGGCACTTGTTACTTTTCGCTGCTAGTGAGCTTATTTTCATCAATGTTCAAGAAATCCATCCAAACAACCGAAATTAATATTTAAGTAGATTTTTTAAAGTATTTTTCATTAATTTAAGTATAATGAATAATCTAATTCTCAAAAATAACGATCTAATTTGTTAGTCATCACATTGCTCTTTTAATAACTCCATAGATCCGAATAATTATTGATGAAAAAAATATTTTATGAATTATTGTGTAGGTATTTTTTTTTACATTTAATTTTTGCATCCACAATTTTTTATTGATATTTATCCTATATTTATTTAGTAACAATTTTTTATAAAAAATTTTCTTCCAATTGAAAGCAACAATTGTTATACGGGGCTTTTCAATCTGTTCATATTTTACTAAGTTTCATATCATGTTAATAGAACATATTATGAAAATTAAGTTAAAAACGCTATAGTACAGATTGACCACAAATTCGTATATATATAGTAACAGTGTAATTTACTGATTACATAATAATGTATATACTTATATATTGTATTTTTATAACATCTTTCTTTATCAAATTTTTAATTGCCCTGTTATAAAACGAATACTCGATTTTTAATTGAATTTTGTTATTAATGCCAGCTAATTAATTCCAAATGAAGTAATTTTAGATAAGAGAAGAAATCCTTAGAAGAACGTTATTGATGTGAATTTACTAACTACATAATGAGAAAATTTTAAATGCTACAGATACATTTTTTTTTTTGCTTTATAAAATGTCATCGATGTACGAGTATTTAATACTTCATCTGAGACATTTTTAATGTTAAACAAGAATTATGTAAAACTACACAATATATAAATGAATACAGCTTACCTAGAATTTCTTAAATTAATGACTTTCTTTTATACTGTAACTGAATATTTTTTTATATTGTATTGTTTCAGACAGTTGAAGAATTGTATTCACTAGCGGACAAGATTATAGGAACGAAACGCCTTTAGCTTCACGTCATAAAATAAGGAAATGATAGGATGATATACGTGGGTATATACCATAGGTCTTAACTAATATAGTCTTTTTTATGTCAAAACTGTGAATTTAAGCATTCCCGTTAGGATTTTATAGTCCTATTATTAAGCAGATTACTTAGAATGAACAAAAAATATACACTAGTTACCAAGAAAAATAAAAAGCTATAATTTATGACTATAAGAAATTCTATTTTATAGTTTAAAGACCTACCGAAAAATCAACTCTATAGATATAGACTTAAAACCTTTCAATTGCAGTTCTGCGATCCACTTCACCAGAAACAACGTAGGACTTCCATTTAGTTGAACGTATTTTGACTGGTTTTCTAGCTCGAGCTATTATTAACAGCTTATTTAAAGTGTTACCACCATATTTTATTTATATAAACTCAATTCAATGTTCGCATGAAATTCACAAAATGCAATTTGAATAAGCTACAAAATTGTTATGTATGTAATGGCTAACTTACAGTAGTCGATGAAGTCCGCGTACGGGTTGCGGGCGACTTCTTTGGCTCGTTTTCATTGGTCAAATAAATGAACCCACAGACGTTGCCCGCACTCCGCGTAGTGATTTCGTCGACCAGTGTAATTAAGCTGTTAGTAATAACTAAGATTAGAGATTACCGGGTTAAACAATTTGTTTATTTTTAGATCTATAAGGTAGTGTAACATGAACTTTATTTTTGTAGTGTCATGAACTCACCTATTCACTTTTATTATAGAAGATAGATTTGTCACTCATTTTACATTTGCGATGTACCTTTATAAAATTCCTAGATACAAAAACATTGTAAAGTTTTAAATGTAGTGAAAGTAAGCGACACTGTGATTTTGTATTTAATAAATGTCCATGAAATTAAAAGGTGATATTTCATTTCACTTCTAAGCAAAATGTAAACATTGTTTCATTTTTAAACTTAAGTTTATGAGTAACTCACAAATGAATGAAACTGATGTTTTTGTTGAAAATAATTTTATATCATTAAAGCAATTAACGGAGTAATCATTAGGATATTTAATATAATTCATTTGTTGACCTGATTCAGAATCGCCCCCTTGACCGTCAAGACGAAACAATATAAAATTAGCTATGGTGGTTGATTCTATGATTTATTCGGATCTGGTGAGATGAGAGAGTGAGAATGAGTGTATGGAACTAAAGACTGCAGATTTTGTTTTCTGTTTTGGTTGATTTGATTTTTATATTGAACTAGCTTTCTTTCAGCCTTTCGTCCGCGTGATCCTGGATTATACTTAAAAACCTTCATCTTGAATTACTCTGTATAATATTCATAATAAAAAATGCTTGATAATCCACTTTGTGCCTAGTACTCTAAGATGAGACTAGAACCTATAAATTATAGCATTTTTAATTATGAATATATTTCAGTATAGCATTGTGAACGTAAAATTAATCAAATATCAAGACGAAACAATATAAGATTAGGAATAGGGAAGTTATGCGTGTACATACGTTTCGGCGATTAACTTTTATTCATCAATATTTAATAGCTTGCCCGGACATACTTACTCTGCATATTTATAAAACCGTTCTGTAGTTTGAAAGATCTCAGCGGGAAACCACTTAGTTTTATACTATACTAGCTGACCCGGCGAACTTCGTTTAAAAAAGAAATCTTATATACAAACCGTGTCATGAATCGTGGAACACATAAAAAATAGAATCATCCAATTTGGTGCAGTCGGAACTGGAATTCGGCAGTTATGCGCGTACATACGTTTCGGCGATTCATTTTTATTCATCGATATTTAATAGCTCGTCTGGACATTTTTTTTATTTTTCGATAACTCATTAGCTACTTATTTTTTTGATATAGTGTAAAAAGCAATTTTGATCTACATTACATGCATAACGTATTTAAGTTATTCATATGAATAAGGATGAATACTGTATTATTAAAAGTAGGTTCGTAAATAACCCATCATTTTACTGTTTAAGTATACGTAAAAATGGTTATTGTTTCCTTGGAATATAGAATATAGAATTGGAAGATTTTGGCAGCGTTTTCGAGGAAAGCTTTAAGTTTTCCAACATATTGAACTAACATCGTTGTAATGTCGTCAGTTTGTACAAACCCTAAACTTACTATACACTAAAACCTGTCTTAAAAATTGCTCTATATGTACAGTACTTTTCCAATTTATCGCGAACAGACAGACGGAATCGGCAGGGGACTTTGTTTTACACTATGTAGTGATGTAGAAACATGGACTGTATCTATACTAATATTATAAAGAGGTAAAGATTCTAACTTTGTTTGTAAGTGGTTCATTATCTTCTAAAATTATGACCCGATCGTGAAATTTTTTTAGCCTACGGAAAGCTGATTCATATGCGGGTGACATATGCATATTATTTGCACGGAAGGAGTCTGATTTTTTTAAGTTGTTTTTATTTTATAATAATACTTTATGAAAATATATATAACGATGAAATAAGACTCAGTTTATAAGTGTATATATTGTGATGGTATGTTTATTAGTAGCTCGGTGGCGTAGTGGATTAGCGCCGCGGCCCGCGATAGTAGTCGTTAAGCAACTTTCGCAAGGGTCGGTCACGGGATGGGTGACCAAAAAAATATTATCTCGAGCTACTCCGTGCTTCGGAAGGCACGTTAAGCCGTTGGTCCCGGCTGGATTTGCAATCGTTAATACCCTCCAATCCGCATTGAGCCAGCGTGGAGGGTCATGGCCACGTCATGGCCCATCCACCTTAACCATCCATAAGGAAGGCCTGAGCCCCTGCAGTGGGGACGTAAAAGGGCTGATGATGATGATGATGATGTTTATTTTAGTGTTGGTATGGCAGTATGCGAGGACATAACATAATAAATGAAAAGAGCAGTAACATCTTATACGTTTATTGACTTATTGTGCTAAAATTATTTGTACACTAATTCGGTTATAATTAAATGCCAGCTTTTTAAACCATTTATCAACAAAATAACAACATGTTTCTCATTTTTACGTAAATGTTATATTTAATTAATTAATATCCTAACTATCTTACAAATTTATTTGTCAAAATGATGAATGTGCAATCGTCGTATTGACTTGTCAGAAGAAGAAAGGCATAAAATGTATAATTTATAGATTACCATGCGACATCTTTATATTGTCATCAATATGCACTCCGACTCGTAGCACGTAGCAATAAATCTGGAAACGTAGTCCGTAGCAGTTTTTGTGCATGTGTCTACGATTTAAAATGTCATTTTGAAAAAGTATACAACTTGTGTAGGTTGATAATTTTATTTTTTCATGCCTTTTTTCTTCTTAAAACCTTATTAGATTTGTAAAGCTTTTGTTTAAACTTATTGATTATAACTTAGTTCTACTTTTTTCGCAGTTCTCAAAGTTTAGTACTTTTTTCTAACTTCAGCATGTTTTAAACAAGAATTGTACAATTTTAATACCTCTCACCAATCATGAAACAAATTTCATATAGACCTATAGTAAATTTAAAGTACAGTTAACAGTACACGAGATTATACAAAATTGAGAAAAATTATATCAATTAATTATAACCTCTGTGTTATTATTTAAATTATAAATTGAATGAGGTAATTTGTCATTTTTTAGTAACCTGTAGCTGCATTTATGACTTAAAGCTTTTGTAGTCATAATATATACTTCACAGCCGTTTTGATGCAGACTCTAAAATCATCTACGCAACTATATTTTATTGATTAGTGCTAATTTTGTAGGTAAATTTAGTTTAATATAGTCGTGACTGCAAATCGTTTAAACTTAATAAGTCTTAATACCATTCACGCAATAGTGAACAGGCAAATATATATCCTACGTTATTGGTCACAAGTGACTTTTTTGTCTCCGCCGTAGCTGGGCGTAGATTAGTCCGGCTGGTTTGTCGATGGGCTGGTAGATATGGTGACGGGGATCGCCTTTAGTCACGTTAGCTGGGAACTTTGATAGGTCGATGTTCAAATAATGTTTGTTGGGCATCGTCATCCTCACCCAGGTGATCTGTTGACAAATCGAATACGAAATATTAATTTCTTTCATAATCTGAGCTAATTCTAATTAATAAATATGTAGACGGATTGTTCGCCGCCGGTTTCAAGATATCACCATCTCTGAAGTCCTGGGTTTTCGAATCCGTTCGGGTCAATGTAGAAAATTAAACTTTTCTATATTGTCTCGGGTCTGGGTGATAATACGGGGCCTTAACCTACTCATATTGGAATCTGAGCAATGCATGTGATGTTGTTTAATATTTATTTATTTCGTTCATGTTAAAACGAGGTCTGAACTAAGGTTATGAACACACTTATGAAAATATTAAGATGGAATTATATTCTACCGCGCTGCAAGACGCCACAGACGGATAGCTACTAGATTTTATCAATACACAAGACGGGACTATAGCATAATGACTTCCTAAATTCTGGATAATAAATATTTGTAATTGTAACATTTGCACATGAAATAATTGATGTGTAATTAAATAAGAAAATGAATAAATAAATAAAACGGTGCTTAAAGTTAAAATAACATGAATTCTAATCGCGTGCGCATAAATTTATTCTAGAAATATATAATATTATATAATTTACTGATCTTTTATATGTAGAATTAGCTTGTTTTTGTTCGAATATTAAATTATATGCGTATAAGCTTATCTGGTTCGGTAACATTAACCTACATCTTATATATAGTTAGCATATAAGTTAACTACCTAAAATAAATTCTCTTTATAATGTCTAAAACATATTTTGATAAAATAAGATATTTTTACTATGCAAGGTTTACAAGTTTATCAATAATATTTATGAAGATATACCTACTATAAAGATCATATCCTGTTCAAAGTCATATGACCGTACTTATGTATTATCTATGGACCGTAGTTGTCTCTTTGTTCCTTGAATTAAATATATTCATCGATATAATTATCTCAAGATAATTATAAATATCAAAGACTTAATATTGGACTGACACATGTTAATGAATTAACCATTCTGTTAACGATTAACGAGTCTACTTAGGAAGAAATTTCATTTTCCTTTAATAAACATTATTTTTATACGTGTAAACGTGTGTGTAGTATAGTTAATGTGTATCTGTTGTGTAGTGTAGATGGATATTTATTACTTTTATTCCAAGTAATGGAGATGACGACAGTTTTTTTTTAGATAGATTATTGAAGAATATTGAACATGTTTTTTTTTTGCATAAACAATTAATTACGGCAAACATGTACTTTTTATTTGGTGCGTTATCAATAAATTACGGCGATGAGTTGAAGTGACGCATGACATCACACCTTTGTTTATTTTCTACATAGTTATGACGTAGCGAGCCCCCATTGTTCTACTTTAAAGCCTATTAAGCCATTTACTTTTCCAAAAAATACGTATCTAATATTTTTCTATTATATGCCTCAGACTAAATAGAATATCTTTTTTTATCCGGGCATCAAAGATAGATCCATCGGGCGACAGACGTATCATATGAGGTACGCTGACCGATCGTCTGTCGAGACTGCGTTAATATCATACTATTCATCTAAATCATAGTATTCAACAGGATATCTAAGCCTTCGTTTATAAAATTATCTAAATTTACTTAAAGTGGAATCTTTTCTAAGGCAATCTAAATCTAACATAAGAGGAAGAGGGTAGATCGATATATCTGCCAATAACATCCACCCGCAAAACTTCAGATACTGCTAGTGCAGTAATGCCTATTAAGCCATTTACATGATCGTTCATGAAGCTTGCAGCAGCACCGAATTCTCGAGGACTTAATAAATAAGGTACATGTTAGCGATCTCGTTAACAACTATCATTCTTATTTTAACCAATCAACATCTTGAGTTTTTTAAATAAAAATAAATAAATAAAAAATGAAATGATAACTCCTAGATTATGTTTGGATAAAACGTCGTTCAAGCATTTTACATGTTTTTGGTATTACGCGTAAAGTTTGTTTATAAGTGCGTATGTATGCGATGATTTATATAAGACATCCATTTACACGAGTTATCTTAGCACGCGATCCAGCACGGGTGGGGGAATAACAAATGTATTTACCCATTATGACATCGATAGTTAATTGACGTAACATATATATACACAGCAGCATGTCAAAGATATCACTATAACGAATTTCCGCAGTTGATTTTGAACTCTACGTAAATACATCATGGTTTGAAATAGGGAAATCTAACAGCTATAAATGGTTCTAAAGTTTACTGTTTAATTCACATTAGAACTCAACCAAACCAGTTCAATAATCTATGTCATTAAATTATTTATTCATTAAACTAATTCGATTTTAACTGTAGAAACCAAATAAACAATTATGGTTTAATATGTTATAAATACGTATTGTGGGTTATGGCACGTTCTACCTATGTGATCATATCTCTAAGAGAGACCTACACTCTAAAGTGAGAATTAATGATAATGATAAAAACCTAACAGACACTAAGATTCCACAGAACGACTTTAATTTATAGACTACTAACTTTCCGCCTCTGGTTTTACTCACGTGGAATTCCTTTAAGGCGAGGTTGTACGGAATGACTACTTTTTAAACTAATTTTATTCGAAAACTAATCTAAAATCTGCCAAATAAAATTCCATTTTTACTATATAAAAATCTATATAAAAAAGAGTTTTATATAATCTAAAGTGTATTTTTTTTTAAACTGCATTTCTGTGATTAAAATATATGTAATAAAATAAGTGTGTCTTTACTCTCGATGCTTATAAGTAAGGGAACGTAAGCGGGGGTATGAGAAAGCCTTAAGCCTGTTTTTCGTAATAAAACTATCATAATTTTCCAAGGTTCACTCCATTTGAGTACCAAATTTAATCTAAAATGGTTCCGTAGTTAAAGTGTGACAACGTAACAGTGCACACACGCACAGACAGAGTTACGGACAGACTTGTATTTATAATATTATAGTATGTATCATTAACACGCGATGCATTAGTTTTGATTCGCCTCAACACGTGTCACATGTCAACACTAAGGTCGGTTCAAATCTCACTCTCGTCTCACGGAAATAAGCGCTAATAGTTATCAGATTATCCATCAATTGAGTTAGGTGGTGTAAGTTTAATTGTTGTATCATACAGAAAAATTTTATAATGAGTACGCTAATTTTAATATTGTTTTCAGTGGAGTTAATCATATTCATATTTTATCTCTCTCTTTAACCTACTAACATCGAATATAAAAAAGTAATGTCTATAAACACGTTGCTACCTGTGCTATGAAAATCAATAAACCTACAGTATTATTTATATTAAAACAAACACGAAAATAATTCTATTTTAGCAATTTTGCATTCATAATGCTTCATCTAGAAAGATGCTTAATAAATTCACTAGTCCTAAATGCCTAATATGGGATTCGTACCCATAACCAATCACAATCCGGACAACTGCTCTGCCTAATTAAACAACTCGATATCTCAATAATTAAAATGAATATGTTAATCAATATTAAATTATCGGTTTAAATTAAAAATTAATACTCTAAAATAATATTGTCTGTATATTTCTTAGTACGTTAACTCGACAACGCATCGCAACGATACGCAACGCATCTTCTGGCAGATAGGTATGCACCGACCGTTAATGTTCACTAGCGTTGTGTTTTATTAAAAAGTTTATGAAGTTCTTACCTCTGGTACTTTTTCCAAAACTACTTTTTCTGCTTGATAAAGAGTGTGTTGCACTGACGGCGAGTATACGCCAGTATCCGGAGGTCCAGCAAACTTGTCCAAAATGGCATCCTTCACGGTCAGCCACGCATTGTCAAAGTTGGCTGTGCGCATGCTGTCATATGTCCATTCAGCTTCCACCACCGTACTGAATTAGAAAATAAAATAAATTGAAATAATCCCATATTTATTTAAAATCTTATTCCATTTAGACTTTATCATCTTATATAATTTTTAGGGATTTCCAAACTATTTTGGACAACATACGTCTTTTTTCTGTTCTGTGGGTACCGCAAACCTCACGTTACTTTAAAATGCTTTTCCTGGTGTTCCTATTGATACAAAATATTTACTAATTCAAAACTTAGCGGTTAACGAGTAATCAATAACAAGAGTATAAGATTTAACAAAATAAACAGATATAGACTAATAGGGCATCGTGAAAGATAGAAAGAAAAACAAGGCTGATTTGGACCTTGTTAATCCCCGGATTTTGACCCCAAGGGGTCAATTTCTATCACTCTGGGAATCCCTGACTTAGACGATATGTTTCCTTTGCAATTTTTTGTAATAGGGATTACAGATCTAGGGAGATATAAAGGTGGTTAATTTTTTTAAATGAATGTGTGCACGGAAATATAAGAACCTTAGTTTAGATAAGATGTTAAATTAATAAGAGAAAGGCGAAAAGTAACCAGACTTTCAAATATTGTCATTACCTGAATATTCTTTCGGCTGCATCAGGAAGAGTTGTATATTCATCTTGAACAAAGTCTACGAACGCGGATTGTGTTGTTTTTAAAACTCTTAAACCGCTTAATCCTGACTTCACTGCCACAGCCTCTGTTTAGACATAAGCAAAAGTTATGTTCAAACTTATTTTTACATTTGTGATCTTTTATGATATTTCTAAAAATTTACATGAAATAATCTGTATTAATTGGAAAGTTAACAAGATGGAATATTCATTTGAATATATTCTAATAATACAGCAAAATGCTAAAGCTAGTTAAAATTTCGTGCCAGATGTTTTTTACATATTCTTGTCAACAAAAGAATGTATTTAAAAAATCGTACTTTCATAAACACAAGGCGGAATGCCAGCAATAACATAACTCACCGTGCCGAGTTTGTGATACTTCGCACCATCTGGTTGCGGTCGGAGAGAAGACGAAAGCATGATTGTGTGGTACGCCAGCCTGCAATCTCTCCCAAGGATACTCAACGACTCGACACTTGGCTGCCACCACTTGTTTGTACATATACAGAAAATGGTTTACAACTACAGCACCGAACTCTTCGGGAGTCTTGACGCCGTGCTTTTTGGCTAATAAATAGATGGTGTTCTTCTGCGAGTCTGTAGCGACCACCTCTTTGTTGTCACCGATGACGTAAGCAGTTTCAGAGATCAGCTTCAATTCTGTGGAGACCTCAAATTCTCTGACTGTATGGTAATCATTGTCGCGGTGGACATGTAACAGCTTAACGCTACTCTTGCCGTAGCCATGATCGCTGAGTTCGAACCTGCCACCAGTATCTGTGGCGGCAGTCTGGGATGTGAATGTACTCGGCACTGCCATTACACTCTCTCCACCGCTCGTGTTTGAAGGCTTCGCGTAAATTCTGTATGAACACAAAATATTTTAACTTACACTTATATTTCAAAACACTTTGTATCAATTTCAAACACATATACTGAGCTCCATAATTTATAGACCACACAACATTATAATATTTTCTTTTGTCTCATATCGATGACAGACTTCTGATTATTCTGTTAGCAAATAGTACGAAGATAAAAAGAAAAAAGTAATTTGACCATAATTTAATCACATATAAATTACGAAGCTTGACTGGAATTATAATTACAAAAAAATAAATTTTTAATTTGCTAAAACATCCTCATTTTTTAAGAGTTTTTTCAATTAATTACCTGTTGGTACTAGTCCACGGCATATTAATAATATAAAAATATCACTTTATTTTGAGTGTGTGCAAAAAAGAGCGTCGACGCATCGAACGCGGACAAAACAATGTGCGTTATCACTCCGGGTGCTGTTACTTATAAGGGTGCACTGTGACCCCCCTCTTATCATAACTGAGCACGCGCCTGCTACCGGTTACACTATTCATAATAAATAAATAACTATATACACAACGACAAATGATATTTGCAATTTATCATATATCTTATGTCATCGCCTATTATTATAACGAAACTCTAATAGCCTAAAAATATATAATTACTTACATCACCTGCTAAAACTGTTTATTTTTTAAGACACTATTTGTTTTAAAAAATAAAATTAAAGGTTAATTTTATCTTTCTTTTTATTTAAAAGTGCGATGCGTTCTTGCTAGGATTGACGAAACACTGGAATGATGTGATTAACTCGCGTAACTCATCATCTTTCTTATCGTAATATAAAACAACTAATTATTGTGCTATTATTTTTATGGGGTTCCGTAGTACTATATTACATTATAGGTGCTAGGAATTACCTACGTATCTATCCTTTTCAAAGTTAGTTAAGTCAGAAATACCAAAATATATAAATTTGAAACTAGAAAACACTATCAATGTTCGGGCAATCTAGCCAAACAGCCGAAAGATATATTTTTGCAAATATTTAAAACTTTCGATAAAGATGAAAATTTGTACTAATTATCATATTTGATAAATTTTGCATTCACAATGATATACTGAAAAATATTCTTAATGATAGCGAAAGGTCATGGGTTCGAATCCCATCTCAGGGTGCCAGGGACAAACTGGATTTTTCAGCATTTTTCATTAAGAATATTTACCAGTATAGCATTGTGAATTCAAAATTAATCAAATATAATAATACATACATCTTGCTGGGCAAACTCAAAACAAACTTTCGCTTCAAACCATTCAACTTTCTTCTTCTTAAAGTGCCTCTGCAACTAGTGAAGGTTGGCCATCAGCTTCTTATAGCCATCCCTAGCCTCCGCGAGTTGGAACAGCGTGACTGCGCTAGCTATTCCCATCCACTCTCTGATATTTTGATACCACGATTTATTCCTCCTTCCAACGCTTCACTTCTCAAAAATTTTGCCCATCATTATAAATAGAAAGTCGATGTCGAAGGACATGACCCAAACAAGAGACTTTTCGTCGTTTAATTGTGAGCATTATTGTTTTTTGTCGATACATTTCAAAACCTCCAAATTGGTCACCCTCTCAGTCCAATGAGAAAGCATTCTACTCTAGAACTGATAAATCAATATTTTTTGTAGTTTCAATATTTTTTGTAGAGACAAAATAAAGGATAACTTACACGATACTAAGATAGTAATAATTCACAGGTAAACATTAATTGTAGGCGGTAACAAATAAATCACCAAAGTTTTCTTTTATATTTACAGACTAAATATAAACTTAGATAAATTGTTTTTAATTTATCCCTTATTCTAACAGTTCCCACATAATAAATAAATAAATGTGAGCATAATAAATAAATAAATATGAGCTGAGCTGGCTGCTTGGTTAAACAATAATCTTCTCACTTTAAATATGTCTAAAACAAATTACATGTGCTTTACCCCTAACCTCAGAACTCAACCTTGTTCTGATTATCGTATTGTAATACATACATGTGTGGATCGTAATGAGTGGAATTGTAATTGCCCATCCATTCAGAAAGTAGAGGAAGTCAAATATTTGGGAATCATGATGGACCAGAGGCTTTCGTGGCACTCACATCTGGATTTAGTGGCTAGTAGGGTTAGAAAGCTTATATACATTTTTAAAACATTACGAAGTGTGATGACGAGTGAGTTACTTAAAAAAATCTATATAGCGTTAGCTCAGTCTGTCATTACTTACTGTATTGCTATTTGGGGAGGTGCGTCGAAAAATAAATTCCTCTGTCTTGAGAGGGCCCAGAGGGCTTTATTAAAAGTCATGAACTTCAAACCATACAGTTTCGCTACAACTGAACTCTACGCTTTGAGTGGAGTTTTATCTGTGAGAAAGCTATATATCCTATATCTAACTCTAAAAACCCACAAAGTGTTGCCTTTCAATCCTACTAAGAACTGTAGGAGACGTAAGGGCAAAGTCATTCCCATTTCTGCGGTTCGTACAGTATTTGCTCAGCGTCAGTTTTCCGCTCAGTCTGCAGTAGTTTATAATCAACTAAATTTAAAATTAAACATATATCCTATGCAACATCACATATGTAAAAAAGCAGTTGCAGATTGGCTTGAAAAACTGACCTATGAAGAAGTAGAAAACTTGCTGGTGCGACCTTTATGAGATCATAAGAATTAAGCACGTTCACAAATACACTCACATGTATGGCCATACACACACACACACACACACTCACGCACGCACACTTCACACACACACACACACTAAATTAACACCCAAAAAGAAATTTTTAAAATATGATAATGTAAAATATGTATCACTGTTTTTCCTTAAAAAATGGTAAGAGCGAGATATCTCTAACACAAGTATTATTTTACTTGCTGGAGTCTAATGTATAACTATGTTAAATAAGTATGGAAAATAAAGGATTATTATTATTATTAAATATAAGACAACATCACAAATATTGCTCAGATCCGTTTTAACACTTGTATTTTGGAAATCCGAAACAACGAAGGTGTCAAAATAAACACACAATAACAACACCCAGGAACAAGACAAAATTGAAAAAATCATTTTCTACATTGTCGCGATCAAGAATCGTACCCGAGATATCAAAGATTGCTATTATTATTTTGCGATATTCTTAAAAATATCGTGGACAACTACCTAAAACTACAAATATTTAACTGTATTACTACTTAATTATTCAAACCACGTACGTATTCAAACGTCGTGCCCACCAAGTGAGCCCAGTGTGGATGGGTGGGTAGAAACAACTAGAGCTGAAACGATACCACCTACTCGGTATCGATACTTACTTGCATCGAGTATTTTTTTAAATGCCTTACCATTGTCGTCATTTTTATAGATTTTTAGAACACATTTACTACTATTGATAGTCAATAGCAATACTCTGTTTACAAATGAAAGGGAAGCAAATCCATGCGTAAAAAGCGATTCATATAGTTAAGACATTGCTTTAAAATTTTGTTAGCAGTGCCCTCTCTAGATAAATTTCTAACTACATAAAATTAGTAGGGGTATTACTTATTGTCATACGATAGGGACTCCGCGCCTGTGGCAATTTTTTCATCAAACAGGGTTTACCTTACCCCAGACTAAACATTCTTATGCACACGAGTTTTTTGACGCCTCTCAGTGTATGACCGACCGACCAAGTAACGAAACAAATACTTACTTCACTATACTACTTGTTACTCGGCTCTAAAGTATGGATTCCAAAAGTACTTGGTATTGAAAGAAAAGTATCGAGTGAGTACTTGTATTCACTTGTATCTTCATCCCTTGAAATGACAGGCAGCCGGGACCAAATTCAAAGCACGGAGGAGCTTAAGAAAAATTTTTGGTTACCCGTACGATGACCAGGCAGATTACCTAACCACGAGCAACTTAAAGAGACTTAATTACTTAACTAATACTGTCTTTAAAAGACAACAGAACCCTACTGATCAAATAGCGAGCATTTAATAATTATCAGTACTTTTCCGTTTAAAAAATTACACAGCAACACGGATTTACTTATATGATTGAATTATTTTAAAGCAACGGTAATCGGTATTGACCTTGGTCGTACTTACATATTCTACGTGCGTCTCACACCTCCCAAGTCTACAGAAATAAATATAAAACTATCAAACCGATTATTTTTCATTACTGAATATTTACAATGAATATTAATATAAAAAAAACACCGGTCTCATGTTCACTAACCATTAAGCATTTTGTTTTAAGATAAATGTTCTTGAAACATTTTTAATGAAAATACCACGAAAATACTATTTGATGTTAAGAGTGTGAGCTAGTTTATGATAAATTTGCGTTTACTGAGTAAAATTGATCCAAATAAAAGAAGTTATTAAGTATGGCTGATTATATTAGAATCGTAACATTATATCTAAATTACGACGTTTAACATTAGGTTTACTGAGTCAAATAGAATTGACCGAGATTAATACTTCTTGTACAGAAGATGACTCTATTAGGTCTTTCGTATACGTGATTAAAAACATTTATTTTTTTTATGAGACACTATAAGTTATTAAAGTTAACTTAATACTGCTCATCCAAAATTCTGTTGCTAACCAGACTTATGCATTATATACTTAATAGATTGTGTTATTTTTTTTCTTAAAGATACTTCGGTTTGAAATTTTTTTTATTAGATATAAATTGCAAAATAATCCACCATTTTATTTTGCAAGTTTGTCTTATCTATCTAAGAATTAGTACAACTGCCTTTTGCGAATATTATATATCATCGCCTTAAGAACTAATGCCCCCCTCGCGTGATCTGGGACCAGTGATAAAAATTTGCGCTTGAACTTCAACAATAGTGACGTCTCTTGCACAAGACTGGGTCAGAGTTTATCTCTTGTATAGTTTTCGTGAACCAGAAAATCTGTAAATAGGTAAATAACTACAATTACATAAAGCAATTACGTAAAGCCCTTACATTTGATTGTTTTTTTGTTTGCATTGAATATGCTCCTAAACTACTGGACCGATTTTTTAAATTCATTCACTTACGGGAAGTTATATCATAGGCGGGTGACATATAGATTATAATTTAAGCTAATACATACTATAGTATATTGATTTAATACAATTTTATTTTTTATTTATGATTCATCGGGTATGACATATGGTAAACTTTTGACTCCGTTGAACTTTATTCCATATTAGAGCCGAATGATAAGCATGTGATGAAATAGGTTACAAGCTTCTTACAAATAGGCTTTTCCCCTGTTTATAGCCATATTCAAATAAGTTATTTTGTTTCATTAAAAAAAAAACAATAAAAAAAGTAATTCCACAATTCAAAAAATACAAACAGTCCATATTTGTGTACGTATTAAAAGTTATAGTTATATAACCTATTTCAGCTTTATATTACTTTTGTATGGACCTAATTTTTTTAAATTGTTTTACAGACATATTACTGATGAATAAATTACTGAAATAATAATCAATATTTTCTGTTCAACTATTTTCTATGGCATCGTCTACCATCGCTCTATGAATTGGCCAATAAATAAGTATGTAAAAAAATGCTAGAAATGGCATTGAAAAATAAATTATGAATTATGTAGGTATGACAATTATTTAAAATTAGAAGAATCATAAATAAACGTTTTTGAACATAAAGAATGTTGTCAATGATATTATACCGTTAGACAATCAATCTGGACCGTGATCACATCAAAGCCGCGAATTGATAATCAAATTATCGAAATAATATCAATTACGTGATCAATTACAATCTGGGATCGATCAACACATCTGAGATCAAAATCACGGATCGATTTGACACGAAATTGATCGTTTAATAGTCCACAACGACATTACAATACTAAACGTAACTTATTATACTTAATATTTATATAAGTTACTAAAGTAAGATATAAATATCTAGAAAATTCCTAATCATCATAAAAATCTCGATTATGGTATATAAATCTAATCTTAAAATCAGACTGAGTTAAATTAGTTATTTGTTGTGTGTCAACAAATGTTACTTCATTATCATCTGAACATGCCTTTGGGTACACAATGTTTCTTTCTAAAATAAACTCTTCAGCATCAACGTATCGTAATGTGAGTGGTACCTACGCAGTTTTATAGGCAGATATTTTATGTGCGTCAATACAAATTTTATTAGGTACAATATATTTTTCATGGGTCTCGTGTTTTTAAATTTAGATGTATTATACTTGTGCGATGGTTACCCATACATTTTATTGAAGAAGGTTCATCGTTTTATTGATTAAAAAATATACGATCAAAACGTCAAAAGAACTTCTACAACTGTATTCTATTGTTCTTTTCCTGAAAGTTATCAAAAAATTGAATGTTGTATTGTTTTTACGATAGACTTCATTCAAAACACAAGATTCAAAAGTCTCATCTGAGAACAGTAAGTTCATCCATTCCTCTACAGTCTAGTCAGCATATTCTAGCGGAAAATCAAGTCTAGCTCTACCGTGTTGTGGGAATGGTTGAGGAGCGCAAACTGGACGAAAAGGCCTCAAATTACTTTCTGCTAGTCTTCTTCTAATGGTAATTTTAGTGACACTGACATTTCTCACCTCAAAAAAGACTCGTACGAATTTCAGAAGCGGTCGAAAAGACTTCTCAGCACATTAGTGACAACGAAACGGTCATCTCGAGTCGAAGTGCATCGATGTTGAACTTGACCTGGCCTGCGGGTGTATAAGTCTGTCTCCCGAAATCGTCGGATGGCATCTGCCGTAGATGGATAGTGCCGTAGTTCGAGGTACTCAGAGGTTGCAGACGATGCGATGCTGGCTATACCCTACATCAGCTAAAGCCACTGCCCTAGCTACATCAGTTGCATCGAATGGCATTTTTTTGCAATCAAAAACAATGAGTAAACACTAGAATTTTAAATTAAACAATATTTGCCCACTATGATAGAAAATAACAGGAAATGTTAACTCGGTAATACAACAGTAACAATGTAAAATCACGATTAAATTCCGAAAACCCTTCGGTGACACAAATTTACGATAGAAAATAATGGTATATATGTTTTGACTATTGCTAGAATCCCCAATAAAAAAAAACAAAACAATTGATAAGCCATAGTTGACGAAGCCAAACGGGGGATGAATGATACAAGTGGGCAGTTAATTGTGCCTGTGAGTGCACATTTATCATATAGTTCGTACTAAAATACTGAGGAACAGCCGTTTTAGAATTTTGTAGAAATCGCACATATATTAAATGCCTAATTGATAAGATTTTACTATTTGAAATATGGTCTGTTTCGTTGCTAGAGTAGGTGAAAGAATTTGTTCTGTGCTCTATTCTGTAAAATAATCAGCTTTAACCTCAAATTGAACTCGACACCAAGCAGTCGGTTATAACCGATTTGCCCAAAATAAAGGTTTTATTTCATTGAACTTCTATGCTATCACAGCACTGTACCCAGCGTCGAGTTCGAGGCGGATTTTATTACAGTTCCTGTATTATCTGTAGCTAATCTTACGTAGGTACCTACTAAAATAAACAGACAAAGCAATTGTGTATCATACCCGTGGTAAAAATAATCTACAACTACAATAATAATGTGAGCATGAAAAATGTTTTTAACTCGGAAACGACACTCTTCTGATGCTGTAAATAGGCGTTGTGAGTCAGTAAACGTCAACGTCGTGTTATGAGGGCAAAGTGTCTGCGGAACTTGCTTATGGAAATGGACGCGTTTCCACAACCTGCCCGACAGTCGAGGATTATAGACAAATATATATTCGTCGTGTTAGAGATATGTCTTGACATATTTGTGCATAATCATGACATAAAATGGAAATAATCCTTTGCACTATAATACATAATCCCCCCTTCATTTTTTAAAACCATAACCTCAAAATAAAAGTACCTAACAGTTTTTCATACAGTTTCCACCAATAGTGTAAATAACTTAAAATTTCACTATAAGTACATATGTATTATTCGTTAAAGGGTAATGTTAATATACTGAAGTGAAACAAGCTTTCGTAGAGCTGGTTAGTGGATGGGTGACCAAATATTTAACGTGATTCCTTTTAGAGGGAAAGCATGTGTCGCAGCCATATGAAAATTGATGATGATACGACAATTACCTATTGAAAATGCCGGAAAAATGAAAGCTAATTGGTAATTAGGGTTTACGTCGAGTTGTCACTTCGCTTAAGTCAAGTTATTTCTTCTTTCGACCATTGATTTTATACCTAGCGAGATATGCTGTTATTACTCAACATCATCCTATTTATTGGAGCCAAAGTTGGTCAAAGTCAAAGGCAAAAAATATTACCAAATTATTATATGCAATTACCTAATTAGGATAACTCACAATAAAAGATCACCTCAATTGAATTGACTACTTTAAGCTCTTGTGAATGTTGTGAATTCTACATTTTGAATCGGTAATGTCGTTTTAAATTAATGACAATTTCAATAGACGTTTGTGTAACTGAGTGTTCATATTGATTAGTATAAAGAAACGTGACATACATTTATATGAATTTGCAAAACCGTCGACAAATGGAAACGAGTTATAGAAGAGTAGGGCGGCTCGTGTTGCGCATGCGCGTTCGGGCGGGCGGGCGCCGCCATGACGTGCCGCTCAGCTGACGGCGGCCGTGTGACGCGCCGCCCGCCTGCGTCGATACCGTGATTACCGTGTGAGCACGCCCGCGCCACCGCCCGATCGTATACCGGCACCACACCGTACCGACATCGCCAGTAATGCACTGCCACTAAACAACCAAAGCATCTCGACATAGTTCATTCATCCGAATTCCCAATGATGGTGCGACGCAGCGGACGTTATACTGTCAACTGGCGTGGATTCAAAGACATCTTAGGAAACAAACCGCCTGACGAAGGTAAGTAATTTTAAGCATAACCTTAACTAATTTATTCAATATAGGTTACGACTGTTACTCACAAACACACATATATACTAAAAACAGGCATTTTATTTTACTCCCGAAAGAAATCTTTATACAGAGATTCGAATTTATATTACCCGTTCTCTAGAGATATGTTTGTTGTTTGTTGCGTGCAAAAAATAATTAACTTTTAGAACAATGTAATTACCTACTCCATACATTGGCTATATTAATATTGCGTAAATTCTGATTCAAATTTTCCTAATAAACAACGACTAAGAGGATATTTCCTAATCCAATAACTAGTGAAGTAAATCTAGTTATGTCACAAGCCGTAGGTTTTACGTTTGTAACTTTAATATACCTATATATATATTATGTGTTATATTATTAAATATCATTAGTAAAGAAAAAGTTGCATAAGATTTATGATATTTTTTATAACTCAATCATCAAACTAATCCTTCGACAGTTCCATAAAAAATAAGTTGAAACAGTTAATAAATAAAAGACATCATTTTCAGCAATTTACGAAATTATTTTATGATAATGTTTATTTATTTGACTAAGGAACAAGCGGAACAGGTGGGCAAATCTAAATTATATTCGAGTTAACATAAGTTTTTATTACCAAAGACTAATGTTCCTTATAACTGTTTCACTAAAAAAAATGATAAGATGGCACGTACACCAAAATTCACCAACTTTCAATAAAGATAAAACTAACGTGCAAATACGAAAACAAAAATATCATTCAAAGATTATCTTTATCGCAACCAAAAAGAGAAATTATTAATACTATGAGATGGAAAAAATGACGAAGTTACGTAGCTATAATTTCTGCCATTTATTGTTGTTCTTTTTGATAAAAATAAGCGATCGAATCTTATCTTGACACATAATTTTACTTAATCACATATATTGTAGTATGCCATATTTGCACACAGTGCTACGAGCCTCAGTTCGGCACTTATTTAGAGAAACAGATCGGCTGTTTGCTATGTCTACCCTTTTTTATGAGAATAATTGATAAATATGCAAATGACTATAGTCGATGGCATTTTGGCATAATCGTTAGCAACTACGAGTAATTAAGTTCCTCTCCAATTGCCAAATGCAATGAGATACTCAATTACGTAAACGATCTTTATAGTTTAATGACTACTTATAATGAGTGTTCTAAATTTAAAAATGTAATGTTTTGATGATCTCCACTGCGTCGGGGTGGTGGCCAGCATTTTGTGGTCATGGCAGATTCTCCCTATTCCATTCGTTACCATCCAAAACGATGGCCTGTGCCTCGGCGATAATGACATTTAATAGACTGGTAATAATTAATGAATGACGATTTAATTGAACGTTTATACAAGTGTTTTATTTTTAGGGTTCCGTATCCAAAGAGTTAAAAGGAGCCCTATTAGTAAGACTTCGCTGTCTGTCTGTCTATCACCAGACTGTATCTCGTGGACCGTGAAAGTTAGAAGTTAAAGTTGCTTCAAGAATAAAAACCAGATTAAAATAAATATTCAAGGGGGCTCCCATACAACAAAAGAGATTGTTTTGCTCGTTTCTGCTACGGAACCCTTCGTGCGCGTCCGCCACGCACTTGGCCAATTTTTTATATTTAATGTATTTTTATACATGTAAAAAAATATACTTTTCCGTCCGCCCAATTTTCGTAAAAAATCTCATCGGAAATGTTACTATTGTTATGAATCTTACGCAATGGCCAGTCATAGGGTGGGTGAAAAAAAAATAGTACATCAAGCTTATTTTCACTTCGGAAGGCACGTTAAGCCTTTGGTCCAGGCTGCAGTCTGCAGTCGTTAAAACCCACCAACCCGCACTTGGCTCGCTTGGTGTAATGATGTCCCATTTGATTCGAGTCACGGTATCTGAAGAATCGATTTAACAAGTTTGTAAATTATATAAAATGAAATCTCTTTCTTTCATTGGTATTAGTTATTCATACACAAAACTTTTATAATTTCCATAAAACTTAACGCGAGTTATCCCATTACTCATTGCTGTCGCTGAAAGCTATAGTAATCTATAGTATCGTAAAAAGATCATCATTCCACCCATTTACTGTTTAATGAGGCTCTACATTGATCAGTCAAGTAGAGCACCCCCAACGAGCACACACAATTAATTACCCATGTTTGTTTTACGAGAGTGTGCGAACTCTACAAACAACGGAACAAGTGACATTAAATAACATTAGGGACGCTATGAAATTGCAACGTTATAGAACCTTTCGACAAACAAATGTTTAGACTCCTTTAAAAAAAAAAAGAATATTCATGTTCCTCTTAGTCTATCTATGCCACGTACATTTTATGTAAATTTATAATTTAGGTATGTATTCCGTAACGATACATTTTATTTATTAAAGAAATAATTAAAACTTATACGGAAAATCCATACACGTAACAATCTTGCGACCTTAAAAAAAGAAACTGGTCAAGTGCGTGTCGAACCACGCGCATTATAGGGTTCCGTAGTTTCGTGTCAAGTACAAGTCGGAATTGCTAACCGATAGGTCCGTCCCATGCTCCAACTAAAAGCCAAACATTACTTCCTAATTTAACTTCCCATACAAATCCATAGCTGCTCAGACAATTTGTACGGAAATTCTTAATTCTTTGGATATTTGAATGTCTTCCATGTAAAAACTTGTCTTCTAAAATGTGCTCTCTAATATTATCAACAAGTAACGGAACGTTATATATCTGGGGGCACAGAAGTGCCTCCGCCAAGTCGAGCAAAAAAGTAAAAGGGCACGGTCGTACCATCCTTTTGTCGAAGTCGTTCGGGCCATTTTTACCCCCTCTAACTTGATTATGAAGTAACCTAGACGTCTAAATCTTTAGTGACCATAAGGGTATCACATAATGAGGCATATTTCCAAATAATGTTATATTTGAACAAGTACTTTAAGAATTATTGCAATTCAAAATATCATATTTTTGTCACTGGCTGAGTCATTGATTACCAAAATTCTAAGCTACTTCTAGCAGACCCACAGTCTCCAAATTTTGAACACTCTTATTATTATGCATAGGAACAGCCAGTTACAGAAACGTCCATTAAAATTGTCGTTAATTTAAAACGAGAGTACCCATACAAACTTGACATTCATTAGAGCTTATAGGCGTCATTAAACCTTAATGGACGCTTGCATCTAACCGAATCTAAGGAAAAAATCTAACATTATGAAACATTTGTCACGTTTTTAGATTTTTGTATTTTAAATAACTGTAGCTACTTCTTCTTCTTTTTTAATTCATGGCCTATTTGACTGAAGATAATTTTGAAAACAACCGTCAATGTGTTGCTTAGTAACACAAACAAAAGAGAATTTTAATACTACATGATACAAACCTTATGCAAACATTTACCAGAGTAAATAAAATATATATAATTAAAATCTATGATAAGGAAACTATTACTATAGTTGGACATAATTATGCATATCATAGATATATAAATCTATATGATCTACAAAGTGGACTAACCACGAACACCCAACAAACTGTTTGTATTCTGAATATAATAGACTTATTGTAGATACACTTACTGAACACGCTTTTCATATGATTTATCGAACCAATATATTAACGCTAATTATATAATAATTTTTAAAAAGTCCACAGTACAGAGAGAGATCTTTGATGCCCGTTACTAACGCTCAAAATATAACATCCGAAAAGAAAAAAAAGAGAACTACCTACAAAAAGGAAAAGATCCCATCAAAAACCATGTACAAAAATGCACAAGTCACACAACGCTAGTCTTCTGCTGTAAAAAGTTATGAAATCAACGTAAACCAAGTCGATGAATTCAGTACTTATCTTTCTGTAAGTGCAGCTATCCAACCTTGTCATAAATTTAAGAATACTTGGCAAATGCATAGGTATGTTAAAAGAATGTTACTTAAAAATCTATCTTAAGTTGTTAAAGGCTCCGTGCTTTATTAGTTTAAAAATAATTAGGCAATTATTGGGTGTTTGTGTTTGTTAAGTATTCCTAAATCTATGGCAAAATTCAATAGCTGTTCTCACTGAAAGATAGCTACTGAATTAATCGACTTGGTTTAGGTTGATTTCATAACATTTTACGGCAGAAGACTTACGTTGCCCACAACTCTCAACTTGCACAATTTTGAATATGTTATGTTTTTGATGGGATATACTTTACAATAAATTTATACTTTTGTTGAGTCAGTTGAATGTACAGGTTTAATGTAATAGCAACCAACTGATCCTAGTACTAACACTAGGCTTATTGGCTCAGTTAACTTATGAACTTCAAATTATCGACCTGAATATACGAAACGTATGACAATATATTAACGTAACCTTTCCCTTCCCAAATTCAATCAGTCACGCATAATAGATACACGAGGTACGAACCACATGAGAATACAGAAAGATTGGTTTATATTTTTAGATTAAAGTGTGTACACCACTTTTTATGAAGTCTCGTGTTTTGATCGTTGTATTACCCAGTTAGTTCTTAATAAAAAAGAGGCTCTTATGTCTGAATGTCTTGGATATTAAATAGGTAGCAAACTATAAAACTTGCAACAAAACAAACTTTGTAAATGCATGTTAAATATTTTATTCATAGATCAAAAACTATAAAACATACCTGCCTAAGTAATATAAATGTTTCTTAAATATGTACTCAAATCTATACTAATATTAAAAAGCTTTGCGAAGAGTTTGTTTGTTTGTTTGAACGCGCTAATCTCAGGAACGACTGGCTCGAATTGAAAAATTCTTTTTGTGTTGAATAGACCATTTATCGAGGTAGGCTTTAGGCTATATAACATCACGCTGCAACTATTAGGAGCGAAGAAATAATGGAAAACGCAGACGAAGTCGCTGACGGCCAATATGACTTTATAAAGATTTATAATATTTGATCAATTACGCTTTCACAATGCTATACTGAAAAATATTCTTAATTATCCCTGGCACTCTGAGATGGGACTCGAACCCATGACCCTTCGCAATCGGGGTGACTGCTCTAAATAATTAAAATTTTTCGTATACAATATTATTAATGTCACGTGCAATTTTGATTTTTAGTAACACACCTATTATTTAATGATTTCGTAAAAATGTAAAACCCTTGGAAAGAAGGGTTTTGCACCGCCATGGAAGTTCTTCGTATTAATATAATACACAAGTATCACAACGCAATTTGTCTGCCGTAAAAAGTTATGAAATCAACGTAAAATATTGACGACAACCGCATTAAAATCAGTTGTGTAGTTTAAATGATCACAGCGTACATATAGACACTTAAAAAGTAATTTTGGTAGTAACTCACTTTCACAATTTTTATTATCACAGTTTTCGTTTGTTTGTGACGTCGTCATCTTTCATACAACCAGTGACACGAGACGGAATTTTATTACGATGCGCCTAAGTGATTAGTTGGGCAAATTGACAAATACGTTGCTCTCGTCAATCTGTGAAACTTTTAACCGGGCCAATCGTCATTTTCCTCTCCAAATAAAGAAATGGCGGCATATCATGATATATCCTGGGCAGATCTCGTTCGGCCCAATTCAACGATTGGCCCACGACAATGACAAATTGAATAGTAAACAATGGTTACTATGGTGACGTTTTAATTCCCCATACAAACTTTCACTCCCATTTTCATCCCTTTATTTGATGTTTATCGGGATATTTTCACCACATATGATGTAGCTTTCGGTAGGTGAAAGAATTTTTAAAATTAGTCCTGTAGTTTCGGAACCAACTCGATGCAAACAAACAAACATATAAAGAAACAAACAATCAAATCTTTCCTCATTGGACATTGGACATTGGACATTGGACATTGGAATGGTTCTCAACTTATCTTCGTGGGCGTCAGCAGGCAGTACATAAAGATCGTGAATTGTCTTCCTGGAACGATCTGACAGCTGGTGTCCCACAGGGAGGAATTCTTTCTCCTCTGCTTTTTTCCATATTCATTAATCATCTCTCTTTCACGCTCAGCTGCTCTTATCATTTCTATGCAGATGATTTGCAAATATATGTGCAAACAACGACCGATGAAATTATAACAGGTATTTCCAAATTGAATAAGGATCTCTCTCATGTCAGTGCATGGTCAACTAAGTTTGGTATTTCGGTGAACCCTACAAAATGCCAAACAATTATTGTAGGAAGCTCCAAACAGCTTATTAAACTTGATTCTGGTCTACTCCCACCTGTTGTGTACGAAAACTCTGTAATACCCTTCAGCTCTACAGTTAAAAACCTTGGACTTTATATTGATTCGGAGCTCAGATGGACATCACAGATTGCCGAGGTCAGTCGTGTGGTAACTTATTCTTTGCGCTCGCTTAATCGCTTCAGAAATTTCCTTCCTATCAAAACTAAGGTCACCCTCGTCACTTCCCTTATTCTTCCTATTATTTACTATGCTGATGTCTGTTACCCTGATTTAAATGAAGATCTTCTCAATAAGTTGGACCACCTTGTCAACAATGCAATTCGTTTTATTTTCTGCCTTCGCAAGTATGATCATGTTTCGTCTTATCGATCTCAACTAAAATGGCTTCCTATTCGTCAGCGCAGACAGCTACGGCTGCTCTGTATGCTCTTTCCATACTTTCTAACCCTAATTCTCCAACTTACCTTAAATGTAAATTTCAATACCTTTGTGATTCTCATGACAGACAACTGCGTTCTGCTAATACACTTGCATTATCTACTCCACTTTTCCATTCTGGCTTTATGGCCGACTCTTTCACCCTGCAAGCCATACGACTATGGAATGGCCTCCCCGACACCATCAGACAATCTCCCAACAAATTCGTCTTTAAACGGAAAGCTCACACTTTTCTCCTGGAACGTTTATGAAGATCATCATCATATATGTATTATATTTATGTATTTGTATATATACTTATGTTTATGTGTAGTATAATATTTATTTATGTTTATATAATTGTATATAAATTCTGCTAAAGTGTAGTTTAAGTAGTATAAGTTAACTTTATGCCGCCATCGTGTATTTCTGTATCCCAAAGATTGACTGGTAGAGAATGCTAATAGCATTAAGTCCGCCTCTTGTACCAATTTAATGGACAATAAAGTTTGTTAAATGAATAAAAAAATAAATATAATATTAGTATACATAATTTTCAATCTCAACTTGTTGCTTAACGTCATCTTTTTGTTTTATAGAGAAAGAAGATAAAAAACCAGAAGATGATCTTTCAAATCATGAAGTTATCTTTTTAAAAAGTATAATAGAAAGTCCAGATTTTGGTCGTAGGTGTGAGGTAAGTCAGAATACATTCAAATGCTAAACTAAACAATTCATTATGTTCTTTATTTAAACTCAATTTGATCGTTAAGTCTTAATACATTTATTTCTTCTACATCAAATAAATTCCATAGATTTAATAACTCCTTCATATTTATATACTGGCAGCACTGAAGCTTAATGTCAAATTATTAAGCGAATGCAATCTGAATAGGCATAAGTATATTAAGTCGTCTTTCAAATATAAGCTTTTTTTACAAGACATTACAATTTATATTTAAATATTTGACCAGCATTAACGTAACAATTTTATCAAGACTCACGTCATGCACAGCAACGGTGCTGTCAAAATAGCGTAACAACAGTTTCTTGAAGTGAAATCCAAAAAGCAAATAGGATTTAATTTATCAAGTGAAACGAGTTCTCAAAAAACGCTTGGTGTGTTTTAGCTTAGTCATTACTTTATCAAGGGTCTCCTTGTGCAGTGCATTATTAAATGTTCGCGTATTTTAATTCAAGAAATACCAACAACAAGTGCCACGCCTATAAGTCTGCGTATTTTAAACATTCATTGTGCCTGATTGTGTTAATTACTGGTGAGTGTTGTTTCAGTCTATAGAATCTGAAGAAGACTTAATCGTTAAACCCGTATCCCTGGGCAACGTTGATATAATAAAGACATTAAGCGAATACCGTGGCCACAACATTCGGACTATTGAACAAGCCGAACTGGCTATACTTCTTTCAAGGGTACATTTTAGGGTAAGCTCTTATATGCCACGCCAACAAATCTTCACTAATTTAACTTATATTTCCGATAAGAATCTTGTACAATATTTTTTTTTGTTCATTCCATTCCTTACAGTTTAAAAATATTAACAATGGTGAAGCTTCCTATTAATTAAGTATTACTATATGAATACCCGTGACAGGAAGCATCATTCCAACATTCCACAAAGTTACAATCCAAAAAAGGAATAAATACCATCAGTACATTATTTATTAGTAATACAACATAGATAGATATGTTAATTTGATTTCGATAGAGTTTTTACATTGTTGTTTACTATTTATTTGTACTATTTTATGTTGTTAAATTAGGTCATGTTAGTAACACAATATAACCTTTTGAGATTAAAAAGTTATTTAACTTAAAACATGATAGCTAATAGGTATGTAGTTAAGATCCAAATCTTATTATTTTATAAGTTTTCTTGTTATTCCAGGCCCTAATAGATGCTCATGATAAGATAGGTGCAATTTGGTTGGAACGAGGGTCTGGTATTGATGAAAAAGCTGTAGAAAAAGAAGTCGGTAAAGATATAGCTGAAGGTGTTGATAGCACTGCAGAGGAAAACGGAGACATGCCTATAGAAACTGTAAAAGTTGTTGGGTTACGGAAAGTACCAGGCCAGCCCTTGGGACTCACGGTAAGTACTATGGAATAAACAAAGAAGTCATTAAAGTTTAAATTGCCATAAATCATTGAAATAATAACAGTTAAAGATACTATACAAAAGTTATTTGACTTTAAACTCTATAGTAAAGCTAGCTTGTTTTAGGGTCTCAAAGTATTTACAGTGAACAGCAATTAGATTGCACAAAACGGTCAAATTTCTTTACTTAATTTTAATCTTTATATATTTATGATAGAGGTAAAAATTAACTACAAAAATTATACTTATAGTGATAATGTGGTTTGTCACTGTATCTACTAAATAATTGTAAGTCTTTAAAAAGCAATTAACTGTGTTAAAGACTCAATCGGTCAGTTGCACAAACATCCATTAAGGTTTAATGACACCTTTAAACTCTATTTAATGTCAAATTTGTATAGGTAATGTCACTAAAATATGTACATTTTAATGAATGTTTGTGCAACTGGCTGTAAAAGTAGCTGAACATATTTGTGCTTATTCCCTTATAGGTAACAACTGATGAACATGGTCAATTAATAGTAGCAAGAATATTAGCTGGAAGTGCTGCTGCAAAGCAAGCTCTCCTATCAGTAGGAGATGTCTTACTTGAAGTAGACGGAGTGCAGATAAATTCAGAAGATCAACTCAAAGAAGCAGTATCGAAACCTAATGACAGGGTGTCCTTGAAAGTTGGTCCAAATCTTAAAGAAAAAAGCAGTCAACTGACTAACAAACTTAGTGTAAGTTTATATATTACTAGTCGTATCCCTTTACTTCACATGCATAAATTACAGCTAATGTCAACCATGTATAATGTTGCAACCAGTAGGTATAAGAAATTTTTAAATCGCTCCAATAGTTTTGGAGTCTTTTTGATGACAATCAAATCCTTCCATTTTATAATATTAATATATCTATATATCATCTAATAAAAAATAAGATGAGATTTTTATGTTATTTTCCTTTTATTGAATAAAACTATCTCTGTTAACTTCTGTTTGCTAAGCATAACTGTGATCCCATATTTTATTTACAGTGTTATATGAGAGCCTTATTTGATTATGACCCCAAAGAAGACACTTTGTTACCATGCAAAGAGATTGGATTAGAATTTAAAAAAGGAGATATCTTACAAGTAAGTTTATAATTAATAAAACTAACAAAATAAATTATGATTTATTGCCTACTAGCTTTCCGCCAGCAGCTTCACCCGCATGGTCTTGTATTATACATAAAAACTTCCTTTTGAATCACCCTATCTATGAAAAAAATCTGCATCAAAATCCGTTGCGTAGTTATAAAGATTTAAGCATACATTGTGATATAGCGACAGAGAAAGCGACTTTGTTTTATTCTATATATTGATATGGAGAATTAAATATAATATTAACAAAAGATAAAAATATATACTTAGTGTAACTACCTTTTAGTTTATTGAATCTAATATACGGTAGATGATACTTTTTTAAATACTGCGTAATGAAATGAGATTTATTGTACAGACAGCAGCACGTCAAGTTACCACAAAATAATAATAATAATAATAATAATCTTTATTGACTATAAAATCGATACAACGAATTTTTACACCAGTGATTCTTAAAATATTTATTCATTACATCTATTTAACATCTGTTGCTGAACTTGGTTGATACCTGTATTTCAGCATACAGCGCCACTGTCCTCAGAAAATATGTAATAAGATAAAAAAACAATAATAACAAGCCACACTAAATAGATCTGAACAATAAGAAACAATCAACTTGTACTAGTTATTAGTATGTAATATAATCAATAAAGTGTAGGTATATTTATATGTAAAGTAGACAGTCCTCTCTGTGTGTAAGATGATTGTGAGTGAGTGTGTGTGAGAGGGTGTGTAGTATAGGTAGTAATAGAATTCTTTGATTAATTCGCTATCTCCAATAGATTTTCTGTTTCGGTATACGATAACCGTTGGATCCAATTAAATATAATTTTTTTTACTGTACTTTTATGAAGGGGATATATATTAGTAAATTTATTTAGTTTGTTATATATTAATGGGCCTATAAATGGAAAAAAACGGTGGGAGAAACTAGTTCGAAATTTAAGTGTAGGTTTGCAAACTGAATACCATCTTCGTTTTGTAAGATAATCCTGATTGAATTCTATAATCGAATGTTGTTTCAATACAGTATTTAGTAAGAACATTTGACGAACAGTCAGAACCTCGCAATACTCATATAGAAGTTTGGTGGGATAAAGAAAAGATTTAAAGGTGCAAATTTTAAGAATAGCTCTTTGTGCTACTTCTAGAGATTTAAGAGTTGTTTTTGGAACACCACCCCAACATGTGATACAGTATCCCAAAATCGACTGACACAACGCAAAATATACTTGTCTTAAAACAGTCGGTGGTATGACATATCTCAAAGTTTTAAATACCACCATCAACTTACGCACTCTTTTTGTCAAACTGAATATATGCTCCTTAAAATTGAGATTTTCATCAATCACAATGCCCAAATATTTTAGAGATTTCGCACGTTCTACGGGTTCACATTGACATGTATTACTAATAGTTAAATTAAAACATTGATGAGAATACAATCCAAGATCTGGTGGTTTGTCGCGGATGGAAAAAGTTAGATATTTGGTCTTGCGAGTATTTAAAGTTAGTTTACTATCTTGTAGCCACTTATTCACGCGGTCAAAACCCATTTGAGCCTGTTTGAAGGTTTGTTCCCATGTTTTTGCAGTAAAAGTAAGAACAGTATCATCTGCATAGCAAATTATTTTTCCCTGGAAAGCGTTAAGACATAGAAGATCGTTTATATAAACTAGAAAAAGGGTAGGACCTAGTATGCTACCTTGGGGTACACCAAAGTTGGTAGCAATATCAGAACTTAAGTTATTGCCCAATTTCACGTACTGTGTTCTGTTACTTAAATAGTCAGTTAGAAGATTAAGCTGTGTGCCACGTATGCCAACTCGTTCTAGTCTTTCAATGAGAATGGAAGCAGGAATTACATCGAAGGCTTTTGCCAGATCTAGAAATATTGAAATGCATTTATTTCCTGAGTCTAAATTAGTTGATAAAAAATTTATGAGGTTACCCACCGCATCTTCCGTGGACCTACCATTACGAAATCCAAATTGGTTAATAGACAGTAGGTGTTTATCTTCTAAGAACTTAACCAACCGAATGTTTATAACCTTTTCTAAAATTTTTGAGAGTGAAGGAAGAATTGCTATTGGCCGATAGCTTCCGATACAATTCCTGCTTCCAACACTCTTATAAATTGGCAGTATTTGAGATCGTTTTAATGCTTTAGGAAAGATGCCTTTGTGTAAACACATATTAAAAACGTGAGTCAAATGCGGGACCAGAATGTCGATAGTGCGTTTTAATAATTTATTTGAAATTTTATCCCAACCTATAGAACATTCATCTTTTAATGCAAGTATAAGATTTCTAACTTCCTTTTCATCCGTGTCTGTTAGAACAAATGAATCACAAGAATAGAACGCTGAATTTACGAAAGACGATGGTTGAATTTGATTATTTGTGAATTTTTCTGCAAGCGATTTTCCTATATTAGCAAAATAAGTGTTAATACTATCGACCGATCCTTGAGCGCTATCAGAGATAGTTAGCAACTCTTTCGGAAACACTTTATCTGAAGTTGAATTTGTAACTAATCTTAATGACTGCCACAGCTTTTTACTATCTTTACCTGCTTTTTGAATTAGATCTTTTTCGTAATTACGTTTTACATTTTTAAGAATTTTACTACAGAAATTTCTATATCGAATGTACGTAGTTTTTAGTATATCATTATCTGGAAATTTTCTAGTTTTTTTATGTAGCTTGTCTCGGTTTTGTATACAACGTAAAAGACCTGAAGTGATCCACGGCTTTATGACCCTTTTGCGACGTGGTAAGCATATCGTTGTAGAATTCTTATCTATGATATATTTTAATTCATTAACTATGAAATTCATTGCAATGTTGCAATCATTTGTATTGTAAATTGGATCAAAATTAATGTTACTAATATCGTTACTTATTTCTGTATGGTTAACGATAGTACGATTTGCTGCCGCAAAACTACGCTTCAATTGATTTTTAAAACAAAAAATAACTGTGTAATGGTCAGTTAATGTAGACTGCACAACCAATGTGATATTAGGCGTTTTGCTTTTTAGAAGAACGTGATCCAAACACGTTCCACTTGCCTCTCGTGTGACATGTAAATGTGCGGGCAATAAACCATTATACGCAGTAAGTGTAAGGTATCGTTCCGTTGGTATGCTAGGATTATCTGAGATAATATCAAGATTAAGGTCTCCAACCAATGCTATATTTCTATAACAGGCGATATCTATGAGAGTTTGGTCTAATGAGATCAGAAATGGTTCGACATCAATGTAAGACGGAGAACGATAAATTGCCAAAATTGCCGTATCATTATTACCAATCTTTATAAGAAGAGAGTTACAATTTTGTAAAGGAGGTTCTTCTACTGATGCAATTATATCATTTTTAATATAAACTACCACTCCGTCATTTTGAAGTGAATTCTTTGTGCTCATACTCGAATAGTAACCTTTAATATTAGGGATGTTGAAGCCACATGACAACCAGCATTCGGTCAAGATTAATATATCGCAGCTGACATCAAGTCCTGTTAACAGAACACCTAAGCCGTCAAAATTACAGTTTAAGCTTCTTATGTTTTGAGTCAGAACCGTTAAAGATGATTGTGCAGGCAGTAATGATTTGCAGTCCTGTACGTCACATACATAGGAATCAGATATGTTATACGAGTCTATGTCATTAGCCACATTAATTAGATTAGCCATTTTTAACATAGGTTATGTTTATGATCAAATTAAATGATAAAAAAATAAAATAAAAGAATAAAAAAAAAAAAAAAAAAAAATAAAAAAAAACATTACCATGTACAATTCCAGAAATATTAGATATACTAAGGCATAGAATTGTTGATTTAGAGTTAGTAAACTGTAGGTACTAAAGTTTATAGTTTTATAATCGATTTTTATTTTATTTTGTGTATTAAGGAAAAAAATCAACTGTAAAAAGTGTTGGGATGTATTGTTTAGTGTAAAAATGTAACGTAACTTATTATATAATAAGATATTTAATTGTATATGAAGTAACAGTATAACAAACCGACCAGTAATTATAATTTCAACACCTCTTATAATATCTAATATGATTTGACATTTGACATTTTATATAATATATAAAATGTCAAATAGTTTTATACAAAATTTTGAATTCCACTTTCAATCCTTGATCATGCTCAACGATGATCGGACCTGCACTGCCCGCATCCAGCGGCTACCCGCGACCTTTATAAGATCGTCGGTCTATCTCGTGGGGGGGCCTACACATTGAACGTCGTCCGATATGCGGTCGCTATTTTAGAACCTTTCCGATTCTTCTAGCTATGTGACCCATCCATTGCCACTTTAGTTGCAATTCTTCAAGCAATGTCAGTAACATTGGTTCTCCTAGGACCTAGGGATTTCCTAATACGATCTCGTAGAGAAACACCAAGTATTGGTCTCTTCATTGCCCATTGTACTTAAAATGCATTAATAAAAATGAACAGCTCTGTATAACTTGAGATGCTATTGACCGTACTGATATTTAATAAAATTCATATAATTATTTTTTTTTATTTTTATTGTTGCACGACAAAGTGACTGTAATATACCTGGTGGAAAGTGATATTACAGTCTAATAATAGTCGCAGCTGTCAGAAGTCTAAATTACTCCTGGCAGCCACCATTATCTTGCCGGCCTATTAAAGAGCCTTTTCACACCTCTTTTGAAGCACCCAAGGCTATATTTAATTGGAAAAACGTGGGATGGGACACTGTTCCACATTTTAATGGTACGACAAATATATGATTTGCCGAATTTTTTTGAACGAGATGGTATAGTACAAACTGTCTGGGAATGGCAGCGAACACCGGCACGTGTCAATCTGTTACGGATCGAGGAGAATTCCTCAGAACACTCTCCATGATAGAAATAGAACCGATAGAACACACTGAGTGAGGCAATATCACGCCTCATTTGCACATTTGCAGTGGCTCAAGATTGTTGGTTAGCCCCTCATCGTTTATGATGCGCACTGCTCGCCGCTGCAGCCTGTCTAGGGCATCTAACAGATATTTTGCGGAGTCATCCCAAAGATGCGAACAGTACTCCATGCTAAACCTGACCTGGGTTTTATATAGCAAGCACCGTTGCTCGGATGTAAAAAACCGGCGCACTCTGTTTAAAATTCCGAGCTTTATTTTTTTTCCGAGTTTAAATTAAAAATTATGAAATGTATAGGATTAGTTTATTAGGTTTCAGATAGAAAAGACCCCAATTGGTGGCAAGCCAGTCTTGTCGAAAATCCAGACGTCGTCGGTCTGATACCATCTCCAGAGTTAGAAGAACGACGTAAAGCATATGTACCACCAGAAGCTGATTTTGTTCATAAAATTAGTATTTGTGGGGCTCGGGTAAGTCTGATATGTATTCTCATTTTAATTTGGATATAGTCATATAAAAATGCCTACACTGATACAGTTACATACAAATCGCATTATAAATATCATTCTTACACATAAAATACACACTACCCATAAATTATTTCAGTCAATCCAGTGCAACATACGGTTGCCTGGAGGAATTTGCTTTCTATCGACAAGGCCGCCGATTGTACTGTAATGTTATGCTTGTATTCATGTTTTTCTTTGTGGTGTGCAATAAAATGTTCATTCACACACATACATACATAATATAAAAATGCCAGATTAACATTGTCCTTGGCCAGGAGACTTCAGGAGGTGTTATTATCAATAGGTTTAAGTTTGAAATATGGTGAAATTAGTCTTTTTATAGTAGTAACAGTTATGCATTTGACTCGACTGTTTATAGATGTATCGTTACTGACCCTGCCTCTGTATTTACAGATATCTAAGAAGAAAAAGAAGTTTGTTTATGAGTCACGTTCAAGTGTTCAACTAGAAGGTGCAGAGTTAGCATTGTATGAGGAAGTGGCAAGAACTCCTCCCTTCCTTCGACGAACGTTAGCACTAGTGGGGACGCGTGGCGTTGGCCGGCGCACTATCAAAAACAGGATGATACAAGAGCACCCAGATAGATTTGGTGTCGTGGTACCGCGTGAGTATGAATTAAATGAAAATTTTCTGTACTCACATCAACAGGTGTATTAAACCTTTGTGTATTAAATAAAATACATGTGAGATAACATCACATACATTGCTTAGATTCCAAGATGAGTAGCTAATGCCCCTGTATTATGGAGTATCTGAGACAATGAAGGTACCACAACACCCGGGCCTGAGACAATGTAGAAAAATTCATTTCCATTTTTGTTGCTACAAAAATTGCTTGGAACAGAAAGCACTACTGAGAGTCTGCGTCTTAATGCAACCACAACATTGTTATTTCAAAACCAATAGGTGGAAAAGAGGCATATGTCAGAGGACAGCCTGATCAAGAAGCTGATGTTAATAAAATGTAGCTCAAATTTGTAATTAATCAGTGAATAAAGGCCAAAGTAGCCTTTACTCACATTCATTTTCATTCATTAATTATTTTTATTACATCTGTTAAGGGCTAGCAAGTTCCTGTCGCTCATTATCTTTGTTAACCAAAAGACATCCTAAACACACGGTAAAAAGAAAATTGAGAGATTGAGATTCAAAAATGCTTTCAATAAGCTTATTTAAATAAAAAAAAAATATTAATGTCTCTTCCACTAATCCCATATTCAATAGAAACTATAATTCAACAGACACATCACGTCCACCACGGCCGATGGAAGAGAACGGTCAGTCGTACTGGTTCGTTTCGCGCGAAGAGATGGAACGGGACGCGCACGCGGGCCGCTTCTTGGAATACGGAGAACATAACGGACACCTATATGGAACCCACCTAGACTCAATACGGGCTGTTATAAAAGAAGGTAAGGTACCCTTGAAAAACAGGTTAGAATAGCGATCAGCCACCATTTCAGAAAGAAAAAAAAATCAATTAGCATCTCTGTGTTGTATTGCACAAACGGTTCATATCAGTAGGATAAATCCACTGGATAATTTGTATTCAAACAATAATTTACAAAATGGCAACATCACTAACCTTAGCTAAAGAACTTGTGTTGTTGAAATCTAAACAACGAAGGAACAATATAAAAAAAATAATAGCAGCTTTTTTATTCAGATACGATAATTAAGAGAATATTATATTTCTAATCCATGGATTCCGAAAGCGTGTGGAAATCGGTGCACCGGGAGTCAACATAAACAAAAATTTATTAGGGAATTCGATGAGGTAGGAAGATCTATAAATCGACCTCTATGAAGTGTCAAAAGTTCTCATATGTAACTTTCAAGTTTAATTTTTATATGGGTCTTAGTCTTTTTATTTTTATTATTATTATTTTTTTTTTTGATGAATAATGATGCCAACCATAAAGTTTTTGAATTGGTTAAATATTTTATTCAGTAGGAGAAAATTAAAAATAAGGTTTTTAAAGTAATTAAGCTGGAAGTCTTTTGCCAAACTAATTTGGGAATCCCTGTTATAAATGCTTACAAACAATTTCAAATTGTTGTGCCCTTAACATCTAGTTGTAAACATTTTCTTATAATTTGTTATAAACCGTCATTAAACGTTGTCTAATATTATATACTACTGTGTGGAAGCACCATAATAAACTAATAAAATATGACGTCATGCTCCAGGTAAAATGTGTGTACTTGATTGTGCACCGCAATCGTTGAAACTGTTGCACAACAGTAGTGAGTTCTTACCGTACGTGGTGATGATAGCAGCTCCAGGCATAGAACAACTACGGAACCTCACATACGCCTCCAATAGGAATTTGACGGTAAATATATAAACGTTATATTTTTAAATACCTTACAGTCGTGTAACGTAATATAGATTAGTTGTCCGTCGTAGGTAGCCATAAGTCAAAAGTTTGTTGGCCCTCTAAATAAATTATTATTTGAGAAAACTAAGTGATGTACACACAGCTGTACGTCAGAGTACCACAATACGTTTTCTCCAGCAAATTTTTAACTCTACCCATAATACATTAAAATTTGAAATCAAGTGGGCAAATTTGACAGATTTTTATAAATTTATGTGCTGTTGACTGTACCGTTGGTACGTCAGATTATAAAAACTGCATTTTTCCATCTGATTGCAATGGCATAAATTTGTCATTATGTATTTAACCGATATGCTACGATAATGTTTCTTAGTGGACTTTGACCTCTCCTCGACGTATTAAGGTTTAAAATGAAGTAAGAAAAATTTTGACATTTTTGTAAAACCTGACGTGCTGTTAACTGTACATCAAGTGATCGAAAATTAATAATGCAACACCTGATTTATCCTTAGTATATTAGAAATTAAATCCTAAATCGTTAGCTGAAATTGTAATGTTTTATTTAATACTTGGTTACCTTAAGCAGTTGAGTAAAAAATTGTGTAGCTATGCGATGAAAATTATATAAAGAATGTGCTTTAGAAACCTCCTAAGTTACTGAATTGGCATGTGTAGATTTGTAATTGAATTCTATGATGTTACGGCTGTCGTTGTGATTATTATAATTTATAGCCATAGCAATCGACAAATTGTTTGCTTGCTTTTTGATTGGTGTAACAAACCATTATCAGATTTTTTTTTTCAAAAGTTAATAAAACACCAGCCCATGAATCTGGTTACGAAATTGAGTGCCTTGACCAGGAGCAAGTCGTAGTTTTCAATCCACCAGTGTCTTCTTTAAATATATATACACAAGTGAAAAAAATTGTTGAAAATATTGATTTTGATTATCACAAATCGTTATACCCTAATTTTCTACCTTGAGTTCTTATAAAAAAAAACTCTTTACAATGTTTGAATCTAATATTAGTCAGACAAATATTATACAGGGTTAGTTAAAAAACTCCAGCAGCCTCGGTAGGCTTAAGAGCTGACAACATAAACTAGAACGCGTGATTTACGAATTTAATCATAACTCAATACTATACTAAACTAGTTTTTATTCAGCTGCTAGTGTAGTTACATCCATAAGTCTATGTTTTTTTATTTATTTATCATGGGCTCACTCTTGACCTCGATCCAGCCCAAGGGCATGAATGAAATCTGGGGATGAGCTTGCTCAGAAGGAACCTATTACAACCTATGTTTTATAATGTTATGCACGCGCGCTCTTTGAAGTCTAAATGCACGTAGAATTGTTGACGTTCGAGCGGTAAACTAAATTATTTATTTTTGATGAAAACAATATGTTACGAATTATCAAAGGAGCTATCTAGCCTTACGAGGTTGCAGGCGTTTAACCCTGTATTTTTTTTTTTACTAATATTATATTCAAACGTTCTAATTGTTGTTTGTGTGAAATCATAGTGACCGAAATTGGTCGATCATGTGGTCTCATTTACTACAGTAATTTATCAAAGCGAGTCTTTACTCTTGAGTAAAATTCATGCTAGAGAGGCTTGCCTGAATTTTACTAGTGTTACAAACGAAGCATACGGTTACCTGTAAGTGAAAATGTAACGATGTTAAAAAGAGATGGAAGATCCGGTAACCTATCAGTTTCTCATGCGCAGGCATACAAAAAGACATTATAATTTCCATATAATAGTTATAATACCGCCAGTGATGTAGCTTTAGGGTGGCAAGTTGGCATAATGCCACGGGCTCCTGGAATTGGCTGGAATTGGCCCCCGGTCTGAGGAGAATCCTTACTCCTAATATTTATTATTATACAATTATTATATTATTATATAATAATAAATATCAGGATAGAATATCCGATACCGCGATCACTAATATCACTAAGTCCCGCGATCTTCTCTTTTAACGGCCTAATAAACAAACCTACTATGTTTCCCCGAAAATGGAATTTCGTCTATTTTTGAAACGATATTGTTACTCCAAAAACATTTTACAATTTATAAATTAATGATGCAAGTAGACGGTAGAACCTGACATTACCTAATGTTCAGATAATCTTCACGGATAATATTTTTCAAAATTATAAAACGACGTGGAAAACAGAATAGGCCCTCAGGTCTCATTGATTCATTCATTTACGACTATTTAAAAACGAAAAACAGGCTTAAAGCGTCAGTTTTAGGTACGCTGGTAATTTGTCTTTTTGTTGCATCGGCAATGTTATATAAGATATATGTTTTTTATATGCTATTATTTATTGCTATACATTACGCATGTAAATTCTTTATTTTCCTTGACGCATTGACTTGATGTGTGCATGCGTTTATGTAGTTCGACCGGCAGAGCTCCATCCGATACAGTTCCCGACGCGCTCGAACCCTCGAGTCTCTAGCTTCCTTATACGAGGTAAGAATTTATTGTACTGTTTTAAGAGATTAAACTAATATTTAAAGTATTTCATTTATGCGACGGTATTATAAGATTAGCAAGATTATTTTTTTTTATATGTATATGATCAGTCTGCAAGACTTTTTATTCTATTATATACATATGTTACAGTTAAAACCAGTTTTTAGGTACAACGCGTTTTTTCCAGTTAGAATTATTATTTTACTAAATACCTTTGTTAAAACTAGAATTAACAAAACTGTATATCGGTTAAACTAGTTCTTCTAGACAAGCCGCGTTTTTCCGAAGCGAGTCGTTGAAAAAGGAATTTGTTTATTCTATCATTTTTTGTTATCTGTTCAAAAAATAATCTCCAAATTTAAGACGTTTTAAATTTCTAACCTATCACGTGACCTACAGGACCAAAATAACTTTGTTGTTTATAATTTTTTGGTATTATAATATATTGTAGCACCAAACTTAGAGATCGTAATCGTTTCTCTAGTGCTAGTTTTAACAAAACTCCAAATGACAACTAGTTGTATCTGAAAATCAAATATATCAATGGTAAATTCTAGTTTTGACTAGGTACTTCTAGTTTTAACAAAAGTATTTAGGAAAAGCTAGTTCTAACTAGGAAGAACGCGTTCTATCTAAAAACTGTAGCACATACATATAGAATAAATTTGTAATCACTGCACATTTTTTTACATTCCAGTATAATTATTAAAACCTATTTACAAAGAAAAAATGTATCGTAAGTTCATATTTAAATTATAAAAAAAAAAACTTTACAATGCAGGAAGAAGACATGAAACAAACACTCGAAGATAGCTCTCGCATACAGCGCCAGTACGAGAAATATATAGATATGGTGATCACCAATAACAATACAGACACGACATACTCTAAGATTATGGACGCTCTACATTCTTTGTCCACGAACCATCAGTGGGTGCCAGTCAGCTGGATCTATTAAGGAACGCTAGCTAGAGTTTATAGCTAATATTATATAGTTTAAGTTACAAATATGCACTATTTGTATAATAAAATCATTATAATTTATAGATTTACTACTACAACCTGCTAGTTATCATTACACATTTCACTATAGGGTTAATTTTCCTAGGACCAGAAGGGCTATGCTCCAGGGCGGCGCAATCACTTGTTTCTACATTACCAAACGGTCGATTACATAAAAATACTAAATTCTGCGAAAAAAAAATTATGACTTCTAGATTATTCTAAAATACACTATATTGACATTTTAATTATCCACATCTCTAGTTCTTAGTGCCTAGCACGGGGCTTACTGTTCATATGTTTTTATACAAACCATTATATAATTCTTCCGCCTCCTTCGGCGCGTTCGATGAGGATTAATGTGCGTTTACTGTCCACGTTGCTGCCAAATTGACATCAAAAATTAAAAGGAGAATGTGCCGTTTATAATGATTTTATCATTGAATCACTTTCTACATTGTCTGAGATTCCAATTATGTGCTAATGTAACTTATGTGTGGTTTTACTTTACTAAACATACTGCCGTTGATATACAATTTGTATATAATACTGATTTAATCAAAATTATTAATTGCTATTAATTAATTTATGGACTTGCATACAATTATTAGCTTTCTTAAACCGGAAACCACTATGTTATCATTTGTATGCTATTAGCTAACTTTGAATCTTAAAATAAGCAGTTAATATTTAAAAATACCACAATACTTAGTCTGATTTATCGCAAGCTATTCTTAACAGGTGAAATTCAAGATATTCATACTTATGTGAAATTATAAAGTAAACGTTTAAATTTATTTAGGTAATTATGTTGCGTGCGTTTTTATAAGTATTAGGTTAAGGAAAACAAAGTCTTCCCGCACTAATCGCTTCGTGAATTAATCTAAGTATTACTAGAACTGGAAAACTGTTGTTTTAATGAGTTTTAAATAGGGAATTCTTTTCATTGATTCTGGTATGAAACTGCAATGATTCTGCGACTTAATAGATAATTATAATACGAAATCGTGGCTTTTGATTTGACTAAGAATAGAATATTCTATCGTAGTGTTGGGTTATACGATGTAAATTTACTAATGAACCTATTCCTAGTATTATCAAATACTTTGTTCAAATTCCTAATCCACCTAGTTTATCTATAATTAGTATTTCACGCAGTAAGTTTTCAGATTAGGACACCATTTATTTAGAATTTTATTTACAAACAAATAGGACCTAAATTGTTACTTAAAATTGTACGCAATACTTCATATACCTATTCCTCTATATTCTAGTCTTTGACTTATGAAACGAATCAAACCAACCTATGAAATCTTATTGTCAAAATATACTGGACGTGTGTATACAAATATGATCTCTAATGTGTTTAGTGTAAAGTCGAAAATACCAGGTGGATCAAGTATTTAGAACTCTGGAATATGTGCCGCCTAGTAAATGACCGATGCGTGTATCTATTCTAGTAAATATGCCGTATCTCTAATCCACCGACGGTTACTACTTAAAGTATAGTTTTAAAATTTTAAAAATTCATTTCCCTATTAGATATTCAATTTTAATAAATGCTATGAAATAAGATGTTTAAGTATTAAATATAAGGTATTATCCGATAAATGAATTGCCTCAGTTACAATGATAGTGCGGGTCTAAACATAATTATTAACATATATTACTGTGCCACCACACGCTTATAGAATATAAGTGACTATTTAATAGGACAAAGCAAGTCATTCCAAACTCTAAATTATTTTAAAAATACATATGGCTATAATCTCTCATGACCGTATTCAGAGAGGTAAGTGTAAGTTTTACGTAAGCGCGTTAACAATTTAGATGGAGATTTGTAGTTCTTGGTAGTTACCGCTAGGGGCGCTGTACCGGATTCCATACTAGAATCTTAACGTGCTCACGATTGACGGGGAACGTAGACGTCAAAAAATAACTTACACTAAGCTCTCTGTAAGAAAACGTCATCGTCTCGTCTTTTCTATGAAACTTTTTAAAATTAGTAAATCCCACCTGTATAAAATCTAATGTTTTGTAATTTTGCAAAATGGCCTATTATAATTATAAGCATTTTAGAGAAATTAAGCTACATTTTTACCATTCGTGAGTATACACATTTTGTAATGAAATCAGAAGTAATCGGTGAAGGCCACCGTATTTTCGAGATAGCTTTGTCTTTTTCTAATTAATAAATCTTCTATTTATTCCCATTTATTTATAGCCATTAAATTTCGAAATTGTATCTACAAAATCAACTCTACAAATATTTTAATTATTATATCATTATTTATTATACATATTTTATTTGCATACCAACCTTTTTGCGTCAGATATTAAATAATATACTACTCAATATTACTTCTAATATTTATAGTTGCTATGTATTTTTACCAATCTATGTTAAGCTGCATTTTATTGTAAACTAGCTTGTACTTCACTAAGAATCTCACATTCCGTCCATTTTATTTTGTTGTCTAGCTTTAATGTTATTGTGTCAAGAATTATTCAATATACATTACTTATCTATCAGAAAGTTTTTTATTGTTATGAATATTCCTTTTCAAAAATTTACAATAAACCTCAAAGAAACCAAAACCGTCAATGTCGATGTTCAATGAGGAAAAAGGTATTGTATCTCTGATTGCGACAGACAAAAAAAAATACAAGATATTTTTCAAAAATATTTAATGACGGCTAAAAAACAATCTCTCTACAATTAAATACAATAAAAAAGTAAAACGTTCGTGATAATGCTGACAAATAATTTCTCTAATTGGTTTGTCTTGTAGTATTTTTATGATGACGCACTGATGTTTTAAAGATGTTCGGGTCGATGTGATTCAATCCGGTCTCACTTGGTGCTGCGATCATATTATTTTCTGTACCATGCTTGTCCAGAAGGTGCGGTGCAAGTAACAAGAATAATTGCTGGAACAAAAAATGTAGGCGAGACCGCGTAACTATAGTCATGATTCTGGCCATAGCATACGACATCTTATCGATGTTATGGCGATATTTCGTTTCATTTTACTACTTTTTCATGCACTTTAGTAACTAGGAACAAACAATGAAGAATTATGAATATAGATTTGTTGGCAGTGTTACCAGCTTAGTTATTTATCCCGAAATACACCAATCAACATGTCAAAGTAGTAACATGAAACGAAATATCGTCATAACATCGCTAAGATGTCGTATCCTTTGGCTAGAGAGTAAAGCGGTCGCTCTGCTGGATTCTATCTTGTATTGTAATTAAGGAGCAGGTTTTTAGTCGTATAATATTTTATAAATTTATTGCACTTTCAATACGATAAGAAATTATTACATGCGCGCGTGGTCTTGGTTAGTAGAAAGGGACGAACAGAGAGAGGCAAGAAATAATTTCTATGATTATTGTCATGTGAAAAAAAATTGCTATTGCTAAGTAACAAACATTGCTGCTACTATTACAAGCAACAACTATGAAACAAATATTTTAGGTAAAATATTTTAAAAAGCATCCCTTGAGTCACACTAGAACAACGAAGGTTCCACACAATACTTGTAGCTTTTTTAGAGTTTCGTACCTAAAGAGTAATATTTATCATGATAACGGTAACAGAAAGATGATATATTTCTGTTATCGTGATCATGATTAATATAAAATATAATATGTATAAACGTCTTTCTGCATTTTTCATAGATAATGGTAACGAACCCTTTTAACATAACGAACCGTTTTAAATTAAATTCCAAAACGTATAATGGATACCTATTCTGTTATATCACAGTAAAAACTAAAATTTTGATTTGGCTTTGTATTCGTGTTCGTACATACGCTATATTTTTCAACGTTTGGCGTATATTCACCAAATAATTATCATTACTGAAGTTCATAAACTATAAATACGCTGAACATAACATTGACATTACGTAGAAAGCAGTAATTGCTCATCTAACATTTGCCTTTATAACTACTATTAATAAGTCTAGTCAATAATTTCGTTTTTACCTCTGCCCATGGTATTAACGGGAGATTAGCGAACGCGGCTTGCCAACCGGGTAATCCCATATGAACCAGAGCCATCCTGAAATAATGAGTGAAGGAATCCGCTAGCCAACCCCATACACCTTCACGCGTCGCCAGCCAAACAGACCATGAGCCACCCGTGTAGATTAGACAAACCTGTGTTTATATAGCACGTAATTACTTTAATAGGTAATGTTTACCTAAATAATAATATACCGAGAATTTATGATTATTTAATAACCTAATTATTTACTATCTGATGTCACTATTTTGTCTGCATATTGTATCTGAATAAACCCAAAAGCATAAATATGATTGTAATTTTTTTTTATGAACAACGTCTTATTTTCAAAGGTTATTTCGAGAAAATTATCTGCTCTATATTGTTTCGGGTCTAGTGGTTGATTTTAAATCCATAATAAAAAGGAACTTAGCAGTCTGAGTAAATATGAAAATAAAGCCATTACAGATCCTGTCCATCACGGCTATTCAATATTTTTTTTTTGGTGTTATAAAACAAGCAATAATAATGAGTATCTTTTTCAAATATCATAATAATTAACTAGCTGTTCCCGTTTCCCGCGACTGCGCCCGCATGAAATATAGTCTATGTAGGTGAAAAAAAAATTTTCATGAGCGGATCAGTATTTCCGAAAATATTAAAGGTTATTTTCGGAAATACTGATAAGAAATTGGCATAAAATGACAAAAAGCCCCATCGGTCCTACCTCAGCAAAAAAATTATCCAAGGTAAAATTTCGATATCTCACGAATGGTGGTTGTATGAAAAAAGTATTAGAACAATTTTCGTAGAGAATTTATGATCAACAAATTTAGTCTAACTTATTTTTACGATAATACTTACGGTTTCAGAGAAAAATGAGAAAAGCCTGAATTTTCGACCTAGGTAATTTTTTTGCAGAAGTAAGATCGATGAGGATTTTTGCCATATCAGTAGTAATGGTTCATTAAACGTCTATACCAATTTTCAGATCTATGCGAATTTTGTCAAACATACAGAATTTTATTGTCTCTTATAATATTTGTATAAATGTGCAAAGTGTAATCATGATCAATGATTAGGAGGTCATTTTGCATTGAAGATATTTTGTATTTACCTCTACCTAATCATTAATCATAATTACATTTTACCCATCTAAACTGTATAGGTAATTGTACATATACAGTAATGTAACAGTTAATAGTTACCTTGCCAATTGTTCTACAACTGTCTAGTTCGAAAACTTTACTTTTAGTGTTCAAAAGAGGTCGAGGGTCTGATTGTGGTCGGGTAAGTGAAAAATCGAGAAGGTCCTTCAACGCTGGCGACAAGCATAATTCGTTCAAAGTATTTACTCGTATTGACCCAACAGGTAATATTTCATCAGCTGAAAAAGGTATATCCTACTGAATATAGTTGTGAAGGTACTTAATACATCTAATGCATAGGCCCGCGAATCTCAGGGGGCTAACGTGGCACCTACCCCGGGCAAAGGTTCCAGGGGGGGAAATCTGGTTAAAAAGACCTTTTTCGGAATAATGAATAAGTAATAGAAAATGCCATCCATTATATATTTTACAAATTATCTCAAATGTATTTGCGATTTTTAAAATATTAGGTAGGTATGGCACACGGCTGCAAATCAGGCTACCACAATATGTCACTTTTACGCAAGTGATTTTCTGTTCTACCCTCATGTGTGTTAAGGTTTAAAAACGAGTAGATAAATTTTTACAGTTTTTTATAGTCTGACGTGCTATTAACTGTACTTAGCCTTAACTATTAAAGATCTGCAAATCTCTGCGATAAATTTTGAACTTTACCATAAACAGTTTAAGACTGAAAACCATCATTTTATTATATTATCTTTGAACCGATTGTAGTTTGACCTTTTGAAGTAACCCGACATGCTGTTGGCTGTAGTATAATTTCATAAGTCATTCATAATATAATATAAATTTACTAAATTAAGTCAATTACCCGAATATTTGTAATGCCAAGTCAATTGAAAACCATCGCTCGAGGAATAGAAATTTCGCAAGTCATCCGGCAATGCAGCCGAATGTCTTTGTTCCCAAGTCGAAAGTGCCACACGGTCGCACGGAGGTCTACGTTCCACGCTTACATTGCAAATTCGTGGATCTGATTCTGAAAATGTCCATTAATCTTCGAAAACTGTTGTGTGTGCTGCTGCAAGAGCGGATCCAGGGGGTTGATCATGGGGTCATGAACCCCCTGGGCTGGGTCCAGGATCTAGGTGGACTTCTAATGAAATTTATTATACGTAATGTCTTTCTATATTTTTCATCCCAATATAGATTTTATTTATGTACTTTTTAATTCAATAAAATACTGTGTATCTGTTATTATATCACGATTATGGTTATGGTATTATAATTCCCTAGCACCAAAGCTGGGTCCGCCCTTGTTGCTGACGCTTCATAAACCGCACAAAGAAGCGACCTTGAGCGAAATTGAGTCTACTTAAATTGCTTAAGATTCCTACTCATATTTCCAAATCAAAGGCATGTGTTTCCATAGCATAACAGGAGTATATCTTTAATTAAAGCCTAAACAAAAAACCTAGTAAACCTTTAAAAATACATATGAATATTAATATTTATGTGTCCAAAAATTTTATGCATACTTTCAATGTTTAATAATCTTGTCACAACAGAAAGAAGCAGTATCACAACGAGCGAACGAACTGCCTTAAAATAATTCAACAAAAGGCAGATTGTTCGCTCGTTTTGAAACTGATCCTGCTGCAAAGAGCAAATAACTAGGAATCTAAATGAAGTACAGGAGCAAACAAGTTCGTTATGAGCCGCAAACTAACTCGTTCGATCTCAGTTGCGAACTATTACACCCAAGACAGACATACTGTGGCACATCTGTTTTATATTTATAATCTTTGTCGACACTCTGGGGCAACGTAATCTGTGACATTTTGTAAGTCGCACTTTAATATCAAATAGTCTGAAAGTAAACTCATAACTGTGAACACGTTTATTCATTTTACCGATCCTTCGTATAAATAGAGTCAGATATTAAACTTACCAATGAGGAATTATTTAAAAAAAAACATTAGTTTCCGAAACCAAACTAGATGTGGCTGCAGTAGGTACTTTCTTGATTTCTCCATGACAACCCTTCCGGTTTTCTGTCATGTAACTCTGGTTTCCCTTCATAACGCATAAATCTTTCGCCTTTTACTCTGTCATGTATAAAAGTAAATTAGTTTTCAAAACTCGATAAACAACTCATATTCTATTTGAACTTTTTGGTATTTGTATTGATATCTAAGAGTTGTTTATTGGGTTTTGAAAAATAATTTATTTTTATACATGTAATAAAAACCGGAACATTTGTCATGGATAAATCAATAAAGTACCGTAGCGACGTCTAGTTTGATTTCGGAAACTAATGTTTTTTTTTTATATTTCCTCATTTCTTATTATACTCAAGATTTGACAGTATGCCTAAATTCCGTCGCCTGTCCCATAGACGAAACTACTACTACTACTACTACTACTACCAAAAAGTACAGTAATAATAACTACTACTAAATAAATGTCATGGCTGTATGGCTTAGTTCCTTCGCCTGTCCCATGGACGAATTATAATACTATATTAATAAATAAATGTCAGCGGCTCGTGGCGAGTTTGTAGTTATCATAACCTTTAGAAAAAATTGTACTACAACCAATAATATACATCTCGTATGTATTTTATTCCAATTATTATAGGTATATCACTTTATTTAGTGCACATTAATATAAGCTTAGAAAAATGACCGCTGCAGGAATTTGTGTTATCAAAGACGCATACGTGTTAAAGAGATCTGTTGTTATCAATGAAAATTCGTGTAATAAGAGGAAACTGGAATCCGGAGACGAAGATAATGAAAACATTGACCATGACAGCAAAAAATCTAAGGACAATGAAGAACAAACGTTCTCAAACAAGAGCAGAATGAGGGGACAAAATAAAGCTAGACCTAAAACTTTTAAAGAAGATAAAGAAAGCAAACCTTGCCCTTCAATCGTTAATATCAAATCGTCTGATGAGTTACGCCAATGTCAATTTAATAATTGTAAATTCATACATAATCCATTAGATTACATAAAAATAAAACCCAAAGATATTGGAGAACAGTGCCATGTTTTTAACACTAGGGGAAGGTGCCCAAGAGGCATTTCATGCCGCTTTGGTACTTGTCATATTTCACCTGATGGTTATAATATAACTGATGAAGAAAAATGTAAAATTTGGAAAGATGATACTAAAAATACACTACAACAGTCCCTACAAATTCAACTCCAAAAGAGAAAGTATGATATGAGTCTTGCTGAAAACTTAGTTAAGGCATTAAACCCTAAAAAGACTAACAGTGACAAAGATGTTGATGATACTGAATATAATAACAAAAAACATTCAAGTAGTGGTACAATCACTGATGAAGACATTATCAAACTCCTTCCAAAAGAAAAAAAGTCTATAGACTGGTGTGACAAGTTATATCTTAGTCCTTTGACAACTGTTGGAAATTTGCCATTCAGGAGGATTTGTAAACAATATGGAGCAGACATAACTTGTGGTGAAATGGCACTATGTGAGTCACTACTAAAAGGTACTAAACAAGAATGGGCCTTAGTCAAAAGACATGAATCAGAAAATATATTTGGTGCACAGATATGCGGTAATAATGTCTTTCTAATAACAAAGGTAGCACAATTATTACAAGAAAATACAGAACTGGACTTCATAGACTTGAATGTAGGATGTCCCATAGATTTAATTTATAAAAAAGGTGGTGGTAGTGGATTGATGCATAGATTACCTACATTAGAAGGTTCAATTAGATGTGCTTCTAAAATTCTCCACATACCTTTCACAGTTAAAATGAGAACTGGTGTATACCAAAATAAAAAAATTGCTCATACAATTGTTCCAAGAATCGCTGAAGCTGGAGCTTCTCTTATAACATTACATGGACGATCTCGAGAAGCTAGGTATACTAAATCTGCAGATTGGGAATACATAGAAACTTGTGCACAAGCTGCTAAACCATGTGCAGTCTTCGGAAATGGAGATGTATTTAGCTATGAAGATTATGTAGAAAGGAAAAATTTAGCTCCTACAATCCAAGGAGTTATGATTGGTCGAGGGGCCCTTATAAAACCATGGATATTTACAGAAATTAAAGAGCAAAAGATTTGGGATATTAGCAGTAAAGAGAGATTTGAAATATTGAGAACATACACAAATTATGGCTTAGAGCACTGGGGATCTGATACACAAGGTGTTGAAAACACAAGGAGGTTCTTGCTTGAATGGTTATCTTTCTTATACCGCTATGTTCCAGTAGGTTTACTAGAGAGGCCTCCACAAAAGATAAATGAAAGGCCACCATCTTTTTTTGGTAGAGACGACTTGGAAACTTTAATGGCCTCTGGAAATTGTGCTGACTGGATTAAAATTAGCGAAATGCTCTTAGGACCAACCCCAGAAGGATTTGTGTTTCTGCCCAAGCATAAAGCAAATTCTTATCAATGAGACAGCTGATAATTTTGTATGCATATAGATAAATGATATTAACCTATCAAATAAAGGTAGGTTATTTCAAATATAAATTTTTAGTTTAAAATGGGAATTTTCTAATTAATTCTACATAATGAAAAATGCTTAAAAAATCCACCAGCTCCAGGTACTCTGAGATGGACTTTTTGTCCATACTATTTGACCAAATATTTTAGTATCTAATATATTTTGTTGTAATTAGATAATTATTGTTATTTAATTGTTTGTTGTAATTAGTAAAATAAATTGATTTATTAATTAAATTTATAATTAAATAATTTTCTTATAATCATGAAAGTTGTTAGAACAGATAGTACACAATCTTCTGTATTACACTATTTAACAATTTTTTATACATACGAATTGTCGTTATCAAAGATTAGGAGCTATGGTTATAGTGTCAAAAGATTTTATTATTTTTTATTTTTAGGGCCGGTTTCACCGGTTGCTGATAAAGTCCCTGATAGTCTATCAGGAACTTATCTGCCAGATAAACTATAACTTTTGGTTTCACAGGTCTCGGATAAAAATATCTGGCAGATAAAGTGTTAGATATGTTATCAGCCGATTCAAGTGGCTCATATAGACGTTATCTGATAGATAAAAAAAAGTTTCAAGTAGCGGGAACGAAAATAGTTTTAGTTTTAGACCATTATTGTGTGCTTTGCGTCGATTGCAGTCACGAGTGTCACAAATATTCTAAAATGGATTTATTTGAGTTTTTAGAAGACGAATTAGATGAATATTTCGAACATATTACGCAACCCCGTAGAAATCGAGTAATTAACCCTAGACCTAATTATTTAGAATCACTTCACGATCAAGATTTTTAGGAATCGATTTCGGCTTACCAAACGGGCTGTTGTTTATATTTTATCGTTAATAGAAAGTGATATAAAAACTACAACGGGCTACTAAGTAAAAAATAAAGAAGCTCCGTTTCTTCTTGATTAAAATTCACACTTCTTTCACGTTTTTGTTTTTCCATTATTAATTAACAAATACGCAAAGAATACACAAAGAAAAGTTCTTTTTTTTTAATTAATGGCTTATCTGCGCATTTCGCACAATTCTGCCAATGTCAAGTAAATAAATTAATTTTACATGAAATATGAAATGAATGAAAGATTTTAAGCACAAAATATCAATTTTTTTTTTTTTTTATTATTAAGAGCATTGGCTACCAAGGCCATCAGCTTAATCCTTTAGTACATACATATAATTGGAACTAAACACTACTACAAAATCCTTAAACTAAAAAACCTTAAGATTATGTTATACAAATATTAAATATAATAATGTAAATATTAAATGTAAGAAAGAAGAATCAAATTTGGTATAATCATTTACAGAGGACCAAACGTATTACTATAAAAATGGTAAATTATTACATACAAATCAATTATTTTCAGCATGTCCTGCACATTTTTTGGAAACATTTTGTTTTTTAAATAATCTGTACACAAAGAAATAAAAAGAAGACGCTGCAAGTTAAAATATTTACAATTAAAAAATAAATGCTGAAGGTCACATATTGTCTCTGTACAATATTTACACAATGCACTGTCGCTTAATCTGAGGCGGTGAAGATGGGATGGGAATTTACAATGACCTATTCTTAATCTACAAAATGATGTTATGAAGTTCCTATTCGGGGTAGTCAATTTCTCAAACCAGGCTTTAGTAGTGGGCACAGGGACAATTTCGGCATGCCATTTACCCTTTGTAAGTCGTGAATTGTCTAGCGATATAGACCATCGTTTGATCATATTTTCTTTTAGACGGATTATCAAATCACTATATGGCACTTTGTAATCATTTATTAGTGTTATATTCTGTGCAGATCGTGCAAGTTTATCTACGAGCTCGTTCCCAAATATGCCGGAATGTCCCGGTACCCAACAAAATTCAATTAATAAATTACATTGATTTAATAGTTCAACCAGGTTTCTAAGTTCGTAAATTAAGTAGTTACAATTCACATCAATACATTTATCCTTTAATGCAAGCAGTCCACTCATAGAATCACTAAGTATTATAAATTTGAAAGATGACGATGAACTGAAATTCAATAATATATATTTAACAGCATAAATCATGCCTAAGATTTCAGCAGAAAAAATTGAGAAATTGTGATCACATGAATAAACTTTACCAATTTTATTACAAGAATCATAAAATGCAAAACTAGTACGATTATTTGTTTTAGAACCATCAGTATAAATTTTTATATAATCATTTTTCTCGCTCAGAAACTCATAAAAGTCTTGTTTTGAATCGAATCTAGTTAACGTAACTTCAACATCACGTATCATTACTTCAAAGTTGTAAGAGAAACAAGGAGGCTTAAACGACCAATGAATGACATCTTGAAATTCAAAGTTTAAATAGGTAATTGATTCCGTAATGGAAGGCATCGCAGGTATAGGAATATTATTATAATTAGGGATTGCAAAATTTTCAAGGTAACGACTAACTAAAACATTGTCACGACTAATTAAATTCAAACAAAATTTTTCTGATAAATAACTTCTTCTTATATGTAAAGGAGGTACTCCAGATTCGACTTCTAAGGAATTTATAGGAGAAGATATCATAGCCCCTGTAATTATTCTTAGCCCTTTATTTTGAATAATATCTAGCTTTTTCAGAAACTGTTTGGATGCGTGAGCATAAAAAATACTACCATAATCTAATTGACTACGAACTGTAGAAATAAAAAAGCTTTTCAATATTTTTGGATCAGAGCCCCAGTTAACCCCAATCAGAGATTTCAAAATATTTAAACGCAATTCTGCTTTTTTACATGAATATGTAATGTGGGGACCCCAAGATAATTCCGAATCAAGTATGATACCTAAATACTTCTCAGACGTTTTATAAGGTATAAGAGCATTATTATAATATATACGAGGACTGACAGGGCAACTATAGGCAAAGAGCATAACTGAACTTTTATTTACGTTTACTTCTAGTTCTAATTGATTATTTAACAAGTCACTAAGATAGGTAAGACAATTGTTCATAATTTGTTCACCCTTAAACAGATCTTCACAGTCTAAGTATATAACAACGTCATCAGCATAGAAAGTATATTTAACTAAATTCGGTATAAGTTTCATAAAATTTACAAGACTTAAAATAAAAAGTAGTGGTGAAATAACTGATCCTTGGGGGGTACCTTTAAAAGACTTACACGGACCGTATAAATTATCCCTAATTTTTAATGTTACGGAGCGACCATTTAAAAACTGAAAAATCCAAAATAAAACTGGACCTGGAATACCTAATGAACTTAAAGTTTGAATCAAATACTCGTGTTTAATATTATCAAATGCGCCTTTTATGTCTAGAAACACGGCGATAGTTATTTTATTTTTTTTAAGATTACTTTGTATGTCGCCTAATAAACAACCTAAATTGTACATCGTGCTCTTTCCTTTGCGAAAACCAAACTGGTAATCAGGTATAAGAGAGTTATGTTCGATAAACCACTCTAATCTATTTTTTAACATTGTCTCAAATAACTTTGCTAAGCACGAAGTCAAAGAGATGGGTCTATACGCATCTGAGCTATTGCCATCCTTATTAGGTTTTAAAATAGGTATTACAATCTGAGTCTTCCAGATAGGAGGTATAATATTATTTTTCCATAGTTGATTGTATATATTTAAAAGAAGACTTTTTGCGTTTACAGAAAGATTTTTAATGACAGAATATGGGATATAATCAGGGCCTGGTGAAGTATTCTTTTTATTACTTAAGGCAGCTTCAAATTCAAACATATGAAAGGGATTTTGGATCCATTTCGCTGACTCACTTCCCTTGGATGTGAAATACGAATCTAAATTATGAGAATTTATATTAGAAGAATTCGAAGGAGTTATATTATTTAAATAAGCCCATGCGTTGGACTGATTTTCAAAATAATGTGACCTAGAAATAGTTCCTAATTTAGCAAATTTAAATCTTCTAATTTGATCCCAAATTATTTTAACAGGTGTAGTTCGGTTAAAGGAATTACAAAAATTGGCCCAACTTGAAAGCTTTTGTTCAGCCAATATTCTTTTCTTTTTAGCATCGTATTGCTTATATAAAATATAATTTTCTAAAGTAGGATATTTTTTAAATGAGTTTAGAGCGAGTTTAGCTCTTTTAACTGCTAGAGAACAAATATCATTCCACCAAACAGTAGGCTTGCGTTTTTTGTTATGGCAACTGAATTTTTGTTTTTTAGGAAATGTCATTAAAATATTGCATAAATTTTCAATAAATGAAGTATAGTTTGTTAAAGGATCTGATTCTAAAGTAAAACAGGAAAAAGCATTATCACATAGCTGGGAGAATTTTAACCAATCTATTTTTAGAAAGTTGACATCGGCCAAGTAAGAAGAATTATCTGAAATATTCTGAGAATTTACGTTCTTTGCAGATGATGAAAAACTGATATGATCGCGAAACAAAAAGCTAATTAAAACGGGAAAATGATTACTACTTATCAAATCGTCGTAAACAGAGAATGTACAACTTGAACTTACCGCAGGTGATGCAAAAACCAAGTCCAAAACGTTGCCGTTCTGGTTATACGATGCAAAAGTTGTGACTGTGTGATCATTTAGGCAAATAAGATTATGGTCGTCAGCGAAAGAATTAATTATATTGCCCCTTCTGTCGTTATACCTAGAGCCCCAGGACGAATGATGAGCATTGAAGTCACCAATCAATAAATAGTTTCTGTTTTTAATATATCTATATGAATTTGAAAGCATTTCTAAATCAAATTTACCCTTAGGTGGAGGAGGTACATACACACATAGTATATCAACACAAATGTAACCAATCTTGACTGAAATTAATAAATTTTGAAAGTGATAATTTGATGGGGTATTAATTATTTTATGAACATGCTTGTCTTTGATAGCAACTGCTATGCCACCATGAGGATGATCAGAATCACGTCGAATAATTTTGTAACCAGGCAACTTAAATAGTTTTGAAGTATCAAGCCAAGTTTCATTTAAAAGAATTAAATCAAATTTAGAAGAATAATTATTGAGAAAATATTTAAATTGGTCTAATTTAGATAAAATGCTGCGACAATTCCAATGGCAAATGTGAAATTCATTAATTCCAACCTCACTGCCCATAAAATTAGGAATTAAAGTTGGAAATAAGAGTTTCTTTTATGAGTTTTGATGAGATAGTATTACCTGAATGAGCATCTTTCTTATTAACAGCGATGTCTACAAGTGTTTTTGTTAATATATTTAGCACATCATCTGAGTTAAGAATATCTGTAAATAACAATCTTTTCTGTGGTGCATTAAGTAGCTTCAAGTGATGTTTTGGTGTAGGAGTATCAGATCTTGGGATATCTGTAGATACTGTCTGAACTTTAGAGGTGACTGTAGCATAAGTTTGTTTGCCACTAATTCGATCTTTCAGTTCTTGATTTTTGGCTGATTTAATAGGGCAAGTGTTGCTGATAGCCATGTGAGCACCATTGCAATTGATGCATTTTAGCATGTCTTTATTGGTGCATTCTTTAAAGAAGTGATTCCCAGAACATATAGAGCATACTTGAGAGCTTCTGCAGGATCCACGGCTGTGTCCAAATTTGTAACAGACAAAACACTGGCGCACAGGTTTGATATATTCCTTTACATCAAACCACATAAAATCATAAGTCACATGATCAGGACGAGTTGAGCTCAGAAAGGTAACAAGCACTGTTGGTGTAGGGGAGAATGATCCATCCTGATTCTTCCTCATGAAGCGTTTCACACCTATTACTTCATAATTAGATTTTATATTTGTTAATAAATCTTCCTCTTTAATTTCTTGTGGTACTTTTATTATTCCTAGACTTTCCAGACGATCATAGGGAATTTTCGCTTGCCAATCATGTTTTTCTAATAAAGTTTTATCTAAAAGAAATGCATTTGCATCTTTTTTTGTGGAAAAATATGCTTTGAAAAGGAAGTTGCCAATGCGTTTTACATACATCAGACCAGTACAAGATTTTAATATGTTATTTATCTTCATTAAATCAAGTTTTGTGTTGGGAGAGGATGAAGATATTAATAATGGATATTCTTTTTTGCAATCTTCTGTGTACATATGGACATAGTCTTTGAAAACGCCTCTTTTATTTGTAATAAAATTTGCCGCCATCTTAATCGGTGGTGGACAGTCTTCTCCGCCTACTAATTTTCTTTTGGATGCAGGTCTGCCGCCACTCTCTTCGTTCATAATTACGAAATCATATATTAAATCAGTTTACATATACGTAAAGATAGGAATAGAAATTTATTAAGCTAAAAAGGGCTTGTGAAGGAATAGTTTTTAATTATATTTCAAATATCCCGCCTAACACTTTGAATGTTCGCGCCCTTTTCTCCGCACAAAATATCAACAAAGCAAAACATATGACAGTTGCGTTTCGTTTCTGTAAACACGTAGCTAAGTATACGAATATCGTATTATTTTCATTCTAGAATCATAAAATTATAATTCAAAATATGTGAAAAAAGTTTACTTAAATAATATTGAACATAAAAAAAATATATTAATTAAGTTTTAAAAATGATTTTTGATTGACGATAATTTGAGTCGTAGTATTGAAACGCAAAAAAGCGACGTTGCCGTTCCGTCAACTAATAAGTGGCCGATAACTTATCTGCCAGATAAATTATCTAGCAGTTTGATGGTGAAACAGAAAAAAGTTTTTTCTACGACCAATACTACGTTTCAATACTACGACCCAAATTATCGTCAATCAAAAATCATTTTTAAAACTTAATTAATATATTTTTTTGTGTTCAATATTATTTAAGTAAACTTTTTTCATATATTTTGAATTATAATTTTATGATTCTAGAATGAAAATAATACGATATTCGTATACTCAGCTACGTGTTTACAGAAACGAAACGCAACTATCATTTGTTTTGCTTTGTTGATATTTTGTGCTTAATTTCTTTGTGTATTATTTTCGTATTTGTTAATTAATAATGGAAAATAAAAAACGTGAAAGAAGTGTGAATTTTAATCAAGAAGAAACAAACGGAGCTTCTCTACTTACTAGTTAATGGAGATTTTTTACTTAATAGCCCGTTGTGGTTTTTATATCACTTTCTATTAACGATAGAATATAAATAACTGCCCGTTTGGTAAGCCGAAATCGATTCCTAAAAATCTTGATCGTCAAGTGATTCTAAATAATTAGGTCTAGGGTTAATTACTCGATTGCTACGGGGTCGCGTAATAAGTTCGAAATATTCATCTAATCCGTCTTCTAATAACTCAAATAAATCCATTTTATAATATTTGTGACACTTGTGACTGCAATCGACGCAAAGCACACAATTATGGTCTAAAACTAAAACTATTTTCGTTCTCGTCAACTTTTTTTTTATCTATCAGATAACGTCTATATCAGCCACTTGAATCGGCTGATAACATATCTAATACTTTATCTGCCAGATATAGTTATCCGAGACCTGTGAAACCAAAAGTTGTAGTTTTGTCTGGCAGATAAGTTCCTAATAGACTATCAGGGACTTTATCAGCAACTGGTGAAACCGGCCCTTAGTCTTCTTAATGTAGTTTACTACCTCTTCCTCGTAGATAAGCCCAGCTTCAGAGGAAAAAAAACTAATTCCTGGCGCCGATAAATATTTTGCTGCATCCGTATACGTATACAGTATCGTAATCGTATACGGATTGTCATGCTGTGATATGTTATTAATATGTACTTAAAAAAAGATCTGTTTCTGCCGCAACTGCATTTTTTTGATACAAGTTTTGGCGCCACATACCGGCCGACATAATCGTGGATCCGGGCCTGAATATACAAGGTTAAATGTCTCAAACTGCGTGGTCTTATTATTTATTTATTATAAGTCAGAACTGGTGAGTTACCTAAATAAGAAGACCACCTAAATAACCGACGATACGCTACAAATCTTCCGTCTTAAATGCGCTAGGAAGCAAGAGTGCTACTGTGGAACGGAATATTCTTTATGTCCTTAGATCTTCGATATATCAAAATTATTACTTACCTAATAGTTTGGTTACACCCAATGTTATATTTTCGTAGAAAGAATCTTCAGATACTAGATCTACACAGAAACTCATTTCTACCGTACATATATTCGGAACATACTTTGAAATGAAGTCTTCTTTTTTAATTAATGGCTTATCTGCGCATTTTGCCAATGTCAAGTTCGTTATTGTTTGTTTCGAAACCTGTCTTTTTATCACCCTGCAAAAATAATATAAAGACTATGTCAAATACTTAGGAATCACTACATTTTCTTAATCACTAAAAAAGCCATAGAGATAATATTACGTTGTCATGGAAACTTATATAGGGTAGCATTTAATAACTTATATAGAATAGAATCTGTAATAATATTTAATAGTGGAAAAAAATATCTAAGCATTTTATACGAAAGATCTGCCTGATACCTGCCTAATTCTATCAGCTTATTGCATCTTAGCAAACACAAACCACAATTTTACAGGCGTTACACATTTAACTTTCTAGGTTGCGTCACGTGTTAAGATTGTTACGTAATACGTCACAACACAATATATTTGATTAGAACAATCAGAGGGTAGGTATTTAATTACAGACTATCGTCAGCTCAGCAAGCACCACATATCTCAAGTATTTACTTTAGTAATTTGTCAACGCTATGTCCCAGACTGATAAATAAGAGATTAAAAGTTTACCTAGAAAGTTTTTTGGTATAATACATAGTTCTATACTAGCTGTGGCGCTTGTGGGCTGAGTTCAACGCAGCAGCGCCAGACTCGTTTATTCCCAAAACTACGTGACGTCCCTATTTCGTAACGGACTAAAGGGCTAATTAATGTCAAAGAATAAGTATTAAAAAAAAACATTAATTCCCGAAATCAAACTAGATATCGCTACGGTACGTTCTTGATTTCTCCATGACAACCCTTCCAATTAGTTTTCAAAACTCAAGAAACGACTCATATTCTATTTGTATTGATATCTTAGTTTCGAACTTTTCAAACTTCAGTTTTTTAAATGTTACTTAAAATTTACGGTCAACAGTCATTTGAGTCTTTGGTCCATTCGCTTGCTGCAAAAATCCACTTTTGCTAGAGTCGCCATCTAATGGAGGTGTTCTTTTTTAAATACTTCATTTTGCAATAATCGGGCTATTTTATGACTCAAAATCAGAATCTCCGTTTATTACGATGTAAATTTTAGTTTTTTACTATAGAAACTACCTTATTCATTTCAAAATCCATGAGACAGACTGCACTGGCCTTTAGGGTGGGGTACTAACTATAAAATAAAAAATTGTATAAATGCATTATTCGTGTAAAATTTATTAATGTTTACTTACACTGAGATTAAACGATATTCAAACTAAACTAATACAAAACACAAATATTTCTAGATTAATAATTACTGAATTATACGTTGCTTAAGTGTAATAGCTACATGTTAAACATGGCTAAACAAGCATAAAAAACTGTAGGCAGTTCTACGCTTTTACTGAGATTGTCTTAGTTTTAAGTACACTTAACACTATCAAATACTCAAAAGAAAAAGTGTACTCTATTGGTACTTTGGGATATATCTATGTGCATGAAATATCTGAAAATAAATCCCGCCTAGCGTCTCTTGACGCCTACTCCTCTCAAACCTAATAATTTTTTTCATTTTAAAGATTGCACTTAGTCGCACACAGTAAGCAAAAAATTTGAAGTTTAAAGTGCTATTAAATCAAATGTGTGCCTATAGCATGAGACTTCATACAATACATGGTAGGGCATTAAAATAATGTTGGTTTTTTTATAGGTTAACATGTTAAAAACCAAATAATTCTGTTGTTTTTCTGTTTAACAACAAATTTTAATAATAAGAATGAATGTACAATTCAGATAATAGCGTTGTAGTAAATAAACTTGTGTAAAGTATTAAGTTATAGAGCAGCAACTTATTTAAATGCCACTTTAAAATGATTTCTATATGTAAATAAAATGTTTAAATCTATAATAGTATCCTAATCTGAAATGTCAGCCTCCAAAACTGAAGGTTAATTTACAATTTTAATTTGAAGTCTTAGTTTTATACACAAATACTAATGACATTTATTCATGTGGAATGGAATTATTTTAAATTATCAAAACCTAGAGTAATTTGTTCTTCATTCACACACATTTTAGCAGTTCATCGCCTTCTACGCCTTCGGGAATCGCCATTGTATCCGTTCTCTGTAAGGAAATAAACGTTTATTACTTTAGTTAGACCATCATATATTTACATAGTATAAAAACAAAGTACATGTGTTATTGACAAACCATCCATAACTGGGCTCACATTTCAAGTACATAAACTCCTGTATGAAATCTATATAAGAAAGCTTACAGAGATTTCATATTTATTTCATTTATCTAACTAAAGCGAGACAATTATAGTTGGTATGTTTTGACAAGAATTAGAAAAGTGAATGTTGTTAAGAAGGTGAGTTTGCATTGGTTTGAATAAAACAAACCTCTGTTATTTCATCGCCGGCGATTCCTCTGGCGGTTATTATTGTACCCCATGGAGCCGTTCGCCGGCGCACTGCCATAATCATGCTGTTCCATACCCATCGGTCTGCCAGGACCCATATTATGCATATTGTAGTAATTCATTTCCGACCCATATCCACAATTATCATAATTTTGATTAAAATTATTTTCATCGTCATATCTTTGATTATTTTTTGTTCCATATGAACCAAAAGCAGTGAAATTAGCTCCTTGTGGACCGATGACATCGCCGCCATTCTGGGGCAGCATGCGCGGCAGAAGGCTCCCATGGGGCACACCGAGACCGCCAGGGGCATATCCGTAGCCGGGAGGTTGGCCCAGGTCGCCCCCATCGGGGCACCCGGGGCCGTAAGATCCAAGACCGCCTCCGGTCAGACCTTCAGAGTCATCGTCGTTGCGATCTCGCCCTCTTCCACCTCGACGGCGTCTGTCACGGCCTCGTGGACGAGAGCCACCGTGGCCGTCACCGCCACCGAGACCGCCGTCGCCACCGAGACCACCACCGGAGCCCAGGCCTCCGCCCGAGCCAAGACCCGAACCGAGCCCTGAGCCGAGCCCCGGGCCCATCGGCCCGTGCCCGCTCGAGCCCAGGCCCCCACCGGAGCCGAGGCCGCCGCCACCTGAGCCAAGGCCGCCGCCCGGGCCGCGGCCACCACCATGGCCCAAGCCTCTGCCCGGACCGGGACCTCCGGCAGAGTGTGAATCATGCTTCCTGGAATCTGACTCGTGACCCATCTCCCCTATACCCTGCTGCCCTTGATTTCCACTACCAGAGTATTCGGAATTAGGTGGAGGAGGGGGAGGTGGAGGTGGCGCCGCCGACCATCCCCCGCTGGGACCCATCATGGGATTAATAGGTCCCCCGGGAAAATTGGGCATCATCATACCATATTGATCAGCAGGAAAAAACGGTGGCATTACGAAACCTTGACCGTTCATTGGAGGTGGAACACACATACTTTGAGGGTTGATGGTCATTAATGGGGGAATAGAAGTATTTGGAGGAGGAGGCTGTTGTTGCGGTGGATTTTGTTGCAGCTGCTGTTGTTGTTGCAACTGCTGCTGCTGTTGTTGATGTTGTGGCTGTTGTTGATTTTGCTGTTGTTGTTGTTGTTTTTGATTAAAATCAACATTATTATTTGATAATGAATTATTTTGATTATTATTACTTTTTGTAGTCCCTCTATCGTGAGAATCAGTTTTATGGGTATGTGAAACTTTACCATTAACTTTATCGTTTCGGGTTATAGGTGGTAACTGAGGACCTATGGGAGTGGGCAGTAGTGGTTTCGGCGTGGGCAATAGGGCTTGGGGGGTCACTTTAGGTGCTACATCCGTAGTGTCCTTCTTTGGGCTGCACTTGCCTGAGCGAGATCGACTTCTTGATCGGGAGCGGGAGCGTGAACGACTTCTTGATGATCGTGATGATCCACTGCGGGATGACCGGGAAGAGCTGCGACGGCGGCGGCGACGATCACGATCGCGGTCACGGTCACGGTCGCGGTCGCGATCACGTTCACGCTCACGGTCGCGATCACGGTCGCGGGATCGAGACCGCGAGCGAGAGCGACGCCGACGTGGGCTTCTCGAACGAGATCTAGAGCGTCGCCCACGACGATATCTTCCGCCACGTCCACGATGACCTACAAACAATTTATTGATATAAAAAAGATCATACATGATTTAATATTTTAGAAATTCCATGTGAATAAATAATAAAAATGGACTAAAGATTTTGACTCAGTAATTATTTTATGGAATAAAAACTCACAACGAAATTTTTTTAAGGAATAGAATGCGGAATAGAGGGTGAGCATTCGTGGAAGAAAATCATGTAATTGTTTGTTGGCGGAAATTTAGTTGAATTATAAACTCATTCTGAGCATATAAATACTTACGTCTACCACCACCGCCACCTCTTTCAGCCAGCTCTTGCAATTTAGGATTTACTACTTGCTTAGCTTCTTTGAGAACAGATACAAGGTCAGCTGCTTTAGCAGCATTTGACGGTGTAAAGAATGTGTATGCTGTGCCAGTTTTGTTTGTACGCCCTGTTCTTCCAATGCGATGGACATAATCTTCAGAATTACTGGGATAGTCAAAGTTTATAACGAATTTAACATCGTCCACATCTGAAAAGATAGAGTTATTATTGTAACATTTAGTATTATTATAAGTAGATTTACACTCAAATGAATAATATTCGCAAACACATACCCAAACCCCTAGCAGCCACATCAGTAGCAACAAGAATTGGAGCTTTACCACTTCGAAAATCTGTAAAAAACCAAAGTATTAATATAACCAGAATTATACTATTTTACTACAAGTACACTTTGTTTAAACCTAAATACATACCAAAAAGAAGAATGATGCAATAGTTTAACTTTGAAAAATGCAAAAACAATGGCATGTTGAGTTTAAATTTAATTTTTAAATTCTTAATTTCACCGCTGTATGAGTGCACCTATGTTAACTAAACACTTTAATTTAAATTTATCTGCTGTACTACTCTTAACTGTTATATTTATTGCCAATTTTCAGAATTAATATAATAATTATTATGTATGTCTATTTCTATTGTTTAATAAGATTTATAAGCTATTTAAAAATAAGCCAGTTAATCTACTAAAATAAATTGTAACAACAAAATATATATTTATTAGGATTTATCAATGGGTGATAGGAGTCTTGTTCCATCACAATGTAACCTCTGATGTTGTATCACAAATATTTTGCAAACTATTCCCCAGTCAAACATCAAATATTCAGCCAAAATATTTAAGGAAATACTAAATCTGGTACGTAAATAGGGTTGTCAGGGCTTAAAACTCAAAAATATCTTTTTAAAATGCCAGTCATACCCTGTTAAAAAATAACCATTTGTAATAATAAAATGGGAGAGGCATCAAAGCCAGGCAAAATACACAAAAAAACATGTAATGAGACATGCTATTTATAGCAAAACATTTGTTGGATACCTGGCAACCCTACCCACAAACCACATCAAGGCAAGTTCAGATAAAGCTCTCTTATTTGATTGTCTTTCTAGATTTTAGACTTTGTAACAATATGAATAATAAGAATTACTGTCATTATGTTTTTCTCAAGTTATTTTTTAAGCATTTTTTAGTAACCATATTAAGTGAACCTTGAGTGAATAAACAAGGTATTGCAGTTTTCAAACTAAAATTTTTATTACTAGCATGAATAAGTTTTTTTATTTATTTCTTACTGTGCATAAAAATATTGTAATACGCCAGATATATTTGGTATTCTTAAATATATTTAAATTTAAGTTGCATTTAGGATACTGAGAGTGATTAAAAATAGTGTTCTGAGGAAAAGAAAGTAGACTTGTACCCTACAATGAAGATATACCTAACGAACTTCGAAGATGCTCTGTATAACTTAGTAATTTTTCCATTTTATTTTATGTAAATCATACCGATGGTAACGCACATAGAGAAAAGTTAAGAGCAAGAAGATGTCGTCCGCCTGCTCAAGAGGCGATAACCGAGTCGAACAGCAAGCCCGAGTCGCGGGCGAGTGACAGCATCGGCACCGTCACGTGACGGCAAGCGGCGCTAGGGAGCGATCGCCACCGGCGAGGGGGCGAGCCTCGCGGCGCCAAACATGCGAGAAGCGGCTCAGACTAGCCGCGGTAGCAAGTCAGAGTGCATAGGGCTTAGCCGCAACGACTAGAGGCGGGCGCGGTGCGGACGCGGCCGCATACGCGCCTCGCGGCCGCCTGCCGCATAGCGGCGACGGTCGCGCGCTTGCCGCCGCCTCCGCCGCCCGGCCGCAGCACTCCACAGCCTGCACATGCAGACATGGCTTTAAAAACTGTTAACCCACTTCATACTACTGCTGCACTCATTACACACGCGTCTCCAGTCCGATACCGCTTCTCGTCACCCTTTTTTCTTTCTTATAGCTTACAGTTCTAAATATATTTGCAACTACATATATAAATATTGAATAAAAAATAAGTATAAATTGCTTTAAACAAAATAGTAATGTTGTTTTTGCTTTATAGACACATTACCTTGTAATACCCAATCACGTTCATTTTGCGATTTATCTCCATGAATACAAACTGCTGGCCAACTAAAAAATAATAATAATTAAATAACAACTGCTTACTATGATAAATGTCATATTAATTTACATAAAATGTTTACAAAACATACCCGTCTCTTTTCATTTTTCTAGTAATATCATCGACTCTTCTTTTGGTTTCAATAAATATTATAGTTTTGTTTTCTTTTTCTGCCATTATTTCCTTCAGAAGGGTACTAAGTTTTGTCTCCTTCTCATACTCCATGCAGACATCTATTATTTGCAAGATGTTGTGATTTGCAGCTAATTGTAAAGAACCAACATTAATTTGCAGATAATCTTTCAGAAATTCTGAAGCTAAGCTTTGCACTTCTCTAGGCCAAGTTGCAGACCACATGAGTGTTTGACGATCAGGTCTAATTTGTTCAATAATTTTCTTTATTTGTGGTTCAAAACCCATATCCAACATTCTATCTGCTTCATCAAGTACTAAATATGTACATCTTTTTAAATTAGTTCTTCCACTTTCTAAGAAATCTAATAAACGTCCAGGTGTTGCTATTACAATTTCTACTCCAGCATCCAAATCGCGAGCTTGAGGCCCTTTTGGAGCCCCTCCAAACAAACAAGTATTATGTATTTTCGATGTATTTGCAAATTTATCACAAACTTCCTGTATCTGTTGAGCCAGTTCTCTTGTAGGAGCTAATACTAGAGCTATCGGACCATCTCCACGGCTGGATTTTGGTTGATAGTTGATATGCACAATTGCAGGTAATATATATGATAAAGTTTTCCCTGAACCTGTAGATGCAATTCCTACCATATCACATCCACTCAATGCTATAGGCCAACCTTGAGCTTGAATAGGAGTAGGTTTGGAAAACCCCATTTTATCAATTTCATCCATTACATAGTCAGGGAACCCAGCTTCATCGAATGTTAAGGTGGGTTTTGGTATATTGCGTCCTTTTAGAGTGATTTCGTTATCGCTTCTCCAGGTTTCTATTTCAGAGTCTGGTCTGGCTTCCACATCCGGATGCGGTACATAAAAATCTTTTTTAAATGGTTTTAAGCGGTTCAAATCCCATTTAGGTTTCCGTAAATTAGCACCGGGATTGCTTCTCCGTCCGCCACCACCATAACCTCCACCACCTCCGCCCCCGGAGCCTAAACCATAACGAGGACTCCGACTACGACTTCTGCTTCTACTTCTACTACGACTGCGACGTCTGTCGCGACTACGATCCCTAAAATTAAAGATTATTCATTGATAGAAAGAAAAGACCACGATCGATTGATTGCGTTTTCTTTTGATAGCATGATAGGTACTTTTGTTTTCTTACTTACCGTCCTCTGCCCATCTTAAAGGATTTCCTTCGGAAATTGCACAATTATATTGCCGGCACTAAGCTACATTTAAAAATTAATACTCAAACGTAAAAGAATATGCGTTCAGAAAAAAAGATACGCACCGCGCATACACCGTGTCTACCACGAAAGATGCTAGAAAATAAAATGGCGTCGTTCGGCTTGGCATAGGGACAGAATGTTCAATACCTTACCTAAGTATCAAAAAATTTATTCGATTTATAAATCGATGTTTATATCGATGTTCTACATTCTATAGAAAAATTGTAATATAAGATTTTTTTCATTTTTATAACTTAGTCAATATAATGATTAAGTGATAGTTAAAAAAAATATAACTAAACTTTTTGGTTTTATTTTTTTTTATTTTATTTTAAAAAAGGCTTACCAACTAAATACATAAAAGACATACTATTCACTACATATCAATAATTTATATCATATATGTACTTAAATTATAGGTATGCACAACATTCTAATACATATAATACAATTTCAATTTCATATATAATAGTTTTATATAATTAGGATTATGTTAGAATAAATTTAGTTAGAGTATTCATTATTTATGTGGATTGATATTATGTTTCTAATCGTAAAATGTTTAATTTATATAAACAAACTAAAAAAAGTATAATTTATTCCGTATTTTTATTCGCTTCCTATACTTTTCTGTAACAGCATACATTAAACCGAATTTATATTACGAAATTAGTTTCATACATGATGAAGCACGTTTCACGAAACATGTGTGCTTGGTGCATACATGTAAAATATTTTTGTGTACTTTAAATATAAATAGCAATAAACAGTATCTTTGAGATCTCTAATATACTTTATGTACTGGTTGTCTGATATACTGTCTCCGTCAATATTGTGGCTATAACTATTATAATAATTTCTAACTTCATCACTTAACCATATTCTTGGCATCGGGTATTATTTGATACGTTACTCAGACAGCATGCTAAATTGGGGCAAGTTTGATTTTTCTTTGATTCTAAATGGCTGCGTCAAATATGACGAGGTAAGTTTATGACAATGTCGCTGCAATATTGTTATGTTAAACATGAAGTTAAATTGTTTGAATATTTTTATGACAAAGATACTTATTTGTAAGCATAGGTGCCCGAAAAGTTCGAAGTCTGCAAACTAGATGGCCCTGTTCATTTAATGCATCGTAGTATTAGTTTATATTGTTAGATTGTATAAGTAATATGCCGTTTAATGTGATCTTACATTCCACTCCCAGCTCTCGTTGCCCCCGTGCACGTACACGACTCTCTTCTAGCCAAACTGTGAGTATATCTCGCGCCTTCTGCACCTCGCGAGCGCAGGCCCTGCTGCTTTTGTTTTTCTTAAAACATAAAAACAGTAGGACTTGATTCACTTTTAACTTCTTGAGTCGGTGGATACCATACGGTGGCAACTAAGCCGGCTGAGCGATCCCGGTGCGCTCGCTAAGGCCCCTCAGGCTCTAGCAACACTGAAGACCCAATCCCATTGCACTTGGGCCTTGTCGCAAGGGTGAAGGTTTGCCGCTAATTCCATTAGGAATAGCCGCAGTTTTTTCCGCGTCCCCCTTCCTCCCTTGCTCTGGCGCGGTGTGGTCACTTTTTGCACACACGCGTATGCGAACACGAAGCGTTACTAAGTGACCCAGTAAGCCAATCCCGCTCCCATCACTCCGACCCTTCAGGTTTACCCTCTCTGCCCTCTCGACCTGCCATCCCTTCAGGATGCAGGTCATACAAATTGTTACGGGCATCAATTAGCACCCTTCTGGTGGTATGCGATGCTCCCTACCCGCCCTCCATATTCCGACCCTTAAGGTCAAACCGCCGTCGTACAATATCGGTGTGTTGCCAAATATAAGAATTTGCATGTATGGAATTTGAAGGGCTAAAAATTTATAGTGAAAATTTTTAACGTAACGAATGAATATCACACCATGGGTTTATTTGAAAATAACAAGTATTCGAATCAATACAAATATCGATACATATTCGATATTTTATGTATGTATCTATTTCATAATTCACAATAAATACAATTTTAAATCTTATACATCAGTGTTTTTCAACCTTTTTCATGATGCGACCCCCCAGATATGAAAAATATTTCGCGACCCCCCGACCCTTCATTTTTTTATAATGTATTTATGTGTACGTTACACTGTAACGGTTACTTACAGTATTACAAATATTTATTACATACGAAGTTTTTATGCGTCTACAATTCTACATAATTCATTTGGAAAACGATTTAATTCTTTGTGTAGCAAATACAGATCTACGATGGGAGAAATTGATAAATCAAAAACAAGTACAACCTTCGCATTAACTAGAGTCTTAGAAATTTATTGTTTGTTAATTTGTTTGTATTAACATACAAATATTTATGAGTATATATTCTTTTGTTAAAATCCTTCTTCTTAATAAATCAATCTTTTTAATCGTTATTGTTTTTTACTGAAGTTCTCTTGACCTATGGCGACCCCCCTACCGAAAGTTTCGCGACCCTCAGGGGTCGCGACCTACAGGTTGAAAAACACCGTTATTTCAAAATATCTGTCTTATGTCCTGCAATATAATTTTTTAAGTCTCATTTAATAACATTGTTATTTTCTAAATGAAATTGTCTATCGATCACGTTTGAGCCTGTAGTATCAGTCAAAAAATACTTTTCTATTAATTTGTCATTGTTTTTATAGGGTAACCTATTTTTCATTATTAATTTAAAACTTTAAAAATCTCAATGACAAAAATTTACGATTTCTTTTTCAGTTTTTAACCTTAAGGGTTCGAAACCACTTCCCAACGGGGGAAGTAGGCGGTGAATCCTTCGTTGGATACCTCACAGCCGGCTGTAAAATTATGTCAGACCCCTACTGACTAAACACCACCTCAGACACAGACAGTCGGTTGCGTGCCCTGAAGGGGCAACGAATCTTCGACCGGAGCGATCGCCACTAGGAGTGAGACGTATTTACTGGAATAAGTTTTTGCTTGAACATCTAAGTACTAAGTATCGAAAAAGCAATCAACGCGTATCGAGTATTTAGAAGTATCGATTTACTCGTTACTTACACAAATCCCGAGACTCGGAAACGCGGACGCAGACTTAGGCGTCCAACGCGTTTCGAGTACTTAGAAGTCTCGTACTCACACAAACTTGGATACGCGCCGAGGCGCGAAGACGCGGACACAGACTCAAGAAGTCCAACACGTTTCGAGTATTTAGAAGTCTCGTACTCATACAAACTCGGACTCTCCGAGACGCAAAGACGCGGACGCGTTCGATCTTAGAGTGAGTGAATTAATTCCTATTCCTAGGGTCAATCTTAATGTTATGTGATAAAATTGCTTTTTGTTTACACAAAATTTATTTAATTTATTGAATGTGAGTGAGAGTTTATCGAAAAACTGAACTTTAGCCATACAATTTATTTACGGTAACATTCAAAATCTTATTTAGTAAATCACAAAAGTTTATATAAATCGTATAGAAATGAGATCATACCGCGATTCATACTGGCATAGCACCATCTGTTGTCTTAAATTGGAATCAATTTATCCAATTATACAATGTACTAATTAACTTATATTTTTATGTTGTATTTATTGTTAATTATTAATTTATTATAATTATTTATCACATACCTATTTTATATATGTTGAGCATAAATTCTCTATGGGTCAGTCCAAAAAAAAAAACTATTACCGTACTAATATTTAATAACTCAATGAATTGTAAAAATAACTTTTTATATGTAAATTAAATTAACTTATATCAACAAGCAAAACTCTTAACACAGCTATTCACACAAAATTATAACGCCACTTATTAGAAACTCATGTGAACAAAATGTATGTTAACATTTGAGAAATGTGTCTTTCCACTTTAACTGCTGTTTAAGATGTTTTTATTTTTTACTATGATTATTTTATTATAATTCACTACTTTATTTTTTGTTTACTAAGCTTGTGTTTACAAATGTAATCCGAAACATTGGGTAGGTATAAATAGTGCGATCCACAAAGTCACATTAAAATATTTTGTACAAAAAATTTTTTTGGCTTGTGCAATCGTCAAGTTAATTTTTCTCTCGTCAAAGTAAAGCATTCATGTGCAACTCCCAACCTACAATGACTTCGGATCATACCTCAAGCACTCGCGATATCTTGTGATAAAATTTGTGTCGCTAGTCTTCGTAAATGTCTAAAAACGCATACTTCTAAATACTCGTGGAATAGGTTTACGAAATAAGTTTTTCGGCGTACTCGTACTCTCAAGACTCAGTACGCGTTTAGCCTAGTACGTCTCATCTCTAATCGCCACAATTCACCTACATAAATCGTGACATCGAGATGTAATTAATAAGTAAAACATTTTCGTAATAAAAAAACACTGTATATAACACAGGTGATTTTGTTTTTTTTGATAACACAGGTGACTCCCAACCTACAATGACTTCGGATCATACCTCAAGCACTCGCGATATCTTGTGATAAAATTTGTGTCGCTAGTCTTCGTAAATGTCAATTATACTTTTAATTAATACAATTATATTCTTTCTTTACACAAATATCTTGTTTAGTCACAATATTTAATAAATGCTGATATATGAGGATATTGAATTGAATTATTAATTTATGTCAATGTTAGATTTAATATGTCAATATTTATTAAGTTGTTTTGACGGTTATCTCTGTTTGTCTTTTAGCATAGGCCTCCCTCAATCTTTCCCAATTTTTCTTATTTGCTGTCAATCTAGTCCATGTCACTCCTGCAGTTTTTGCTAGTTCATCTTCCCATCGTCTCCACTGCCTCCCTCTCCTCCTTTTCCTATCTCTGGGTATCCAATTTAGTATTGTTTTGCTCCACTTATAACCACCTCTTATAACATTACCTGCCCATCTCCACTTTCCTTTTATTACCTTTTCAGTGACATCAATCAGTTTGGTCTTGGCTCTAATTGTGGAATGCCTTAATTTTTGCATTTTCGTAATACTTAGCATGCTTCTTTCCATCGCTCTTTGGCAAGTCCTTATTTTTTGCAGATGGGATCTATTAAGTGACCATGTTTCGCATCCATACGTAAGAATGGGCAGTATGCAAGCATTGAAGAGTTTTCGCTTTAAGCTAACTGGGAATGTTTTATTTTTCATGACTTCCTTTAGTGACCAGTAGCTTTTCCAGGCCCCACTAATTCTTGTTTTGATTTCTTTATCTGTCATGTCTTGTGGTGAGATGATTTGTCCCAAGTACTTATATTTGTCTACATATTCTATTTTGTCTTTCCTCACCAAAATTGGAAGTTTAATTGTATTCGTCGTGGCCTTGGTTTTGGACATATTCATGGTTAACCCCACTTTTCTGCTTCGCTCATTAAGCTCTTCTACCATTTTTTGTAGATTGTTAGCACAGTCTGAAAACATAACAAGGTCATCAGCAAATCTCAAATGTGTCAGCTTCTGGCCATTTATTCTAATGCCGTATTCCTCCCAATCTAGTTCGCGGAAAATACCCTCCAATACCACCGAAAACAACTTTGGAGACAACGGGTCACCCTGCCAAACTCCTCTCTGTATTGGGAACTCTGCTCCGTCCCTATCCAATCTCACTCTTGCAGTGCTATTTTGGTATAGTTTTATAATTATGTTTATATATTTTATATCCACACCTTGGTTTTTTAGTTCTTTTCAGATTGTTGAGTGATCCATAAAGTCGAACGCTTTATTATAGTCTATAAAGCAGCAGTACAAGGGCATGCCATATTCTTTTGTTTTTTGGAATAACAGTTTTACTACCAGAATATGATCCATTACAGAGTAGTGGCTACGGAATCCCGCTTGCTCCCGTGGTTGGTTCTCGTATAGGACTTTTATTATGCGATTCAGGATGACCTTTGCAAATACTTTGTAAATATTTGACAGTATGCTGATTGGTCTGTAGTTCCCTATGTCATTTCTGTCGCCTTTTTTGTAGAGAAGAGTTATTGATGATGTAGTCCACTGCTGCGGTATTTCTTCTGACGTGAGATTTTCATTAAATAAATTGGTAGGTAGAGGTGTCGTTAAATCTTTATTTGCCAACAGAAATTCATTGCTTATTTTATCAGAGCTCGTAGCTTTGCCTTTCTTCTGTGATTCGATTGTTTTTTGTACTTCACTAGCAAGTATGGCCGAAACCTCTTCTGAAGGAAATGTATGATGTTGCTCGTCTGAAGTTCTATCTTGCTTTGTGTAGAGTGTCTGGTAAAATTTTGTGGCAATTTCAATTAAGTCTGGTCGCTTTCTTTTATCTTTACCTGATGAGTTCTTGAGAGATGGTATCCATTCCTTTGTTCTATCCAGAGACTTCCAAGCACTCTTTACACCACCTGTAGCCTTTATTCTGTCTTCGAATATTTTCATACGATGTTGTCTTGTATCCTGTCTCATGCTTGAATTGATATCCTTGCTGATTTTGGTTATTTGTTTGCGTATCTGGCCGGTCTTGTTTTTGCATTTGATTAGCAAGAATCTTCTGTATAAAAGATCCTTTGTGTTGTTGGAAAGATGTGAAGCTGTTGATTGATTCTGCATATTCATATGGCTGGAGCACTTTGTAATAAGGGAGTCGTATTTATTCTGGATTGTGGTTTGTGGGTCTGAAAGTATACCTTTTAGATAATTTCCCATTGGTTGATTTAGTTTCTGCTGCCAGGGTGTAGCTTTATTATGTAATTTTTGTCTTGCAAAGTTTCTTGAAATTTTTTGTTTTTCCATCCTTAATTTACATCTCACCATTCTCACTATGTATTGTACTATATACTATATATTTCAGCTACCCGCTAATATGTGGCATTAGTCGTTATTATACATTTGGAATTACCTCGTTGGTTCGAGAAAGTTCTGGTTCTGGCTAGCTAGTGTATTCCGATCACTTCGAGGAGGCAGTAATTGCATATAAAAAGCCTAGCGGCGTAACCGCGTAGGAAAGGCGAGGGAAGCGAAACTGTCTGTTGTGAAATAAAGTAACACCCGTGCATAAAACTAGTTTGATTTGACTTATTGTTTTATGTGTAATTTGTTAGTATGGAAAAGAAGCCTAAAATAGACAGTGAATGCAGAACGTTCCAAGATAAATGGAACTTTCAGTATTTTGTGATTGAATCCACTAACAAGGCGCTATGTTTAATTTGTAATGAAACCAAAGGTGTTCTCAAAGAATATAATATTAACGGAAAAAATTTAAGTTTTGAAACGCGGACTCAAATATGATAGTGGTTAAAAACCTTTAGTCTTGCATTGTATCATACACTAACAGTCCTTGTGCGGAAAATGTTTGGATATGTCTGAAGTTCTAAAACCACTCATATCAGTTGTTAACTTCATCAGATCCACTGGGCTGAATCACCGACAATTCCGCGAGTTTATTCAAGAGATTGGACAAAATGACTTACCATATCATACTGTCATACGCTGGCTTAGTTGCGGAAAAGTTCTTAAGCGTTTTTTTTAACTTCAAGCAGAGTTCGAATTTTTTTTAAATGAGATGCAGCGCGCTTTTGCCCATTTAGAAAATAGTGAATGGATGTGGAAGTTAGAATTCTATGTCGAATTGACAAATCATATGAACGAACTAAATTTGAGATTGCAAGGAAATAATCAGCTTCTTCCTGACTTATACACCAATATCAAATCCTTCAGGCAGAAAAGAAAATAATACTATTTCAATAGCTATTACGTAAAAAATGTTTCACACATTTTAAAACATGTGAAATATTCAGCCACACTACAGAAACTTTGAGTGCTTTGAAGATAAATTTTGATACTCGTTTCTCAGATTTTGATGTCATTGCGAATTAAATTAAGCTTTTTTAAAATTCTTTTGATTCTAACATTGAAACCCTGGCTCCGGAAGTCCAAATGGAAATTATTGATTTACAGTGCAGTGATATGATTAAGAACAAATATCAAAATTCATCTTTGTTGTAATTTTATAAGTCTTAAATTGGAACAAATTGGAACCCACGGGTTGTTTTCTGTTTTTAGTACTACTTTCTTGTGTGAGAAAACGTTTTCCAAGATGAAGTACACAAAGAATAGACTGATATTAATTAACCGATGAGAATCTTAAATCTCTTTTGATAATTAGTACAAGTAAAATTGATCTACAACTACAAACTATTGTCGGTGGAAAATCACAATTACATAAATCTCATTAGTGTTTTTTTTACTGTGATTAGTGGGATATGTTAGTTATTAATATTATGCTTAAACTTAGATACTTAACTTAAGTTTTCTGCGTCATCATTTCTGTCGTTAAGTTTTACCTTGCAAGTAAATAGAGCCAAGTAATTATCATTCTGTGTTTTCTTCTTCAACTTATCACAGCAATAGTAATAACAATAAGTCATTGGCTGTCGCGGGCCAGATTGATGACACTGGCGGGCCGGATTTGACTCGCGGGCCGTAGTTTGGAGACCCTTGCATTAGATTAAACCTTATGCACATACATAGAACGATATTGGTTTTAGAAGAACATAGCGCCATGAGCCCATGACAGAAGTTGGCGTTTTCTATGAAAATGAAAATTAAGTTTATTTTTGGTTTTAACTTATTATAATATACCTTTTTATATATATTTTTAGATATATTTATCTAAATTATGCAAAGCTAAAAAAAATGTTTTAAAAAGTTGGCTACATTCCTATTGTTCACTTTTTACGGTAATTAAAGCAAGCGATTTCCTTCCTATCGTGTGGATGGCTTTTAAATATGTAAAAATCTATGGTGGCTGTTAGAATGTTTTTCTGTTAGTCTGTTATAGCAACACCGATGGGATCCATTTTCTACGTTGTTGTGACATTTTGATAAACCAAGAAAAAGGGATTTATTTGATTTTTGGGATTGGTTCATCTGGCCTGAACATATTACGTTAAACGGGTGATGATTAACATCATTTAACATCACTTTAGCCAATAGGTATTGGTTCTGGCAAAAGCTCATGTCCACAATGGGTTGAATCAGTGATCGCTATCGGCATACATTCATCGTTTTCTTTTCTCTTTTCTGTTATACATAACAATGGAGCTGGATGTATCGCCGTCAAATACAGTCGATATCGACATGGATTATACAGAAAATTCTTCAGATAACAAATATTTGACATGTGTAAACAACGAACCGCCATACGCGGTTATACGTATTCCAGAAGATGATGAAAAAACGAGTAAACATTCGTCCAGGAAACAGTCGAAGAGGAGAAAAAAGAGCTCAAATCATACTAGAACTTTACCTAGAATCATAGTCAAACCTTTGCCACCTCCTCCTCCACCAGAAAATCGTGAATGGACAGCAGCCACATCCTACTCCGAACCTAGTAGTAAGCCTTCTACTATGAGAGAGGTATTGGCAAGTATACCTGGTTTCTGCCTTAAGCCTCGCAAACGAAGTGGGAAAAAATTATCAACAGCTGCTCAATTGCAACAAACTAGAGAAGGCTGCATTGATTTAGAGACACCTGATTCAATATTAGTCAATACTAACATAAGAGCATTATTAAATAAACACACATTTTCACTGCTACCACCATTATATCAATTTAAATTAGGCCAATTGCTACCAAGTGTAGACCGACTTAGCCCTTCTGGTCGCCTTAATTCATCTAGTCTTAGTAATGAATTTTTTGCCCGTGCATGTTCAGAATGGCAGGACAGTCTTTCTGGTGGTGAGTTCACCCCAGAAAATCAACAAAAAATGAAGACTGAAGCAGAAAGAGAAAAAAGCAAAATTGATCCATGGAAATTAAAACATTTTGAACCATTTTGGGGTGAAAAAAGTAAACGAGATAAATCAGGAATTAGTATTAATACAGAAAGACCTTCATTGAAAACAACTATCAAATTAAGACCAACTGCCTCTATAACAAGCAGTAGTACTGTTCCTAAAATAAAAAAGAGTAAATCTTCCAGCAACAGTAAACGAATGCGTTCTGTAGGTGCTGTTACTCGATCATCTGCAAAGGTTGATGATATTGTTGATGAAGCTAGTAATACTAAATCATCAGCTCCTCTCCCTGACTTATTACCCATCAAACATGTTAAAGGTCACCATCAAGGATATGTTGACTGTCAAGCTGATTTTAGTTTCTCAGACTCATCATCAGTTCACCAAATGGATGATCCGGTCTCAGTCACACCTGTGGATCCACTCATGGATCCCTTATTACCTGATGTTGAGTCTGACCGTAATGAAATAAAACATGATCTTCACATAAATGTTGTTAATATTGAAGAGTCTGATGTACAGAAAATCACTGAAGTAAATAAAAATAAAATGTGCGACCTTTCTGATACTATTAAAAGGTCAAATGAAGACGATAATGAATATGATTGCCTTTCTAAAAGAATTAAATTTGAACATGAATATGAATTAGACAATGCTAGTTTTATGCCAAATAATATTGCAGGTGGTTCAGTTAGTAATAATGGCTCTGATACTGAGCTGAATTATGTTGCTGAACAGGTGTGCTCTCATGATGAATTTAATATAAGATCTAGTCATGATCAAGGAGAAAACAGCGGTGATAGCAAAGCTACAATTTTATTGTCTGAATATGATGAAAGGAGTATATCTTCAGTAACAAGTTTAAAAATTGAAACACCATCTAATCATGAGCTAGTGAATGAAACAGCTAGTAATATTGACAGCATTAACACAGAAAGTATTGCAACTGAAATAGAAGAAACTCTAGTAAGAACTGACTTGCAAAATTCATCTACATCACAAGACACACATCACAAATACACAATAGAGAATGGAGAAGAAATGAAAATAGAGGATACTAATTTAAGAAAAATGTCATCTAGAATATTAATTATAGATCAAGAGGTATCTGAGGAAAATACTAATGTCCAACAATTGGATTGTAATATTCCACAACCAGATATCAAGAGTAATCAGCCAAGTGAAGACATTAAAAATGAAGAGAGACAATCTGATAGTGTTCAAAATTACTATGACGAACATTTTAAAGATGCAGAATCTTTTATTTTGGAAACAAGTGGAATGTCAATACTTACTTCACGTAAGTTACACTGTTAATATCATTAATTGATTTATTATCATCTAACACTATAATAATGTGACAATTATGAATTTCAGAGAGTGAAGATATTAAATTTACTCCACATCCAAATCTAATGGAGCTATCTTCTTACATGAGTGAAGCTAGTAAGTATAAAATCATATTAGGGTAGTCAAAAAATATTTTGTTTTTTGTATTACCTGCAAATATTTTTAATGTCGCTAAAATTTTTCTCATGTACCAGATGTAACAGCTGTGGTAACAATGCCTATGACACAAAATTCATCAATACCAATGATGGAAGTTACGAATACATCTGTAAGTCCAAATAATGTTTACCTTCACTGTGTTTAAAGTTTTATCAAATAATTCATCACTATACATTTTTAGATTGTGTCCTATCCTGATGACAGTATGCAAGATCCTGCAAAGCCTAAAACATCAGCTGTTTCCTGGAAAACTGATAGTGATTGGGTCAGTAGTGAAAATATTGTGACATTACATTCATTCTCAAACTTGAATAATGAAACCACAAAATATGTCAATGAGGATTCAAAGACAAGCATGGAGGATATAAGTATAAATGATGAGAATTGCATGTATAAGGAAGATAGAGATGCTAATTTTAATATGGAATCTTCAAACTCATCGGAAAGTTGTCAGTCTCTGAAGGAAATGTCAATGAAACAAGACACTGATACTGTGCCTAGTATATTATGTAGTACTGCATCTACAAACACTTCTGTGAATGCCACCACCAGTTTAGCACAAAACATCAGGACAACTGGAAAGAAATCAAAATCTGGAAAAGAGTCAAGCAGGTAATTTTCTTTTAAATTGTATTGACAAACAAAAGATTAATTGATTTTTTGCAATGTGCTAAAAATTTGCATTAGTGACATTGAGCTTTCAATTTTCATGATAGACTATTCAAATATTGATGCTAGAAAGCAAACTTCTTAAAGTTTAGATATTTGAAGCTACTGGGACATGTCAACAAGAGTTACCTTTTTGTTACAAAAAATGTTCATGAATTTGTTTTCCTAAAAATAAATAGTGTTTTTGCTCGGTAGACAAACCTATGTTTGCTTTTTTATCGTAAAAACAGTGTTGGTCTGAAATGTTCAATTATTTAGTCAAGTAAATATATAAGTTCCTCTAGATTGTATATAATTAATTAATTTAAACTGAGTATAGTATTCATTTTACTCACCAAAGTTCAGACAATGATCACAAAAAGAAGAAATAATCAAATACAGTTCTTACAGACTGTTAATGTGTTTGACTACTTTTTGAAGATTTTTGTGTGCCTATGTCGTTTACCTCCTCATTTGCATACTAGAGAGTCTTACTATCATGTTTATGAAGGTTGAATTAATAATAAAACTAGCTTTCCGCCAGCGGCTTCGCCCGCGTGGTCTTGTATTATATATAAAAACCTTCCTTTTGAATCACCGCAAAAAAAAATGAAAAAAACCGCATCAAAATCCCTTGCGTAGTTTTAAAGATTTAAGCATACAAGGGATATAGGGACAGAAAAAGCGACTTTGTTTTATACTATGGTTCTATTGAAAGGATCATCATTACTAATCTCCCAATACTTCTGAAATACAGGAAGAACGGGCCAGAAGCAGATATATTCCATTTTTTTTTTCAAATTACCACATTCAACACACAAACTAAGGTCATAGACTTTAAATACGAAAGTCTATAAGGATGTATGTGTCTTTCTTACTCTATAATACAAAAATTTGGAAATTTGGTATCTATATCCTTGAAAGTCTAAATTAACATAATGGCTTTTTATACCACTAAACAGTTCCCTAGGGACCACACGAACGAAGCCGATGGCGGAAAGCTAGTGTCTGTTTAAAAATATTTGTCAATCTCCAGGAGCAGGAGTTCAAACAAAGTGCCACCGGGTGCTGTGAACCTAGAGCGCAGCTACCAGATATGTCAGGCCGTGATACAGAACAGTCCAAACAGAGATGCACTGCGTGGTCAACTGCGGCCGCCGCCCGCGCTCCTCACTCGACCAGCGCGCGCGCCGCGACCGCCCCCGCCCCCGCCCCCGCCTCCTCCACCGCCTCCGCCTGTGCTTGTAAGGCAGCTGCCTGTGTCTGTTATGGCGCACAATGAGGTACTTCATACAACATTTAAGACTCGAGAGTTACTTCTGCACATTTTTATACAAATATCATAATGCGGACAATGTTATTGCGATTGAGCGTTTATGGTCCTTGCTCACTTGTTGAATGATCTAACTGTTCTGTTTGTAATTTAGTGTTTATTTATTTATTAATAGGCCTTTATCATCATTTACCATCAGAAAGGAGTAAGAGGAAAATTAAAAAAAAAATCAGTAGGTCGTTGTTGAATGACAATTCGATTAGGGATCGCGTTACGCGAGATCTCGTTCGCGCTTTTTAGCGAGACTGATCTCGGTCTAAAATGGGTGAGATCTCGCGAGTTTAACGAGATTGTACTCGAGCACAAAAGTGACTTATTCTAAGTGCGAAAGCGTGAATTTATGCGAGATCAAAAGGCGAAGTCTTACAATTTAACAGTACTTTTGCTTCCGAAAGCGCCTTCTCAGCGGCTGGTTATCTGGCCAGCACAATAAGGAAAATAAGCAGGCGATTCTTTGGAGCTTCTTAAGAAGCTACTTTCAAAATTATTCGTAATAATGGCGTGTGAGGTGAACAAAACAAACTTATATTGTATTTTGTTAATTTATTCCGTTATTCTTAATAGATCTCTGAGTATAGTTTTTTTTAATCGATAATAATATTTCAGTTTCTTTTTAGCCTATTGTTGGAGCCGTTTCCAAGATTCAGATTATAATACAGAAATCGCTCGTTTAAAAGTAGTAGATAAAAAAATATGATTATGTTAATTCTCGCCTGAGCCCCGATCTCGCGAGATTGTTTTCACTAAATTCGATTATTGTGCCGTTTCTTTGATTTATCTACTTATAAATTATAATTATTTCTTTATAGATGAATGATAACCGGACGAGTAACGTAGGCCAATACATTCTGGTACAGAGAACTCCAAACGTAGCTCCGCGAGCATCCAGTGCGCCCCCATCAAATCAAAACTCTAATGTAGTAAGTGCAATTTGAATTTTGCAAAATATAATGTTTAACATTAGAAAATATCACACAGTTTTATGTACTTCATTAATAATATTCTCAAACCCAGTAGATAAGAAATTTCTGTTTGTTTTCTGTGTTAAAAATTGTTTTTTTTCTCTAGCGTATTTTTCATATTTGAATTCATTCATTAATATTTCAACATGAAACGACTCTGGGACAATTTTGGCCCATGTCCTTTCACGTGATAATAATCTTCAATTTTTTTAAATAAAAGTAATTCAACAAAGAGAATTGAGTTAACAAATACTTCATGTTATGAATATTTTTTTTCCTCCTGCAATAAAGGGCACGATCTCAAATCTCGTGGGTCGTTCATAACGTAAAAGCTGTTACACACGAGGCCTCCGCGCCGGCTCTGTGTATAGCAGCCATAGTCAATTTACAGTGTATATATTTACAATGGCCTACAAATGAAAAACCGGTCATGTCTTGGGAAAACAAGACGTTAGAAAATTCTACTCCATATAGGCTGCAGAAACGATTCCGTAAAAAATTTGAACCTGAATTCGAATTCACTTCGAAAGCGTTTAACTTATATTTGTGTAGAAATTCTATTGATTCCATTTTTGTATAAAAATACAAAACAAGATTTGTTGATTCATGTGTCTTAGATGACTTGATTCTATCCATATGTCGTTTCGAAATCCACTTCATTTATGCCAGAAAACGTTGATACCAATTCAAGATTAAATGAATGTCGCATCAAATCAATATCATTTATTTAGTCTAGGCAGTTACATGCAATAGTGAAAGTCGAAAACTACGCCATCGGTTCGCAAAACCATGGCTTGAGACCTTGTACCGAGAGGAACCGGCAAGAAACTCGGCAAGGACTGCCTTTTTTTCGAAGTTTTTCCGTATTCGAAGTGAATTCGAATTCGGATTTTTACGGAATTGCTCTGAGCGCTTAGTGTAAGTTTTTTTGTCGTTTACGTTCACTGTTTATCGTGAGCGCGTTAAGATTTTAGTATGGAATCCAGTACAGCGCCAAGAACTACAAAATCTCCATACAAATTCTTAACGCGCTCACTAGTGAACGCGTTAGAGTAAAACTTACACTTACCACTCTGCTGATTTGGATTTCTCGATTCGCAGAGCGTGGCTAGATGCCGGAGCGTAGGCGCGGAGGACGCGTGCGTGTGTAACTTGCGGGCGATGATACTGTGCAAGAAATGTGGCGCGTTCTGCCACGACGACTGCATTGGCTCCGCGGAGCTCTGCCTTACATGCCTGATCCGCTGACCCACCACTTGCCAGTCCAGAAGGTCTCATCCGATGTGCTTACATCCAGCACGTATCTTGACTACTTATACAATGTATGATTTACTCGCTGTGTGAAACTTTTTATTACCTGTTTTGAATTTCGACGCATTTTTTTATACTTAGAACCTATAAAAGTATACATATTATGTATTTATATAGATTAAAAACAAAATTACATAGTTTACTTTTTATATGTTTCGCTTGGTAGGGTCAAGAGGCTCTTCTAAATCGCTCTTATATTATCAGGGTTCGTAATAATCAAGATATTTATTTTTATGAATAATTTTTATTTTAGGACTTATTTTTTTTGTATTAAGTATTAAAAATTTACCGACAAAATTAATGTGACCAAATCACATTGAACAAAAAGTGAAATGAAAACAAATAAAATAGGGTAGGTTCAATCTAGACAATTTTCTCTATGGGAAAAACGATATTTGATTATTGTTTTAAAATAATTCCCATTTAACAACAAGTCAAACAAACAAAAAAAAGTTTTAAAGTACAAAAATAGTTTTTGTAGTTTTTTATATTTATCAAGATAATTATCCCTTCGAACCCTGTATATTATTATGTTTTTTTAAATGACACACACACACACACACACACTGCCTGTTTTAGCGTTTAATTGTGGTCTTACGGATACGTGTCGCGATGAAAATTACAGTTTCATTTATAAGACGATACAGAATGGTGTTATTTTAATCGCCATGTGATATCGAATATCATCAAACATACGAGCTGAGTGTGTGAACATTGAATCGTGTTTGTTGGGATCGGTGGTGCTATCTTTTTGAATAAGACAATTTGTGAGAATGTGTTATTAAATAGTATATGGAATGTAACAGTGTTCTGCACTACAGCTGCTCGTATAGGACGAAACTTTAAAATGTATAAGTTATATTTGTAATGTACATAATATTATATCGACATATTATATCGAAGTCTGATATCGATGATGATTATTGAATTTAGAATGTAATGATATGATTCAATTCTTTAATTGGTGTTTATTATGTTTTTTTCTTATTTTATTTAACAAGTATTAAACTTGCAGCTATTTATCTTATCCACTGTTAATTCCAAAGTAAAGTTGATTGATCATTTAATATATTGAAGAGAAAATAATAATATCAAAAGGATTAAATACCCATTGCATCTTGAATATAAAAAAAATATTAGCGACACTGCTTAAGTTCATTATTTACCATATAATTCTTGTACCTGTGATCGTTGCTTGTGAGCTCTTTTCAATATTTAAGAATTGTTGGTAATCATTATTTTTATCTAACATTTTCTTTGTTAAGAGTACAGAACGTAGAATGTAAGCTGTCACATAATTTGCCATTATATTTTATAGTATTAGGCTACCATCACATCTTTATTTAATGCTAGGTATTTATAATTTTAAGTCTATAATATTAATTACATTGTAGGTCGCAAACAAATTTACGGAATGTAGATTTTTTTTATTCAATTCCAGGGCGTTATCTATTTCTATTTTATTTATAAAAGTAATCGATAGTATTAGATTATTTAATGAGTAAGTAACGTTGGTATATTTTTATTTGAAGTATGATAAAGTGTAAAGGATGCCGGTTAGCTGAGTTTACATACCATCCGATATCTCATCTATTTACAAATACGGTGTGTGACGAATGTACAGATATTTATTGACTCGAAAGGTTGATGGATGAAACGTCGGGTGGTATTGTAATATTATAGTTATTGACGACTTTGATAAGTATTTTATTATAGAAAAACCACTTGTTATACTTAAGTTTTTCATTGTGGCGTGTACACTAATATGACACTAAGTTATGCAATATATTTATAGTTGTCTATAATATTTTTATAAGAACCTTTTACAAATAAAAAATAGCTTTTGCTAAGTTAAGACACTGAAATATTGATAACGTTAAAATCTTTTCATATAATCTCCTTCTGATCTCTTGGTTCATTATATAATTTGTCCTTAATAAGCCCCTTATAAGTAGTACTGAACGTAGTGTATGTATTTTATATGATATGGATATTGTAACAGAAGTAACTGATTATCAAGAAATAACAGTTCTAATGTAATTAGAAGTCAAGATTAATGACGGCTACGCCTAGTTTATTCACATAGCAATGCCTTACGTGGTCGCTGTATTTCAATTTAGATTAGGTGTATGAAGTAAAAATGTTGCTCACTTTGTTTAAAGGACAAAATATAGGTATTATTTAACATAAATTATCACATACATACTGTTAAAATATACAAATTGTTGTTAAGTAATGTCCGCATCTGGAGTGCGATTTCTGTGCCACATTTTCATTGGTCGGTCTTTCATTGGTTTGTCGATAATGTCGATGAGTCATTATAAATGATTGACAAAATTAATCGAGTACATGAAAAGTGATGACAAGATTGACAAATCAAATTTACGTATTATATTGTAAAATGATTTATGCGACAAATTTGTTTTATATTATAACACCGGCTCCATACTGTGGCCCATGGTGGTCGAAGACAGGCCATCACCATTGTGTTGGCGGCATGTTCACCTGTATTAGCCCATGATCGGCGATAATAGTCCATGTTCGCCACTTTGTCTGTTTTTCGGAAAATCATCAAAGGAAGTTTGGCCACATCACGCAGTTTGTATTTATTTATGATACGGTTAGGACGCGTGCTGTTTTGCTTGTAATCGATGCTAAAATGAAGCCGAAGAAAACCTTTAATTAACCATTTATGTTTAAAGAATTATATCAAAAGAACGCTCCACAAGGACAATTTGGATACTCGTTTCGTCGTCCATATAGATGATGATGAGATGGCAATTAACAAATGTGGGATGGCCGATCGTGTGGACAGCGTGGCAATGATAATGACATTCATGGTGGCACTCAGTGTTCGCTCATCATGGGCCACTGTGGAGCGGCCATAATGCGTAGTGCAAATACGATTCCTCTATAATATGTTTCCAAATAAGACGCTGTAATAATTCGTATCCCTCCGGGGTCAGTACAGTCAATAGTACGTTGGACTGCATAAAACCCATGGTTATTCAATTGATTTTAAACCCTAACTTGTTAACGCTTATGCTCAAAGTGAATTGTAGAAATTTGACATCTATGGCAACTGACAAATTAATATACATTTGTGTAGTCCAGTAAAAAAGTGTAAGGGTTTACGACATCCCGGAGATGAAAATTTTTATAAACGAGTATAATTTGTGTGTATATTTTTGCCTCTCGACAACCATTGAATACTGATTTTTTTATATGATTTCATTAAAAGTATGTACTTATATTGTGTTTGTAGTCACATTATTTGGATTATTGTTATTTATTGGTAATTAGTTATACTACGCACATCATTTTCTCAAATAAAATTATGTTCTTCTATTTGGTTTATTAATTAATTAAAGAAGACACTTGATGAGTGTGATGTATTATTTGACCATTGTATATGGTACTTATTCAGGTTTTTTGAGAACTGAAGCAGCGTGGTGTGGACGACGACCTTCGCCCACGATCTTGCAATAAAGGAGGCTTCGTGAGGGTTTTATGGATGGTTTTTGATGACCCATTTTTAATTTACAGTACCGTCAGATTAACGGCGGCATGTATAATTAGGCTGAAAATTAATGTAATCGCGGTAATTGAATGTTATCATGTTATACAGGCCACAGCACATCAGGTTATGCAAAATCAAGTAATTTATTTCTGCAACAGAATTTAACCCGTAAAATATTGTGAATAGAGATAATAATAAAAGGGGTTTTTTTTCATTTGTTGGAAACCTAATGTGCATATGTGTGTATGTCGCAACCATCTGGTATAAGCAGCCGTAATATCCATTTTCCGAAAATTAAACACATGGTCGATTTTTTGCAAGTAACATAAATTTTAATAATTGACTCGATTGAAATAATCGTAACCTTGACCTTAAATAGGTTTTTTGAGTTGATTTAACATTAATATATTATTTTTACTATAGATGTAACGGATATTCCGGTATCCGACCTTATTTTTTCTATTCCTCGGACTACCGGATAGGATGACGATATCCGGCCGGTTACCGGATAGTAAAATAAACATAAATCTCATTATTTTACACACCGAAAATTATAACACTTTACATACATTTATTAATTAGTTTAATACTCAAAATTAACAAGTGGCAAATTGTGGTGAATGGATACCAAACTTTCTGCTCTTGTTGGTAAGAGACGACTCCACTTTGCTACATATACCAGACCAGCTTCAGGGAATTCCTAGTTTAAGTAGTATTTGCCCGAGTTTATGTTGGCAGTTTTATCTCTGCCACACTCGAATGTTGAATGCGATAGAGTTAAAAACTAAAAACGGAATTTACTCCTTACGAGATCTATTAAAGCAATTTTTTATCGCTACAGGTCATACAGCGTCACAGTATAAATTGTTTTTTTTTTGTTCCCATCAATACAATGTTTCAAAAGTATAAAATAAATATGTATAAAAATACCGAAATAATTATACTGTCAACTGTGTAATGTGTTTTTTTCTACTCTGACCCAAAACGGATTGCTAAATATTCAAGGTATTTCTACCGTATTCCAAATTAAAAATACTCCATAATTTTGAAAAAAATATATTACCATCCGCTAGATTTCAGAGTTAGTAACGCTGCTTATACTTGACACGCTTTAGATTCAAATCAAACTGATTGGGTCATGTAATGTGATAAAGGCCTAATATCTGGTAACCGGATATCCGGCGCTCCGGCATCGTAGAATGCCGGAATATCCGGTAACTGGCCAATCTTTATCCTATTATTTTTAGTATGCTAAAAATATTTACAAATATAGGTTTTGATATAATCTAAAATAATCAGAAGATTATTTTTATAACTTAGATTATCTGTATTTGATTTTTTTCTGTGAATAAAAATGTATGTGCGAAAATATTTTCCTTAGTCTATTTACTCTAGACTTTTTGACATAGGGCGCTTGTGCACTACACTGAATTTTCAGGTCCGGCGGTCCGATTTTTTCCAGTCCGATATGTCAGGCCTGTGCACTGTCAGGAATTTTACTGTTCTCTATTACGGACCGGTTTTTTCAGGTCCGTGATGGCGGCAATGAAAAACGTGTTTACGCTTTTGCACTGCTGTGTCCGTGATCCGGAAAATTCATGAGCCTGCGGAATAGGCTTTGGAAAAAATAATCGATTTATGAAAAATCGATATTTATTGTCAATTATAAAATGCGATATTTTATATGATGATTTAATATAGTTGGTAAATATCACTGCATATGTTGGCAAACTCGATATAGTTGTAATTTGATCATCGTATGGTTCTAGTATTAATACTTTGCTAGATTCTAGAAAATTAAAAAAAATTATTTGTCGTCGATCTAGCTTTTCGAGAGTAGACTATTTTGGGAGCAAATACTTGTTGTAAAAACATGAAAATTTGGGTACTTTGATTATATAATATTCAGATTCCGTGTCCCATACAAAGCGAAGTTGTTTTTAAAATCTTCGAAAAAAAATAGCACGTTTATAAATTTAAACATCAAGTACTAAACGATTATCAGTAATTTTTTTCTAATGTCACAGATATGTTTAGCTATTTTATGTGAATAATGGTATTCCTAAATTAGTAAGGGTATAAGTTTTTACATATGATAGTAGTCATTCGATAGTAGTAAAAAAAATGCTTTCGTCTTGCCTCAATTTATTATGGTTTATATAAAATGATCAGGTCAGTATTTAGGTATCTTTCTACGTTTTCGCACGTGTTGTAACAAAGCAAGCAATTACCGACTTTCCAAAAATCTCATCTCATTCCGGACCGGAAAAAATCGGATCGCCGCACCTGAAAATTTAGTGAAGTGCATTAGCGCCCTTAGATTTCAATTCATATCAAAGATATTTGACCCTAGAGACCATAGTGTAAAAAGATTTTTGTTTTGAGAATAGAGAAAATATGTATCTAATAATGTCACTGGTGTCACTTTTCTAGGAGCGTCTCGATGGATGGACGTAGACGAGGAGACTGATGGTCAATCTAAATATTATGTATTGATAAATGTGTTGTGCTTTTAATGTGAACGCCGAATAACAAAATGTCGACCGTTTTCTTAGCTGTTATTGCTGTAATATTGTGTGTACTTTTTCGATTACTTAATGTGAATAGCCAGCCGCAAAAGCCCGTGATTTATGGAAGAGATAGAAGTTTCATCGAGAATATTTTGTTTATTACCCCATTTATAAGTGAACCGTAAGTAAATATTATAATTTTATAATACAATGCAATTATTAGTAAATCTTTTTATTATCTTGACTTCTAACTCTTAAAACTGCTTTAAAACACGTACCTACTCGACGGTCTCTAATGCCAGTGTAATGTTGATGATGTCATATCACTCAATTAAGAACTTATCGTAGATAGACCTTAGAAATTTATATCCCGCGTATGATAGTAATAGTAGAAATATATCTTAATTATATATTATCCAATACAGTGACGGTCTACGGCGCCCTAGGCAAGTGCCTCATTGATACCCTTCCTCTTGTGGATATATAAATTAAAAAAGAATATATTTTTTAAGCTTTTTATATCTTGCACTATTAGGTTTAATTTACTAAGCTTAGAGTATCTTTGCTAATTGCTAAATTCTAGTGACACAAGTCGCAGATTGAGTACTTTTCCATCAAATTTGATGTCTTTCCAAATATTGCACACATTCAGCACAAAATAATTTGTGTGCTCAATGTGTGTTTAAACAATGTTAGTGATTGGCAGTTTTTATTCAAAAGAAACTTTAAATTAGTATTAGGGATTCCCATATTGCGATCCCTGGCCTTAGTTAATACCTATAATTAAATATCAAAGTATGAACATCTCAGTACTTTTATATGAAAACTCCAATCAAAATCTATACAGCTACAATACATTTCATAATGTTCAATGGTTTTAGGTGCAATGCGTATGTACATTGTTTGCCATATAAATCATTTAATTTTTCAGAATAGAATTCAGTGTTTACATTATAAAAATAGAACTATGCATACATTGTAATTTCAAGTGTTTACGTAAAGCTTTAATTGGCAACCACAAGTTATGATTTGATGTTGACTGTGTACTATATTGTGTTAACACTCAACAGGCTGAGTTGAGACTAGGATTCAGATAGTTATTGGAATCTGTAATCAGTAATTTTTCCATATTAATCAGATGAGATAATATACTTATTAGTCTAAATTTCATTTTATAATACCTATTATAACTTTCTATTATAATAATGTTTGGGAAACCAAATATCTCTTTTTCTGTTCTTACCCGAATACATTTTATAGAATCTTGTGTTTTCTGGCTGTTTTGTTACTGTGAAAGTATTAACATATAGTTGGTAGTTTTCACTAACATGTGCATGTGCACATATAGCATCAATTATTCTAAAATTAAATGTGCTCATACAATGAGAAAATCATCAGGAGCTGTGAAAAATACATCATCGACACAAATTGTTCTGAATTAATGCACACTAAAATAACTCACTCTAGCATGCTGTAGCTATATTGTCTATCTTAATTTATCTCATACATAATTTTAAAGAAATAATTAATAAATAGATACAGTCAGCAGCACATCAGGTTATACAAAACTGTAAATTTTCTACACTTGACTCTAAACTTTAATGCAAAATAATGCAGTTTTATGTGGCATTTCACATAATAAGTCCTTATAAAACAAATGCCACATAAAACTGCATTATTTGAATGAATTTTAAAATTTGCTATTTGAAATAAAAAGTTGAAATTTTTATTCTTTAACTATTTGTATCCCTAAGTGTTTTATTTAAATACCAATCATTTTTTTAATTCTCTTTTCTTAAAATTCATGCATTTTGTTTAATTTAAATTTATTATTAATTTATTGGTATAAGAAAAAGTAACTGTCCTAATATTCTATATTGAGGAACACCACGATTTATAGTCTTTCTGAGTTGATAAAAATATTTTTTCAATATGTTTTATGACATATTTTATAGATTTGCTTCATGACCCTCTTATAACTAAGGTATCCTATTAATCCTATTAATATTACAAATGTGAAAGTTTCTTTGTTTGGATGTTTGTACGTCAATCACGGAAACTACTGAACGGATTTTGATAAAATTTGGTATACAGATAGGGTGTTAGCTGACTTAGATAATAGGATACTTTTTATCCCACTAAACATTTCCCTAGGGTCCACGCGGGCAAAGCCGCTGGCGAAAGCTAGTGATTTTATAAGCTCAAGTATATTTCCATGAACTCCATACTTATATAATTTATTTAATAATATATGATGATCAATTAAATCGAAATCTTTTGTCATATCATCTACTGAAAATACTAATTGGCACACAATAACAAAAGTTTAATATTTGCAGATATATTCCAACTAGATTATGGGGCTTCAGTGGCCACATTCAGACCATCCTCCACAGTCTAATAGGGCGTGTCCGTTGCCCTTGGCCTATTGGCGGCAGAATTTCTTTGATTCTACCAGACAAATCTACTTTAACTTATGATTTGTATGAACCAGTGGGATCTGAACATGAAGGTGAGTGTTTTATCGTTACAATTTTTCACACTAGTTATTAAAGATGTATAAAACAGATGATAACCAAATTAATTAACAAATTATAGAAAGTACTAGACACAATTATCAAGGTTGCAACACTTGCAACTATTCACACGCCAACTATAAAAAACATTCGTTTATTTCTTTATTCAGCAAATCGTTATGAACTAATTATAATTCATTATTATAGTGATAAAAACTATAATACATCAATAAGTTATTAAAAATAAAAATCACTATTATGAACAAAATCATTATATTGACAGCTTATCTAAGTTAAGGATTTTGATGATGTACCTATTCTGCATTTTAATTAAAAGTTGATGCTCGACATAAAAGGCCTAGTTTTTATATTCTAGATAAGAAAAATATTTATCTTTAGCTTTGTTATATGCTGCAATATTATACTCGTAATTTTTAAACAAACATATCAGTTACAGCTGCTTGAAATCAAAAAAAGGGAAACACATAGGATACTGGAAATAGTAATAGTGCGTAGGGTGTTTTTGTAGGGATCTTAATAAATATTTGTTAAGCAAATCAAATAATTACTTTGACTTATCGAAATTGATTACTTACTCTGTAAGTCCTTTGTTTATGGTCATACTCTAAAATTTTTAGATGTCATTAAGATTCACACTTTGTTTACAGATGACGTCACAGTGGCAATTTGCCCGGGAATAGGAAATACGTCGGAGAGTGTGTACATACGCACCTACGTGCATTATTCGCAATGTCATGGGTACAGATGTGCAGTGCTGAATCACATCGGCGCTTTGAACAGCGTGCCCGTCACCGGCTCTCGAATATTTTCATACGGTTAGTCGGAATAGTGTTAATTATTCTATGAGTCACTTGCCAACATATTAGTATCCCACGGTCAAGGTTTCGCAAACCATACCTAATGTATTGATGACGCAGAAAACAGCTGTAGGTACACCATGAAATCCTTCGAAATATCGATTTTAAGAAAGATAATATGGAAGCAATTTATGCAATTTTCTTATCTCATATTGATATAAATTTCCAACCACTGAATTTCTGAAGGATTTTAGAACGTCAATAAAGCAGTAAAAATTCGGATATTCTACAACGGAACTCAGATTTTTTTATATAAAATATTCGTCTCTCTCATTCGACCACGAAAACAGGATAAGTAATTACCAAGAGTTCCGAAGGGGAAATGTCAATTTTTCAAGTAGAAATATAGAAAAGTCGAGCCAAAATAAAGATAGCTACATAATTCTATTTTCCTAAAGATATTTCGTTGTATTGTATAAATAAAGACAAAGAATTCACTTATGCGTATTCTGAAAATTGTTATTATTTAGATGTTGCGAATCAAATTTAGGGGTCGGAAACATTTGAGATGGAACAGTTATAACATAAGCTGCACTTTGAAAATTCCAAGAAATTTAAAGAGACAATAATACATTTTAAGATATAGGATTCCTGTGATATTAAACCGATTTAAAAAAGGAGGAGGTTCTCAGTTCAACTGTTTTTTTTTTTCTTATTTGTTAAAGAATTGAGAAAGTTATGAGGTAACTTTTTACTGAGTGGACTGATTTTGATGATTCTTTCTTTATTTGAAAGCTAGTGCTTGCCGTGTGGTCCCTTTTAATTTGGTCCAGATCTGGCAATGGCATCTATAAGAAACTAAATGCATCATATAAAAAAAAAAAATTCTAAATGAAACCAACTTAAAATTTAAAAAAGTGAAATAAATACTTATATTAAAATCGGTTTAATGTTTTAAGAAACATTGAAGTCGGGTCTGAGGTTTTCTGTAGTCAATTAAATATTTTTAAAAGTTTTTTTATATTATTCTCTGTGATTTGTTGAAAAGACTTCATTGATGATATGTAATTAATAATAAAACTCATTATAACGATTATATCTATGAATTATCTACTAGTATTGGCCCAGTGGGTCGCTTTTGCTACAAGATTACGTATCATTGACCCCGATATAAACGCAACTTTAAGAAACGCCTGGTTCTATATGTATATCTAAATTGTTATATTATACTTTTCTGTGGATTAATAAGATTAAACGATTTTCTCAGAACTACTATTCCGCCAGCGGTTTCGCTCGCGTGGTCCTGTATTATACATACATATAAATTATCCCCTTGAACCACTCTGTATATTGATGAAAACCATATAAGATCTGTGTGTAGGTAGTGTAAAAGAGTTCAGCGAACAGACAGCGGGAAGCGACTTAATCTTATATACTTCAGCAATACCATTAGGTTAAGGGCAGGGCAGTAACTGCTGTATACATATATTTTTGAAAAATGTTATATATTTTTGAGAAATGACTTTTCTATGATTTAGATTTAGTCCATGGACCACTGGTGCTTCCTGGACGCATCCCCAGTAGCCCGCTGAGCCCCATTAAATTGTTACTGTATAGAATAAAAGCAATCAAGTAATGCAATGAAAGAAATATCCTATTAGTGTATACAGATAGGGTATTAGCTGACTTAGATAATAGGATACTTTTTATCCCACTAAACATTTCCCTAGGGTCCACGCGGGCGAAGCCGCTGGCAAAAGATAGTATTTAATATTTATAGAAGGTACATAAAACGTATTGATATATACATACTCTATTTATCTAGACTTACGTACCGCATATTGTATCCATGGTTTTTAGCATCTGTGAAATATTTTTTTTTTTTGTATTCGATAATTTGTTGTTTCCGTAAATTCACTATGCTGTGTTAAAATTTGTTATCTTTAAAACAGTTCGGTGAACCCAATCTTAGAAGACTTTCGTCACTTCAATGAACGTCTAACCAGTTTTGTCTGATTTAATACGTTGTCGTGGCCTTGGTGGTCTGGTCCACTTATGTGATATCTATTTATATGCATTTGTCGAGCAATGTGCCGATGCTGAAGTATCATGCAGGCGAATTGATGAGTCACTTAATGATGTCAATCAGTTTTTCTATAGTTAATATGAATACTTCTTGAGGCGAGTAAAATTTAAGTTCTCTTGAAGTTACATCACCGAAATTTCTGGTTATCGATAATTTTGAGATAAATTATTTTATTATCTAAGTGGTTCGCTTTGAAGTGTAGACAAAAAGAAGTCCGATAACGATAAAATACACACAACAGACATCTGTGCATTACGTATGCTACATTCATACCACAGCAGATTTTATATATGATTCATACAATATACATTTTTATGACGTCACTAATTATTAAAAGGTGTCGCACACAACAAAAACATAAAGAATTTGTCTATAAAACCATATTTTAAAAGTGAATGTCCAAAGTTTTCATTTAAATCCATACCATCCATTAAAATTGTGAAACACCATGGCGATTACCTTGGCGAGAAACTTCTCATATCATGTTTGTTAAGAGATATTTGATGAAGTTACGGACATATGTTAAAAAGGGTGTAAAGCTAAAAGTCTTTAAGACTTGGGAAAATATTAAAAGGTGCATTTATAAGTAAACTTGATAACGAATTATTTAGCGCATACAATAATTATAGTACGGGTACTCAATTAAAACTTTTTGAAGCACAATTAGAAATCCTTTTTCCTTATCTATCTTATTAGGCGCCATAAGATAGATAAGAACAATCTTTTGTCTCTAAGTTAACTCTTAAAATAGATCACTTAAATAATATGTAATATCCGATGTGTAGGTAGGTAGGTAGTTAATCCAGTTCAATTCCTTGATAAAGTAAAGCCACTTAATTTACAGCTTGGCCCACTTTTATCGCAATTCTCAGCAACGAATTATAAAATTTGTTGTCAATTGTGTTGTTCTTTGGCTTGAATAAATTGTTATCATTAGTACCAGAATACGTAATAAAATGTCTAGTACCCGTATAATCTTGTGCTAAAAAAAGAATGTGGGTCTAGTCAAATTTAAAAATTGGTTGACAAGGTCAAAATGAAGTTGGCCTTTCGCTCGCTCGCTGACTTTCGGCCCATTTTTAAAACTAATATCGTATTCAAAAGTATAAAACGACTTTTTAATATACTCGTTTTTTTTATTATTTATAATCAAATTATAAAACGTGAAATACAATGGGTGCACGTGTGTGTGTCTAAGATTATCACATCCTAATGTTGTAATTTACCACTATTGACTATTAAACTGTAACAATGCAGTTCAGTGTTAAATGTCTTTGTCATTTGAAGGTAAAATACTATTGTTCTCAATTGCTTATCAGATGTTTTCGTAAATATATAAAATACATGAATATGTAAATATTTCAGTTATCTAAGCATATTCTCTTACATTTATGCCTAAACTTGACTGTAAAACGAATTCTGCGATGGCGGATGGCGATAATATCGATATCGAGGTTGACTAAAATAAAAGTAAGTAGGGTAAAATACCCAGTAGTGTTAAATGTGAATCTTAATTTGATTCAACTATATTTTTTTTTAAAATCTCTAAATACAAACAACTATTTTCATCAGAAAGGAATTATATTTTCTAAAAATATTGATTGAATTATATAAACAATCAACGCTATACGAAATATGGCACTTTTCACCAGTACTCGGCCTCATGCGCACCATAAGTCGACCGTCTCTTACCCTGTAGTCGGCCTCTTACCCACTTAGGTACTCTTGCATATTGGACATACAAATTTTTTAATATATTCATTTTCATAGACATCAAATAAACCAACAAAATCGGTACCTACATTTCAAATAACCACAACTACTCAACAGGTTCTATAGTTTGTAATTCTTGTTTCTTCTTTTATCTTTTTCTGCTTTTCAAACTACTCTTCGACATGATAAGATTCTATAATTCAAAATTTTTATGCTAAAATAAACATGCTAAATGTAATCCTAATGAAACGGTAATAAGATTTAATTTTATGCAGCAAAACTAATAGTCGACTGTTGGACTCAAGTCTTTTAGCCGGCCATCAACATTCTTTTATACAAGTCCGAATAGTGGTAATATTAACTTATTTTCATCTAAGAGTTTTCAATCAATAAATATTAACTATTTACTCTATTAATTTCAACGAAATCAAAGAAAATCCTTACAAAACCAGTAGTCTGCCCACTGATTTATAATGTAGTAAACAAATAAAAAGCCTCTAACATTTAATTTAATTACAACACAAACATTTTATAATAATATAACCTAACAATCCACTAGAATTCTCAGCAACCTCATAAAAAAACTTACCTTAAACTTGAACACGTATCCTTATGAAAAAATTAGAATGGTCACACTTTCGTTCATGTCATTGACGGCAGTGAAAATAAACGAATACAGCCCATCAAACGATTATACTTTTGATTCGAAGGTGTGCGTATTAAGTAATATGGGGGCATATATTCGGTCAGACATCATTTTAATGCTATATAAGTTCAATACAATTTATATGACTTTAAAGCCTGCAAAGGCTGACTACTGGTGCGAGGCCGACTTCTGTGTATTTTACCCTGTTTTGTTGAACTGCTACTAAACTACTACTTATTAATTAATTAATTAATCTTATATAATTTCCTTTCTGTAAGACATGGCTAAACTACTATCTATGGCACTTAAATATTTGTAAATTAATCAAATCGTTTTTATTATTTCCTTAAAAGTGGTGTGAATTTATCAAGTACCAGGTTTTCGCTAGGAAATCCCTAGGGAAATGTTTAGCGTTATAAAATATAGCCTATGTCCACCGCATATGATGTAGCTTCCCCTAGGTGAAAGAATTTTTTTAAATTAATCTAGTAGTGCCGCGGAGCCTATTCGTTTGCAAACAAATAATCAAATCTGTCCTCTTTATTATATTAGTATAGATTTAAAAGTCTGTAAGCTGTTTTTCATGTTTTTGTTGGATAAGTATAATTTTCCGTCTTAAGAAAAAAGACAACAATAAACCTACTTCTTCAGACATTTGTTATAGCAGCAACTTCGCCGGCGTAAATTATAGCCTATGTTACTCGCGTATGCTTCGTAGCTATAGCATAGCATATTCCTAATTATATAATTATGATTATTCTTAATTAGAGCTTTTGGATTTATCACTCACTCAAGGAGTGTGCCAATCACAGGCCACTAATTTAAATAGTAGAGGTTTCGAACCAGAAACTCGAGAATCTTGTATTAAAAGTGAATACAAATTTATTAGTGAAAGTTAGACACTTTTATACAGGTTATAACACAGTCCGGCTCTACTAGTGCAGTTGCATGGCATGGCATTAGAGCCCATTGAACATTCGCCGATTATGGAGGTGCGACCATTCCCCTCTCGTAATACAAATAGGGCCTACTCTGATTATATTATCCGCGAGATTGATTTCAGTAAAAATTGTTGAAATCATATCCGTGAAGAGTATCTGTGCATCAGTAGTGACCTCTCATCATAAAGTCTCGAATAATACGTTTCTTTGGAGGTCTATTAGTTTTTTGAAAGTCAAGAAATTAGTAGAGATCAGCCCTGTGATTCTGTGAAAATTTCAACCCGAATTCGAACTCACTTAAAACAGCGGCATCCGCTCGACCTTATACATACCCGTTGAACATAGAAAAATCTTCCTTTCAGATTTTAAATGAATTCTAAATGCGAAATCTTTTGTTTTTTAACTGAAATGGACCATGTCATAAGTCATACAATCTTAATATTTAGGTGATATCTGTTGGAAAGCGTATTTTGTTTTGTTATAAAAGGAAAACTACTTATTCGATTACGATAAAATTTAAATGGGATCAACTCTATCCGTCAAGCTGTCGAATAAAAAAAGAAAATCGATCAACAATTGACGAACGTTTCGGTGAACATTCATAAAAAAACGTACATCGTCGTTGAACATATAACCTCATTTTCGATTTTAAAGTCGGTTAAAAAGGGATTTTCATTAAGATTTGACACATAAGACGTAGTGAAGAAGCAGTCTTTTATAAAAATGGCATTTCACTGTTTTATTTGGAACATTATTATTGTTAGTTGCTATAAGAAGTAAAACCGAGCAAATGCGAGTCAAACTCACGCACAAAGGGTTCTTTTTGTGTCGGACCCCCTCCCCCTTTGAATATTTATTTTAATGTATTTTTTAGTATTTGTTGTTACAGCGGCAACAGAAATAAATCATCTGTGAATTATTGAGTTTAAACCTTCTTACTAATATGGTTCTTGAGATATAGTCTGGTGATAGACGGACAGACAGCTGGACCCTATAAGATTATAATAGGACACTGTTAATTATATGCATCACCAGCTCATTGACTCGAGTAGTGACTCCGTAAAATATTGCAGTTGTATTACATAATTATATATCGGGAGTTTTATTTCGTAATTAACTTACTGGACAAGTTATAATTGTAAGCACCTACCACTGTGTTATTTACAGGTCATACAGACGATTTCAACTACATGATAGAGAACCTGTTGGAACGTTATCCTAATACTAAGATTATATTAGTCGGGTTCAGCCTCGGCGGTAATTTGGTTACTAAATACCTCGGCGAGGACAGGAAACGACCTACCAATATTATAGGGGGAATATCCATATGCCAGGGATATAATGCCATCGAGTAAGTACAAATAACACATAAAGTTAAAACAATTGTGAAAAATTTATTTTTAAGATATTATAAAACGTGCTTGAACCGGTTTTGTTGGAGTTGAAACACGTAAACTTCCATTGCTTAGCTGAATATATTATTATTTATACAACAAACAATATTTCTTCGCGTTTGCGAAATGAAATAGTTATTAGTCAGTATGTTTGCGATAAATTATAATATCACTAGCGAATGAACTCATTGAGTAATCATTAGCAATGCAAACTTTAAACAATAGATTGAGTATAGTTGATATAATATGTATGTTCAGTTACTATTTACACAAAGAACATTTGATCCCGAATCCAGAAGATAACGGACATAAACGAAATAATATCACGCCGTATATATAAATTATGTGCATTCAGTGAACAGCCCTGCGATTATGTAAAAATCCAAACCAGAACTCGAATTCACTCAGATATCCGAATTCACTTCAAAAAGCGGCATCCGCTCAACCTTGAATTGGTAATAACGTTTTGTGGCATAAGTGAAGTGAGTTTCGAAATGACATAGGAATAGAATATCTGAGACACGTGTATTCAATCAATTTTGCTTTGTATTTTTATATGGAAAATGGAATCAATAGATTTTCCACATTAAATAACGGGAATTCGGTCGGACACATGAGTGAATTCAAATTCTAGTCCGGATTTTTACAGAAACGCAGGGCTGATTACGCGCTATTACTATGCCCAATTTTCCGAATGGCAATTCTGTCTAAAGGATGATAGGGAATTCCTGTAGGCTAATTTTGTTAATGATTACCTAATATACGCATCTCAATAGAATCTCGACTAGTTGCTTTTACTATTGAATATTTCTCAGTCGTTCCGTGTACCATGACAAACTCGTGAAAGGCTTTGCCTACACCCAAATGTCACTTTCTCGGGTCGAGAGTGAGATGTTGTATGAGAATAGTGACATTTGAGTGTAGTCGTTCATGCTACGCGTGTTGAGACGGGTTTTAGTTATTCTTCTTTTTAGGCAGCTTCAGCCTGCCATTTAGTTTGCATAATTTTATCAAAAACCGTTCAGTTTTTTCAATTATGATTTTAAAAAATATTGTTAAAATTTATAAAATCACTGGGTGGTTAAAATCATTATTGTAAATGGCAGAGTTCCAACTTCATTATAGATTTCTACTTAAGCAATTTTGCGTAATTATTAACGCTTTGTTGACTTCGTATCACATATTGGCGATGTTGCAGAAAAATTAAAGTCCGACCTGGAAATTAATAGTATTGCTTAAAGTTGTGTGTTAACATTAACGCTTTCATTGCCAATACAATACAATAATAAAGATAATATCTTTTTTTTTCAGTACAATGGTGTATCTGCTGCAATGGCAGAACTTCCGCCGTTTCTATTTGTACATAATGACTGATAACTACCGTAATATAATAACAAGACATAAGAGGATGCTGTTGAATCAAGAGATGAAAAGTAGATATTCATTGGACGAAAATATGATCGTGTCCGCTGGTACATTGCCCGATTTAGACGAAGCATATTCAAGGTAAATTTTAATATGAAAAACGTCGAGAAGTCAAAAGTATATCAAATTTACTTGCTCATACGTCAGATGAAATAATGTCTGACTAATGCGTTAAGGTATCGTCATTTCTGATGTACCTGGTTCGATTCCCGGTCGGGTTTATGTAAGAAATGAACTTTAACTAAGTATATTGTCTCGAGTTTGGGTACTTTAGTTGCCTCAGATTTCAAGATGCGTAGCTAAAGCATTATAAGAGTGCTTTAACTGTTACGGGTTCGGTGCTTCGTCAATTAAATAGGCTGATCAGCTTGAGTATAATTTATTAATGAAATAAGGGTAATAATAAAAAAAACTGTAACAAACAAAAATAAATTTAAAAAACAGTTCGTAAGTTACTTAAACTAATACATTCTTATCAAATAAACGAATACATACCCCTTGTCGGGCTTCTTGTTACACTTTTGGATCGTACAAAATACAGTTTTAATTTAGTAAATATGTTATATTATTGTATCACCATAATATATGAATTATTTAAAAATTACATAGTAAAATTTATACCAATAATATTGTATTATATTATAATTTCAACTTATGTATAGGAGAATTCTTACGAACTGACATCCATAAAGAGTAAAATTGATTAGTCAAAATTTTAAATTACGAAAGACGAATAGTAAAATGAAATGATGTTGAATTTCAAAAGCAAAAAGTTTGCATACTGAAACCTAGGAAAACAAACGGTGGCATGGCACACCGTTACAAATAAATAAATTTAAAAAACAGTTCGTAAGTTACTTAAACTAATACATTCTTATCAAATAAACGAATACATACCCCTTGTCGGGCTTCTTGTTACACTTTTGGATCGTACAAAATACAGTTTTAATTTAGTAAATATGTTATATTATTGTATCACCATAATATATGAATTATTTAAAAATTACATAGTAAAATTTATACCAATAATATTGTATTATATTATAATTTCATCTTATGTATAGGAGAATTTCTTACGAACTGACATCCATAAAGAGTAAAATTGATTAGTCAAAATTTTAAATTACGAAAGACGAATAGTAAAATGAAATGATGTTGAATTTCAAAAGCAAAAAGTTTGCATACTGAAACCTAGGAAAACAAACGGTGGCATGGCACACCGTTACATAACTACTCATCTTGGAATCCGAGCAATTATAGATTTATTCATTAATTTGGTGTTAATTTCTATAGAAAAGTTCACGGATTCGAATCTGTTGCGGATCTATATAAATGGAGTTCCTCGGCCTTTTATTTGGAGAACATTAAAACTCCAATGGTATTCATCAACGCACGCGACGATCCTATAGTTCCCGAGCCTCTTTTACCACTCATTCGGGAATTTGCAAGTGAGTATGGTGGTCTCCTAGTGTTTTTTTCCAGTACTATATATTTATTTTAAAGTATCATATTATCGTTATGTCTTGAAAGGAATAAAGGAAGCGTTGCACCATTCCACTTCGGATCGGAAAACCGGATCCAATTCATAATTGTCGGAATTGTTATCATGAAGTTATTCGGAAATCGTATTCACTTTTAAATATTATGATACTGATATTATTATGAGGGTTACAGTCTAATTTACCCAAAAAAGAGGAGGCATTTACCCAAACAGTGGTTCATATTTCATATAATACTAACAATACAAACTAAAACATAAAAAAAAACTGTAAGAAATATTGAATAAACGGCTTCATTATTATAATTATTAATATGGACGCTGGAAAACAAACACGTAGTAACCTGCAGAACCAAAATGGATATTTAAAGTAGAAAATCTTTATATTTTTCCAAAACATATCTTAGTTCCGTATAAATTGACTTAGTTATTAATATACCTTAATTATTAACATGGACGTTTATAAAAATAATGAAAAAATATAATAAAAGCTTTATAATAAAAGCTCTGAAGAACAATTTTGGTTTTGCGGGTTATTACGTGTTCATTTTTTTTATGTATCCTTATATTTTCAAATTAAAATTTTCGAACTTAAGTGAGGGCATTTAACAAAAAAAGTTGAAAACCATTGTGGTACAACCAGGGGTCGGAAACCGGTATATTTTTCGAAACGTTTTCATCTTAAATACCTAAAAAACACTTTGTTTCGGTTTTGTTCGAACAGAACGATATAAAAAACGGTTTTGGAAAAAAACAGAATTATATTGTTTTCGGTTAATAAAACGTTTTTAACCATTTTGCGTTTTTTTGCATCGCATACTGTAAATAACGTAATAAAATAAATGTACGCCGCCCTTACAGCCCGCGCGGCACCGTCTTGCGGATTAAACCGGTTTTTTAAAGCGTTCTCATTTCGTTTTCGTTTCGAACGCAATCTTGCCCAAAGAACCATAAGAAACGTTTTAAAAACGTTATTTTGAATAACGTTTCCGAGCCCTGGGTAGAACTACGGAGTTTTGAGCTAGCATTACATAATTTCAGGTTCACACGACAGAGTTATGTATTTGGAATTGGCTCACGGCGGCCACCTTGGTTTTTATGAGGGCGGGCTCCTGTTCGCCAACCCCGTGAACTGGCTCGATAGAGCGCTGGTCGCATTAGCTGGGGGTCTGCTTATGGCACATAATAAATGTTCCGAGAAGGTCGCTCCCCCTATACCAGACCCCATCGAATCCTCCACCATAGTATACCGCGACCCTCTCGATAAAATTCAACAATCTTGTAAAGTCTAAAACAGTGACTATTAGCTATGCTGGGATTTGTACTAATAAATTCGCCGTGTAAGTATGTATTATATTAAATAGTTTGGTACTAAATTTTTCATTCGTGTACTTAAACAGTGCTATTAATAAACAAGGTTTAGCGTCAGAGTAAATTTACGCTAAAATTGCAATTTTAGTATTGGTCCTAATTCATATTATACAGAGAATAAGCAAACCTACTTACCTTCTAGGAGTAAATATTACTCCCGTAGAACCTCATACTAGGTTTCCTTTGCTAAGTCTCTATATAAAAATATGAATTTTAACTAATACTAAGTGCAGTCTCAGCCTGATAGAGTTGATTTATCTTTATTTTACTTCCGAGTGCGTAACAATGGAAATAAATGCGCACTTGCTGGTTTCTTGAGAAAATATAACGCAGCATATTATATTTATATTATTTCAGCACAAAATTTTAAATGCTAGAGTAGCATTGTTGTACTAATGAGTTGTGAAGATTATTTATATTGTGTAGTTAAATATGTATTGTGTGTGATGTTTTAATTTTCTATCGTATTAGAATTTATTTATTATTATATCTGTCTACAAACACATGGTTGCAATATATTGGATTGACCTAATTGTATACATAAGGTATTTAATGATCGATTTAATGTTTATTTATGTACGGTATTATTACATCTGTACTACATAGTTGATTAACTTATTTGAAAGTTTAGTCAGATTAATGAATTGAGTCCACTGGCAATTTTTTGGCATCCCTCCATGCAAGCAGATACAAATGGAAACTGTGATAGTTTCTTTGTAACCTGCAACTTGCATTGCGTGTTACTCATATTTTTGCATAAATACTTTTTAGAAATGTCTTCGTTGAGCACTTAGGGCTTGCTACGTCACAAGTATGATTATGAATTATTTATACAAATTTATTTATTATTGACTCCTAGAAGACTTAGTTAATGGCTAAGGCTTTGTTCAGAATATTCCCTTGATTAATCATAAGCAAACCGATAATATATTCCTGTTTTGATTTTCATTATTACTATTGAGATTTCAATGTTATTGCTGTAAAATCTCTTACAGTGTCATATTGCCAGTGGACGACACTTTTTTACTGCTATAGTCTGCACAACAATAAAAATATCATACTACTATAACACAAACAAGTGATTAAATGAAGATATAATTTCGTGTCAAAAGCACTACTGCCACATTTTTAAAGTCAGTGCCGTCACGCTCTTGCATATATTAAGTTCGCAATTTTTTTATTATTATGATATGTATTAGGAGTACATAGAATGTTGATATGTATTTATTTACTTTGTGCCTTGAAAATTTTGTCTAGGTGTAAGAATGCAAGATTTTATGAAATTGTTAGAACTAGACAATATTTGCCAGGTTATTCATGTGTTCATCTTATAAACAATCCTTAAAGTATTATTATCTGAGTGAATACTCGTACAGTCAACTGCACGTTAGATTATACACAACTATCATATTTCCCCATTCGATTTTTAACCTTAATATATCTAGGGTAGATCTTAATATCTATTGTAGTAAAAGTTACACATATTGTGGTAACCTAACGTGCAGTCGTGTGTACTTTGTTACGTACAATGAAACGTAATTATTATATCAACATCGATATTTCTACAAAATAATGTGAATTAGAAATTATATTGGTGATAAAAATGTAATATGTATGTATCTGTAGCTGCCAAATGGTTAAAACAGACGTTCAATTAGACGGCTAGCCTTTTAAACGATAAAACAGCCGTACATTTATTACTATTCTCCGCCACTGCGACGCTAATTTTCATTATGTTTGGGGCCGTCCATTAATCACGTGATTTTTTTTTTTGACCCCCCCTCCCCCCCTGGTGAGGTTTAAGACTACACCCTTCCCTCCTTCAACCAAATCACATGTATTAAAAAAAAAAACAAAAAATCTTAATTTTTATGGAAAAATAAATACACGTTATATATTACTACACCTCCCCCCCGTGATATTTCGTGATTTATTACGAAACCCTCCCTCCCTTTTGAGCAACACGCGATTAATGGACGGCCCCTTTCCAAACTGCGTGTCAAAAGACTGTCCTGTCTGTATTTATAATCATTCCAAGTTGTTTTTCTGTTAAAGAAAACAAAATAAGTTGTCAGTGTTATTCAAAGGGTTAAATGGAGGATGGTTATAATGGTTTTAGTATCTACAAGTGATTCAAAGTAATAAAAAAATTCAATGAGATTTTGGAGAGAAATACAATCTTATAATGATATTAATTGAACAGCTATTTTAATCAGCTGGCTGAGACATATCTATGGTGTATGTAAATAAGTACGTAATAAAGATCTGAATTGGTCTCAAACTATGATGGTTTGAGCGAGTGACTATACCAATTCCATATAAATACTAATATTGTTAATATTGAGAAAACAACGATGTAATCAAATATTATCATAGTCATATTAATGAGTATTCTGCATAGTAACTTAATATCAGTATATATACAGCAGCAGATCAGTTCATTCAATCTTTATTCACATCAGATGGAGTGAAAACTCTGTAGGAAATTTCGCCTTTAAATAGTTAAGGCAATTTTGACTAGAAATTTTTATCATTGAAGGGCAATTTTAGACATTACGTCTGGGCAAGGATGGTTTAGTTTAAAAAAATGATACACGCTTTTACCGTCAAGTTCCAATGCCCTAAACTTTTATCTGAAACGATAAACTTTTTGTATAGTTTCATAAATTTTTTAAAGGGCCGGAAGCACAGGGACAATATAATGCCAACTAATACTTCCTCTTTCAAAAAATTTTGGTGCTCTTCAAAGCTTCTGATAAACGTTAAAGTAATACTTGTAGAAGGTTTATTAACATAACACATCATTTATTTGATAATAATAATAGTGATTTAAAATAAACATTCCAAGCGGAACATTGGTGAAATAAAAATAATGCAATGTAGATCTCAAAATTCATAATGCGATTGCATGTCTTTTAATATATGGGTATATAAATATCAACTTCAGATTATATATAATGCTTTGCCGATTTCTTTTTAGTAAGCAAGCAACTATGTCCAATTAAACTTGTAAATAAAAATATGTATTTTATACATCTGTCTATAATATTGATAACTACAATGGGTACGTAATAATCACATAACTGAATCAATCTGTTTCGTAATATAATTTGATTCTCTGCTTATAATTACTCTTATATACAACGTGTCCCAAAATTCAACGATAAGCGGGCGCCAAGAGGTACCCTTGCTCATGTGTACTTATGGAAAAATAAGAAAAAAATTATATCTTATCTTTTTTATTATAAAATTAAATTCGAAAATCTTCGAAAATTTACACCTTTTATGATATTTTCAACTACCACGACCACAACTTCTCAATTATGTTCAATCTTTTTTTGGTATCGGATACCTAAGTAGCACTACTATTCGCTACAACTCTTTCGAAAATTTTCGAATTTTATTTTATAATAAAAAAGATTAATAAGATATAATTTTTTTCTTATTTTTCCATAAGTACACATGAGCAGGTCTACCTCTTGGCGCCCGCTTATCGTTGAATTTTGGGACACGTTGTATATAGTAGAGAGATTATTTGAGGTAGTGGCATAACTTAAGCAGAGTTTTTTTTTTTACTAATAAACGAGAATTTCTCGTGAAATAGGAACTGTTTATAGCTAATCATAATAGTATTCTTACTATTAACAGTTGTTACTTCATTCAAATTCTTATTTATTTGATAAAAATATTTGCTTAAGCAATTACTTGTACTCAATTAATTACTTTTACTCGACGATAAATGTTAATATTTCTACATTAAAAAAATTAAAGATTTCGTTGTCAGTATGTTTCGTGCCGCTGCCTTGATGCCGCTTCGTCATACTAAATTACCAAGGTTCAGGAAACTTTCAAATTTTTGTCACGAGCTCTCCGTCTATAAGTAACGATATGTAATTAATAATGATCTCTTTTGCGGGCGTGCTAATAAGGAATGTTTAATTTTCCGAATTATCTTTTTGAAAAATCATTTTGTTCAAATATAGAACTACTTATTCTGGAAACTATTAAATTGTGATGTCCCAAAGAAATTAATGAAATACGAACCTAGTGTTGTTTATGTCAAATTAGTGTAAGATAAATTTCGTATTCCTATTCGGTATTCACATCGTTGTCCTGCTGTTAGTAGTTGTGAAATGTATATTACGCGACAAGAATAAAAGTACTGCGAATTTTAAGATCCGACCGATTTATTAAAGTAGAATTTGATCGATGAGATTATCCCTTTTAAAAATGTGTAGTGTCGGTTATAGGATACGATAGTATGAATGCGGCCTTTGCTTTTCAGTGTGCCTTGTGTTAAGAGTTTTAGAAGTGTTTATATGGTAAAACTACATACCGGTTTGGAGAAGAATTTTAATTGTATTTTACTTTTGATTCGATTTTTCTCTAACAGGTAGTATTGGCAAAATTTATAAATATCATCTGTTTATTTAAAACTTTATATATATATGTTATGATAATATCTAATTTAGTTTTGCCAACTTCTGTTAATATAGTATAAGAAACTTGGCAGCATCATGTATGAAAACGATCAAACCGGCAATTAGTCGCACATCCTTTATAGAGCCTAATATACCTATATGTATTATTATATATTATTAGCATTATTTTAATCATTTAATTGCTACTTTATAGAAAGGTTAACAAATAAACAAATCTGTGACTTAAGTACAAGTTACTACATGATGCTGACAGTGTCAAATTGTGATAAATATCTATAAATTGTTTTATAAAGCTTATGGCTATGAAATTTGTTATTGTCCTTTATGTTTTGTCATAATTTATAGAAAGTACAAATGAATATGAAAACGTAAATTGAACGACTCTTGAGTGTATAAAGTTATTTCGTTTTGACTTTGAGAATGTATAAGTAATATTTTATTATGTATGAAATTAAATATGCTAAAATAATACAACGCTTTTCAGTTTTATCCCATTCATGTTGAAATTATTCATTACAAAAAGATTGATAAATAAGTATATTCTAAGTCATAATATAAAATTTTAAGAGACGGGTGAATTTACGCTGCCTTATCTCTAAGTTAATAACTAAGACTATCTTAAAATATTTTGTAAATGGAATATTATAATTTTTTTTGAGAAAATACAAAAACCATATAGCATTATAAAGTAATATTCAAATGAGCATTGAAAATGAGATCAAATAAAAAATAGTCGTAATGGATAAAAATGGTTTTAGTTGATAGCTAGTAGGATCCATGGACCTCTTATAACAGTATTCACATGTCTTGTGACCTCTGTGGCTTCGCATATTGTCGAAATAAAAAAAAACATGTTTAACAATGACATACGAATGTTATTAATAAAAGGTATTTTTTAAATATACACTGTACAAAGTGCGACCGCCTAGCACTATAACAGGTGATAGGATACTATAACTTAGCGAATATTATGAGAATATTTAGTATTATTTTACCACTGACATGTCTTGGAAAGTTTGAACACTGCTCTTAAATCCATATTTATCATTCTTTATCATTCGTTCTTCAGAACATGCTGAAAGTAGTAAAATAGAATGAAATAGCATTATAACATCGCTAAGATGTATTCAGTGGCTAGAGTTATAGCTAGAGGAGCCCGGCGGTCGCTCTGTAGCTTACGACTAAACATTAAATCAATCGATGTGACACACGTTTCCTCCCAATGCAAGGATGCTTTGTACTTTTGGTATCCCTATGTTTCTTTTTTATGCTATAGTTTTCAAAACTTATTAACGTTCTTTGTGGGCATTATAGGTTTTATGGAAATTCTTGTTTATTTTCACACTCAAGAGCTCACACCTCACCCTCTTCGTTGGTAGCATAGGTCCTTTAATCATTATATTAACGACATCAGCTATAATAACAATTATTTATATAATAAATGCAGTATCCTTAATACCAATACGAAAAGATATCGCCATTTCTATTTAAGTCTATCAGAAGTAAGTCTAAACAATTAATCCATTTCTATAGCATGAATAAATTCATAGTGAATAAACGGACGCGCCGTAATAATTGCGACGTACGCACTCATGATTATAATGCGAATGAATCCTTACAGGTAAAATATTTTAGATAATTTTAATCACATCGAAAGAAAATGATGCAGACCTATAATTGTATACTTATAACCAGGTAGGAATTAAATTGGAGATTATATATAATATGGACTTGTTTCAATTAATAAATAGAAAATAAAATCATAATAAACATAGTAGGTATGCAAACAGATCAATATTCCAAATACAAATATCACAACATTTTCCTTAATATAAGTTTTCTTTACACATACATCTTACTTATCATAATAAACATCAATAGTTAAGTATTTAAATAGATACAATCGATAATTTACAATATAAAATAATTTCAATGTAAGATCTATACAAATAATTATCAGAAAATCATTCTTATCAAGAGAGCAATAATACATTACATTACTATATTATGTAATAATAAAATTAACATGGACACTAAAGTATGGCCACTGGGAGAGTAAATGCATACAAAAGCAGACACTTTCCATTATCCGTTCATAATAATAAAACGCAAATTTTCTTTTTTATACATCTTAGCGAGTATTCGCTTGACGAAAAAATATGACATTCTATGATGGTATTGATTTAAATACTTATAAACTCTAATACACGAATACTAACACAAAAATTGGCTTTTTATGGACGAATCTTAATCCTAACATGTATTGTATGTAAAGTACATATGTGCTAGCATAAGTCTATCATCGGGAAAATGGATTAACCAAATTTATTTGTTAAAATCGCGTCTATCACCTAAAAATAAAAAATAATTTTTTATTGAAAAAGATGACTATGCAAAAGGTTAGTATCCATGCAAAAGGGCTTATAAGTGTCACATTTTTTACAGAAAAAAATAAGCTTTTGAACTCCCTAACTACATTTATGGAACTGATAATGTACAGTCTTTTTACACACCTTTTTTAAATATGAGTATTTTCATAATAAATTAAAGCTTCATTACAAAATAGGTATCATTTAAATAAATTACGTAAATGCAATTAAGTCATAACTTACAGTATCATATAGTCAGCATATAGATGTAGGATCGCCTTCCATAGTGCATGCTATATTATCTAATTTATGAGCTAAGTGCATTTTGTTTTCTAGTCCTAATATAATTTGTTCTCTATACTTACTGACATATATGTACAACTCTTTTAAGGCAGACAGAGTATCAAACTCATTTAACTGTTCCACAGAGAGTTGTTGCATAGAAGTACTTAACTCTTGATCTGTAACTTGAGGTAATTGAGAGACTGCTTGGTAAAACTGTATAACCATATCTCTGTAGGTGGGTAAATCTTTTGCAAATAATAATTTATTGGAGGGAGAGTCTTTACAAAGCCGGTGTTCTGTTAGAGAGCATGCATCCATGAATGTTTGAGCTATAACTGACAGTGAAGAATCTACAGTTGATGTTTTGTTGATGTCAAATATGAAATCGGGATTTTTTATGAGATTAACCCAAAATCTTAAAGGTAAACTATTTGACTTCCAAGCATGAACCACTTCTGGATTCATGATACCATGTGCTCTTGCAGCATCATCAAACAAGTCAAACAACCACTTTACCGCGGGGGGTAGCACTTCGTTAACTGTAAGTATAGTACTAAAAAAATCATCCACAAATTTGTGCACGGTTCCTTTAGTTGAGAGGAGTCTTGTTAGGAATATTTCTGGTATAGCTTTGTGACTGTGTTCTGATGATTTGTTGACAATGTGTTGATATTCAATGGGTTTTACTAAATGATAATAATGCACATTTTGATCTGTGATGTCACTATTATACACTCTAATGTGGGAGTTAGAGCAGTATATTCCAGTACAATTCTTACAAGGTATTTTGTAAGCAGTATTGAAACTGTCGTTTTGACGTGATATTAACGACATGACAGCGGATTCTTTGACTCCATAATGAGCCAAAGTATTAAGTTTCCGCCAGCCATTCAATGTTTTTGTTGTGAGGTCTTCATCTTGAAGTGTGACATGTCCACCTCTGCCGTGACGCCATTCTAGATCAACTTCATGGACGGATGGTCGTAATGAAAATGGCGTGTTTTTAAATAGAGCATCTAAAATTTTAGATTTTACTTGGGATATGCTATCACAGTCCAAAACTTTACACTGAACTTTATCATCAAAATCATCCTGTACTATGTGCAATGTAATGATTTGATAATTTATTTGTTCCTTTAAAAGTTTTTCTTCCGATAAAGAGTAACGAGCTTCGTGTGTTATGGCGTCAACTACACCTTTTTCAATTTGATGCTTGATGGCTTTAAAAAGCAAAAACAATGACGATCCTGCATAATCCTTCAAATAGTAGTACATGCACAGAGCCATCCAGTTTGTTAACATCTTTTCCACAACACTTTCTGTTCTTCTCAACATCAGTTGAGGATGTTTGTTACAAACTGATTTATCAATCAAACGTAGCAATAGAGACTTCAGTATATCAGTAGCATATTCCATCTTTCCCATTAAAATTATCATCAGAAGTGAAGCCACATTCACTTTATCTCTAATATTGAACGATTTTTGTGCTTCTAATGTGTCTATAAATGACAGCAGGAAACATTTATTATTTAAAAGTTGTTCGAACTGAATCATAGCTGCATCATAATTAGTCCTAGGAGCATTAATAAACTGCCGTTGTACATTAAGTATAGGATGATCTGATACTCCTGGGAAAAACACTTTCATTACATAGTTAACATGATCCAGAGTTGGAATGCCTGAATGTTCCAAATCTGCTGCCAAATCTGACATATCAGTTTGCAACTCTGCAAATGCTAATTTACATTCTAATCGAACATTACTTTCGAGTGTATCCATTTGTATCTGTATTCTTTTGTACTCCCTTTCTGCTTTTGTACTTCGTCGTCTGTACATAACTAAAACAATCATGAATATTAAAACCAGAAAAAATGTACCAGCAGCTATGCCAGCAATAGCTTCTGGTGGGAAATTGTAATTCCTCATTAGTTCATAATGTATATACCCAATAGGAAATCTTAAATTTTTTCCAACTTTTACAACCACTAAAGGTAAATTTATGTCTGATATTTGTACTCCATTCTCATCTGTGTTAGACGGTTGCACTTGAGGTGGTGTACAAAGTAATTGTTGCATAGTAAGACTTGTAACATTACATGTTTGAATGCCAATAGTTACCACAACATCAGATTCATCACTAGCTCTCATCAAATTTTCGCCTTCTATTACTAATGGATCACCACCCTTATATGATTTAATTCTATTAGGAAAATGATAAACATTTGGATCTTCTACAAAAACCATATGCGTCCTTGGAGGGTTAAAATATTTTTCTAGGTCATGCATTGTTTCAACATTATCCATTACAAATCCAACTTTCATTGCTATTTGTGGTGTGCTAGTTTGAGATTTAGTTGCTTGTAAAATTTCATGATATTTTTTATTTATTGCAGGACTAGGACACTCCATTTGATTTGAATTCAAAACAGTACATTCAGTAAAGTTTACAGGTATTACTTCATTTGCATAGTACAATTTCATCAATGGTTTTTGTATAGTATGCAGATTTGTACCATGTACTGTAATCATTCTACCACCAGACACAAAACTCTTTAGTGGTTTGATCTCCATTATAGTTGGGTCAGCAGTGTAATTAAATAAATCTCCATACAGTGTTCGATTTGCATTGTCAATGGATACAGTTAAGGTGTGAATCAACCGTGGGGCACTAGCTCTTGGTGTAATGCATATTAATCTGCTATTTGATGTTTGTGTCTTATTTACAGAGCAAGGCAATTCATCTAGATATGCAAATACAGTAGATCCTATATTCAAATGCTGTCCTCCTATAGCTAATTGGGTTCCACCCGACACAGGTCCAACAGAAGGATAAACACCCTGTAATTTAATGTTTTTATAACTGAATAATACAGATGATTCTGTGTAACCTGCATCATTTTCTACAATTACAGGTGCTACAACTGATCCATTTGAAGATCCTGTTTGACATGTTATGCTTACTGATACTTCAAAATCAACAATGTCACATAGTACTTCGCCAATACGAACTTTTCCTGTTACTTCTTCTACTCTCAAGCCAAGATTACTACCTTCTATTGTAACTATAGTCCCCCCTTCTATAGGACCACTTAATGGTTTAATCATGTCAATTCTAGGCTTCGGACATTCTGTCACAGGAATTTCTAAACAAGACTCACTATATGAACAAGAATTGCCACACCATGTACATTGGTAAATAGAATTTCTAGTTATACAAAGAGAACAATCAGCATGGTCTCTATGAGAACCCAGAATCTCACATTTATACAAAGTAATTGTTATTGTGTCTATATAATGTTTATGGTTCCATACAACTTTAACACTCACATTGTACTCTCCAACATCTTCCTCATAAGAATAAGTTGTTTTGTCACACACAATGTAGTGATTTGATTCAACTCTAGCTGGTAATATCATGTTAGCTAGTTCAATACTAACAATGCATTGGAATCCAGTATGTCCAGCTTGTAAATGGGGCAAGTTTTCAACTTCTAATTCCAATTCTTTGGGTACATTATTAGGGAGTAAAATTGGTTTTTTATACTGTCTTATTCTTGGACAGTGTCCAATACCATGATTTAACAACTTTGTTGGATTATTTTCTCCGCTGATGATGGTTCTTTGACATACTGAAGTGTCATGTGTACACTTGTTGTCATAAATACACCAGTTGCATGCCCATTCGCTCATTATACAAGAATGACAAGTTGTATGCTTTGTGCAATCATAAAAGGCAAAGTTTCTTGATACAAAATCTTTGTTAGTTTCAGAGGAATGTACAGAAAGTGGCACATAAACGTGATCCAAATTTTGTGAAATTTTTGGCCTATGTTTAACATCCGGAGTAGGACATGCTAGACCACTTGATGTAACAGCAGCATCAATAGGTGGAGTATTTCCAAAAACACACTTATATTTAGCTCCAAATGGAAGCTCAGGTAAAGTTCTAATAATAAGTTGAACGGTAGTAATTTCGGTCATTGATATTCTATCAGGCAAAATTTGCTCAAAATCAATGCACTGCTGGCCAGTATATTGAGACAACCATCTAGGAGCACTCTGAGTACCTTTCTGGCACATATTTTGAACAGTGCAACGCTTCTCTAAAGAACACCAGCCACAATGTGGATCATTTGACTCCAAACAGGATGAGCAGTTGCCATGCTCTGCACATCTTTCAGTTGGTATTTGAACAATTGAATTTTTACCCAACACATACAAAGTTTTTTGATATGGTGATAAAGTTGTATCTGGAAGTATTCTTTGCCCAGGTAATAGTTCTTCACTTGAATATTCTAGAGCCTTATCAGCATCAATCAAAACTTTTTTCAATACTCCATTGATAGTACCAAGAAAAGCAACAGTATGTAATCCGGTTACAGACATAGTAACAGAAGTAATCAATGTGTCATTCCAATGGATTACAGAAAGAGTTGTGATTGGATATAGTCCACTTATTTTAAGGCCTACCTCACAGAAATTGAGAATATTTCCTGTTGTGCCCACACTAGGACATTTACCATCAGATATCATGCCTGATATATAACCCATGTTACGAGCTTTAGTACTGCCATTGAAACACATGTGTACATTTTCATTAAACTTAATCTCAATTTCTTGTAATGAAAATACGCATATTGCTGATTTTGCCATAGGTTCGTTGGTAATACCTTTTGATGGACTAAACAAGGCTACCAAAATTGAATCACCAGTTTCAATTCCTAACTGACTTGCAAGATTTGCACCAGCCCTAGCAATTTTCGCATCTTGAACTAAGTTATAATTGACCACTTCACTCTTACCATTAACAGTTTCTTCACGAACATGACACTCTAATGTTACTTCTGTATAGCTATTGTAATTGTCATCATTGACACAAGTGCGTGCTAGACGTGACACATAGCCAAGCTCTTCATTGCCAGCAAGATGAGAATGTTTTTGTATAATCAAGAAGTATGCATAATCACTGGCATTAAATCCATAAACATATTGCACTAAGAAATTGTCACGATACTTAACATCTATTTGTATCAAACTTTGTTTTGAGAAAGTGAACTGAGCGAGTTCTAGAGTCATGAGGTCACGACTGGATATGGCAGGAACATCATGGCGATATTCACCATTGTTAGTAAATGTGGTACCCACATATAGCACATTGGAACGATCCCAAGAGTTATATCTTTCTGGTCCAATAAATGCGTACGTAGAGGCGTCAGCGTCATTGGCAGCGACACTTACAGGAACAAACTCTGGTTCTGAAGATAAATCACCCAACTTATATTTGAAACAAGAGCCTTGAGCGACGGATCCGCATGTAATCACTATTCTCGACTCCTGGTCTATTACTAAAATTTTATTTACATTGTCGATGTAAGTAGTTTTTATATCTGAAGATGTACATCCACTTGCATGACACATAGGGTTGTCGAGTTTTGGGCCCGTCCGTACCACATGAATTGGTTTCAAATCTGGACTTAATTGATGAAGCCAATTTAATGATCCAGCATACACTTGACCGCTTACTCTATCGACAGCTAAATGGTTAAAGTGGTAAGTTTCATTCTGTTGATTAGGATATTGCGATACAAACTCGTAACCATTTACTATTGTGCTTCGTAGCCAGAATATTATGACTAATAACGTCTTGAAAGTAGCCATTATCACATTTTAAATTAAATAACCAAGTGTGTTATTCGCTTTCTCACAACCACTGTCTTGTTTGGATTTAATTTTCAACCCATTTTAGTTTACAAAAATAAAATGTAAATTGTAATAGCATCCATCGATGCCGATGACATGGAATAAACAATAGAAGAAAGCGTACCATCGACTAGAAAAGCTTTGAACTTATTTTCGCAATGGCAATGACGAAGTATTAAAGAAAATAATGAGGAAATATTAAAAAAACACATTACTTCACATAATGCTACGGTACTTTCTTGATTTCTCCATGACAACACTTCCGGTTTTCTTTCATATATAAAAGCTGTTTTTTGTGCTTTTTTTTATATTTCCTCATAGGATTTGGAGCTCAGTGTTATGTGATATTCATAGGGAAGATGTGATCAGCATGCTTAACCTTCATATCGTATATCAATATTTTTCTATTTCAACAAAAGTACATAAATACAGGAAAAATAATGATTGTAGTATTAATATGTTGTCTATTGTTCATTTGACTTTGTCAATATGAATTCAGTATATGTCTAATGTAACTAATATTTTTATGTTGATTAAAGCCAATATTCTAATGATAAATTGGTTATTTCTATCAATTTAATCAACATAAAGAAAGCTGATAAAAATGTCGAAGGAGAAACCTGAAAGTTCTACGGAAGAAATATCAAAACAAATGTCAAATATGTCTCGCTATCTCCGACCGGAAAGATTTGAATCTGAACCGAATTCTGTGATGGCCGATCTCAAATGGAACCATTGGTTAGCTACGTTTACTAACTTTTTAAACGAAGAAGGTCCTCATATTTCTACTGAGTTGAAATTACGTTTGCTAATTAATCATTTGGCACCTACAATATTTTCCATAATAAGAGATTGTATTACGTTTGAAGATGCTATAAAATTATTGAATGATGCGTATATAAAACCTAAAAACGAAATATTCTCTCGTCATGTACTTTCCACAAGAAAACAACTGACAGGTGAATCGATAGCTGAATATATACAAATGTTAAAAAATTTAGCTCATGAATGTACCTTCAAAAGTGTTACAGCAGAAGAATATAGACAAGAATATATACGAGATGCCTTTATATCGGGGATAGGTTCAAAACAGATTCGTCAACGACTTTTAGAGAACAAAACTCTATCATTAGTGTCGCATACTAATCTGTGGCACGACCGAACAGTGACAGTGTAGTCTGTGACCTACCTAGCTCTGTTAGTGATAATTCTAATATTAATGTACCTAGCCCTGAGGCAACCACACCACCAGTAAATCCAATAATCGTAAGACGTAGTTCGAGAGTACCCAAACCTAGACAAATACTAGATTTATAAAAGTGTTATAAGTTCTTCCTAATTTGTTTTTGCTATAAGTGCATATTTATGTTTGTAAATTAAGACGGGAGGAGTGTCGCATACTAATCTGTGGTACGACCGAACAGTGACAGTGTAGTCTGTGACCTCTCTGACCGTTCTCTATGCTGGCGTCTGTAATTGGTGTGCTTTTAATGTAAGTCTATAATAATAAATTAATTACTTAAACGTCGGCTTCTGATTTGTTCTCCCCCATCAAAGTACACTACAATTAGATGATGCTGTGAAGCAGGCCGTAACACTTGAATCCGCTGAGAAAGATAATAATGCAATTACCGAAAGCTCAGTTTTAAAGACTCAAATCAATGCTGTCAGTGAAATACCTTATTCAACATCGTCGAATGAGAATTTAGCCATTGCTACGCGACGGAAAAGGCGGTGTTTTTTCTGTGGATCGGAGAGTATTCACCAGCGAGTAAAGTGTCCAGCTTATAATGTCAATTGTCAATTATGCTCCAGAAAAGGCCACTTTGCTAATGTTTGTCGCTCTGCTAAGCAAAATACAAGTTTTTCGAACGCAATAATACACCAGGATAGTCACATAGAAGAAACAAATGACGGCACTGCATGTATTTCGGCTGCATTTCCGGGTAATCTGATAAAAGCAACAATTCCAGTCACAATAAATGATCTCCGAGCTGATGCTCTTATTGATACCGGAAGTTCATGTAGTTTTATCAACGCAGAGCTTGTAAAATCTATGAATATTAAAATGAAAAGAGTAACCCAAGCAGTATCATTCGCATCATTGAATCAGATGTCATACGTTAACGGACTTTGTCATGCTACAATAAAATTGAATGAACATAGTTACACGCGCCATCCATTGCTTATAATAAATAACCTATGTGCAGATGTTATTATTGGGCATGATATTTTAAAACATCACAGATCTTTAGAATTCAAATTTGATGGAGACAGAGAACCACTTCAAATATGCAATGTAATGCAGGCTTCAGTACCTCCAGCTACTATATTCTCTAACCTTTCGTCCGAATTAATTCCTGTTGCAATTAAATCGAAAACTTTTTCTGAAAATGACCAAAATTTTATTAAAAATGAAATTGAAAAATTGCTGAAAGATGGAGTGATTGAACCAAGCGTATCACCATGGAGAGCTCAAGTTCTAGTAACGGGTGGAACTACACATCGTAGGAGAATGGTGGTAGATTATTCCCGAACCATAAATCGTTATACTGAATTAGATGCCTTTCCTTTACCAAAAATTGATTCAATAATATCTAAAGTGTCAAGATATAACTATTTTAGTCAAATTGATTTAAAATCTGCTTACCACTAAGTTCCAATATTAGAGAAAGAACGACCATTTACAGCGTTTGAAGCTTGCAGGAACTTATATCAATTTACTCGCATTCCGTTTGGCGTCACTAATGGAGTAGCAGCCTTTCAACGAACTTTAGAGTACGTTATACAAAAAGAGAAGCTAAAGGGGACGTATGCTTATTTAGATGACGTTACAGTTTGTGGGAAAACAAAAGAAGATCATGATGAGAACTTATCAAAATTCATGGAAGCGGTTGCTAAATATAATCTAACTCTTAATAAAGATAAGTGTACTTTTGCAAGTGAAACTATTAATCTATTAGGATATACAATTAGTAATAACATAATTACACCAGACAAATGTCGTCTAAAGCCATTAATGGATTTACCTTTACCTAATAATACTGCTTCCTTAAAGAGAGCACTTGGAATGTTTGCTCATTACTCAAAATGGGTGCCTAACTTTTCAGCTAAAATTCAACCACTCGTACGAGCAAAATTACCACTCAATACGGAGCTAAGTGACAGTTTTCAACAACTTAAAAGAGATATCGCTAAGGCAGCATTGATAAGTATAAACGAAACTGATCTCTTAACGATAGAAACCGATGCATCAGAATACGCTATTGCTGGAACCTTGTCTCAAAATGAAAGGCCAGTGGCATTTTTTTCACGATCATTAAATGACGCCGAGAAAAAGCATTCTTCTATTGAAAAAGAAGCCTATGCTATCGTTGAGTCTTTACGAAAATGGCGTCATTTTCTAGTTGGCAGACATTTTTTACTAGTGACAGATCAAAGATCAGTATCTTTTATGTTAAATCAGAGACATAACAGCAAGATCAAAAATGAGAAAATTGAAAGATGGCGGCTAGAATTGTCTTGCTTTAAGTATGATATAGTATATCGGCCGGGTAAAGAAAACGTTTCCGCCGATACATTGTCTAGAGTTTGCGCTAGCCTTAGTACTAACAAGTTATATGACTTACATAAATTATTGTGTCATCCAGGTGTGGTAAGAATGTGGCATTGGATTAGAACAAAGAATTTACCATACTCGATTAATGATGTAAAATCTATTACAGCGTCATGTCCTATATGTGCAGAAATTAAGCCGCGATATAATAATGCACATAGTCATTTAATTAAAGCTACAGAGCCTTTTCAACGTCTCAGTATTGATTTTAAGGGTCCTTTGCCCACGATTTCTCGTAACAAATATATACTCACGATAATTGACGAATATTCAAGATTTCCGTTTGCCTATCCATGTCCTGATTTATCTTCACAATCTGTCATTAAATGTCTTAAAGATTTATTCCTTACTTTTGGAGCACCCGCTTATATTCATTCAGATAGAGGAACGGCCTTTGCATCGGATGAAATGAAACAATTTCTAACAACCTATGGTGTTGCCTCAAGCCGTACTACTCCATACAATCCTCAGGGAAACGGACAGGTGGAACGCTTGAATGGGACGCTTTGGAAAACTATTCAACTCAGTCTTAAGTCAAATGGTTTAGATAGTTCATGTTGGGAACAAGTATTAAACGTCGCCTTGCATTCTATACGATCACTCCTGTGCACAGCTACCAATGAAACACCACATGAGCGTCTATTTCGCCATACACGTCGATCACCGACAGGGGATACTATACCTTCATGGTTATTGATTCCCGGTCCAGTACTAATGAAAAAGAACGTTAGAACATCAAAATTTGATCCTGCCGTAGAAGAAGTAGAATTACTTCATGGAAATCCTCATTATTCACATGTTCGCTTGTCTGATGGACGTGAAACCACGGTTTCAAATAGACAATTAGCCCAACTACCGACAGAGGACTACGATTCTGATGAGGAAGTCGATGCTGCAGATGTACCTGTTGTTACAGGTGATATATCAGATAGTTTTCCTAGAGAGACTGACGCTACTGCCTCTCCATCTGGCACTCAAGAAGAAGGTACCGAGGTTTTGCGTCGGTCGTCACGAGATAAAAAGATGCCTGAATATCTTAAGGATTTTGTTAGAAACTAAATAACATGGGAGGGATGAATGTAGTATTAATATGTTGTCTATTGTTCATTTGACTTTGTCAATATGAATTCAGTATATGTCTAATGTAACTAATATTTTTATGTTGATTAAAGCCAATATTCTAATGATAAATTGGTTATTTCTATCAATGATAATGCTTTTTTATGACGTCATCAATGAAGGAATTAATGGGGAATTTTATGAGATTGAGTATGAGAGAGAGAGAGTGAGTAAGAGAAGAGCCACTATATAAGGCCAAAATCATCCTCATTAGAATGTATGAGTGTATAATCTCCAGTAATATAAATTTCCATAAACACTCAAAATGTAAATAAATGGACACCGTAATCCTAGCAAAACACCAGTAACTTTCAAAATAAGTTCTTTTTTGATATAATGATCAAAATCGATCTATGTTGATTAAAAGTACTTAAAAATTTTCATCTATAAAATTTATATATGATTTTTATATTGATACACTGCAGTATTTTGATTATGCAGGTGTTGAAAATTTTCTTAGTTATTATAATGTCAAGGCGAGGGAGTATGCTTTATGTTCTTGGCCAAGGAAAAAAATAACTTACTGTATTTAGAAATGTGACAAACTATTTATGGAAAATTAAACGATTTTCAAGTCAATATTTTAAATGGGATGTAGTATTAATATGTTGTCTATTGTTCATTTGACTTTGTCAATATGAATTCAGTATATGTCTAATGTAACTAATATTTTTATGTTGATTAAAGCCAATATTCTAATGATAAATTGGTTATTTCTATCAATTTAATCAACATAAAGAAAGCTGATAAAAATGTCGAAGGA